GTTCATGAGAAGTCTCCCCTGGTGAAGACCATCCTGCTTGTAGGACCATCAGGAGTGGGTAAAAAAATGTTGGTTCATGCCATTTGCCAGGAGACCGGAGCCAATCTGTTTGACCTGTCACCTTTAAACGTGGCTAAAAAATACCCTGGTAGAAACGGATTGCAGATGATGCTGCACCTAGTGTTTAAGGTAAAGTTTAGTGTCATATTGGCATAAATATGTGATATTTTCCCTAGCTAAATATCAATGTTTTGATGTACTCATTATAGGTTGCCAGACTAATGCAGCCATCTGTCATTTGGATCGGAGATGCTGAGAAGATGTTTTACAGAAAAGTACCAAAAGAGGAGAAAGAGGTAAAAAAAAATGTTGTGGTAAAATGACATTTATCAAGTGGATTCCTTGGATTTAATACCAGTGCATACACAGTTAGATCCAAAGCGACTGAAGAAAGATTTGCCCAAAATCCTCAAGTCCATCAGAGGAGAAGATTGTGTTTTAATAGTAGGGACAACAAGTGATCCACACAGCGCAGACCTGAAATCTCTGTGCAAATTCTACAACAAGATCATCCTCATACCTCGACCAGACTATGCGTCCAGATATGGTAAACATTTTTTTCTATATTTTGTTCAAATCATTAAGTGCTAGAGCACATAAAATATATTAATAAATTAATATATACATTTCAGCATCTATCACTCCCGTTTTTTTATCACATGATCCTTCAGAATCACATTTCTTATTCATGTGAATGTTGAAAACTGCTGTTTATTTATAGTTTTTGTTAAGACTGTTTTAGCTTTTTTAAAATAAATAATACATTAGAACAAAACTGCATTTATTTGCAATTAAAATATTCTGTGTCAAAAAAAGTGTTTGGGAAAGTTACTTTTGAAAGCAATCCATTACAAGACTTACTCCCCAGAAAAGTGACTTGTTGCGTTACTTAGTTACTTTTAAAGTAATTCTGGTATGTTACTTTTGAGTTACTTTCGAGTTACTTTTTCATACCTGTCTGAGGCTTAATCTCTTTCAGAACATTTTTTCCAAAAAGAGGAAATCTGCATTTAATGACACACTGTATAACTTACACCTTCATTTACCTATTAAAAAAAAAAAAAATTACAATAATGCTAACTTCTGAGAACTTCCTGACACTATACATGCCGAATATACAGATTAATAAAAGCTGAAAGCAATGTGTTTGCTACTTTTGTATGTTGTTCTATTCAATCAGTAAAATCACTGTCCATTGAGACTATCTCCTTTTCTTCCATGTGTTCAAAATAATGAGAATACTTCCGTCACAGAAATGTAAGGCTCTAACCTCTTGGTTTCTGTCTGTTCTTGTTTGGAGCTCATTCTCATATTGAGTGAGATTTAACATGATTACACTAATTTTAATCCAGCAAATTATTTTTTAAAAGTGAATTAATTAAAGGATTTTTTAAAAGTAGCTTAAATATTATTACTTAAATTTTTTTAAGTAATGTGTTACTTGTTACTTAGATACGTAATAATATTTTGTAAATCGCTTTACTTGCAATGCGTTACCCCAACACTGATCATTAATCTTATGTATCTTTGCTGAATGTTATTTCCGTTTAAAAAAGTCATACTCACCTGAAAAGTTGACTAAATACATTAAAGGAAATTAAGCAAAAACAGGTAACACTTAACGATAAGGTTTCATTAGCTTATATTGCTTAATGCATTCGCTCATGTGAACAAATGATAAACAATACATTTATTTCAGACAAAGTCAATTGGCGGCCATCTTTGAAACTCCTTTCGGGGAGCACGCACAGGCATTCTTTCTGTATGGGGAAACATCAAATTCTCCAAAACTGCGTCCCAGGTTTATGATTAAATTTTATATTAGGAATCAACAATAAAATTAAACAATAACTGAGTCTGTAGCTTCATTTCTAAACATTCGAGTCACAGAAAATCTGCAGAAACTCACATCTGGTCTGAGCCCCTCCCCAGAGAATTGTCAGTCTATAGCAGGGGTCGGGAACCTTTTTTTCAGCAAAAGCCATTTCTGATTCTTTTTGGCAAATGTTTTTTTTTGAAGAGCCATTGGGATATAAGGACCATTTATAGATTTTTCTTTTCGCCATCAACACTCATTAACGTTGTTTGAATTTACTTGTGCAAGGTTACCATAGAAATGTAAGTTGCATGCCCTTTATTGCTGTCAGATTAATCCCCAAGTTAATCCACAGCGCCGCACACACACATTGGTTGAAACGTTCTTTTATTCTTATTCATTTTGCTGTAAAAATATACAATAAAAAGGTATATTTAATTGTATTTTTAATAGGAAACTTATTTGTAGTGACAGTTTAAATTTTTTATTGAAGGGAGACAGCTGGAGAGCCACATATTTTGGTCAAAGAGCCACATGTGGCTCCCAAGCCATAGGTTCCCTACCCCTGGTCTATACCAATCGCTGATTGGCTTCTGTACTAGGAGGCAGGGCTTCATTCGCCATATTGAGCGTTACATTTTTCCCCATTCAAAACTATACAAGTGACACGTCTTATGTATTCTACAGTCTTTGTTACAGTATTTATTCATCTTTTAAACGTTTATTTAATAAAAATAAAGTTGTCATTGTTAGTTCAAATTAACTCACAATGCATTAGCTAATGTTAACAAAGTTTGGATTTTAACAATGCATTAGTCAATGTTGAACTCTGATTAATTAAAGCTGTATATTTCAGCTGTTCATTCTCAGTTCATACATTAACTAACATAAATGAAAACTTGTTGTAAAATGTGACCTAATCTCAAAGGTTTTTTAGTTTTCCATCTGAATGTTTTTTTCTCAGTAATGTGGAAAGAGTTGATAAAAAAGAACGGAGGAGAAGTGACCGGTGACCTGGACCTCAGCTCCCTGGCAAAAATCTCTGATGGATACACGCAGGGTCACATGGTGCAGGTGGTGCGTAGCATCTTGACTGAACGGCGGATTCAGCAGTTTCCCAAACGTCCTCTCACTGCCTCAGAATTTGTGTCTCCGCTTGCTAGAATCGACCCTGTGTTTCAGGAAGAAGAAGAGGCGCTAAAAGTAAGCCACTAATCACTGATTTTTTGTCAGCATGTCTAATAAATGTCTGATAGCATGGCTTTGCAAGTTGATTGCTAACTTGACTATAAAGTATTACTTTTTTAGAAGGAAAAGTAAACCCTTCTGATACATTTTTTTCCTCAGAACTGGTATGCTAAGACTCCACTTGGGAAGAAGAGAATTAAAGCTGCCTCCGGAAAAGAGGGTGATGAAGAACCTCCAAAAACTGGAGGCAAAGCTGGCAAGAAAAAAGGAAAGAAGTAACATTATAAGTGTTAAAATGATCAGTTGCAATGTCACATTTCCCTGCCTTCACCAATAAATGTATTAATTATGACAGTACGCATATTTTGGACTTTACTGGTCTATAAATACACACAGATGCCATCTTCATTAATCAGAAATATCCACGGGCATTTAAGCGTGTAAACTCTAGTGTGAAAACATGATCAAGGCTTATCATACAAAGCATGCTGTACTTCCCCTTCACAAAATGACAGATGGCCTACTTATAAAGAATAAAAATAATAGAGAAATGTTAATTTATAAAATAATCAGAGATATGATGGCAGCTAAATTGTGGATTTTGGATTAAATCAAGAAACAATGGTTTGGATAGTATGAAAAGAAAGTTTTAAATTAAGAATGTTTAATAGGCATCATAACCACCTGATTGACCTTTTATCCATTGGTTATCATTATTATTTTAATTGCTTATTACTATCAAAGTCCTTTTAAGGCAAGTCATTTAAATCAGCGGCCATCTTTGAAACACCTCTCGGGCAGTATGCTCAGGCATTATGTCTTAATAGGGAAACATCAAACTCTCCAAAACTGCTTGCCAAGCTCACAATTGAATTTCATATTAGGGATCATCAATAAAATTAAACAACTTTCTCTTTAGCTTTATTTCTAAACATCCAAATCACAGAAAATCTGCAGAAACTCACGTCTGGTCTAAGCCCCTGCCCGCAGTATCGTCAGTTTATATTGATCGATGATTGGCTCCTGTAGTAGAAGACGGGCTTTATTTGACATATAGTGTTCGATGATTGGCTCCTGTACAAGTAGGCGGGGCTTTATTCACCATAATGACTGTTACAGTTTTCCCCATTCAAAAAGGTACGAGTGACATGTCTTGTGTATTCTATAGTCTTTGTTACTGTCTATCAGAGTTGTGTCAGCATATTATTTAAAACAAGATGTGGGCCAAAAAATATTTTCAAGGAGTGCAACTTAAAGGATTAAAATGCTGTATAACGAATATAAAACACTTAAATTGATTAAACAGACCGATGATAACAACTAAATTGCAGATTTGAACACAATTATTCAAAAAAGTATTAAAAGTAAAAAAAAAAAATGGGAAGAAAAAAAAAGTAATTTTTTGAAATAGAATTGAAGTGTTTTGTTTAATATATTTTAAGTAAAAAAGTTAATTTTGTGACAATTTAATTTTAGTGTTACATGATCTTTCTTACCTTTGTAATATATTGATGATATATCTACAATAATATTTATTCATTCATTTTCTTTTTGGCTTAGTCCCTTTATTATTCCGGGGTCGCTACAGCGAAATGAACCGCCAACTTATCCAGCATATGCCCTTTTAGCCGCAACCCATCTCTGGGAATCATCCATACACTCATTCACACTCATACACTATGTACAATTTAGCCTACCCAATTCACATAAAGTAATTAGTTACTTATAAAAGGTAAGAAAACCTGTTGCTTTAAAAGTGACAACAAAGTGATAAAACGTGGGTAAATAGACTTTGAAACTGTCAAGTTGACTATAATTATGACTTTAGAATTATGCACATAGTTAATTCACTTAATTTTAAGGCAACGTGTTTTATCACTTTTTAAAGTAAAGTCAACTAATCATGTTGTACTGTTTACCAATGTAAAATATGTTTCTTCCATGGAACTTTTTAATTCAACAAAATGTTCTTTATAACAGAAAATGTGTGGGTGATAAAAATGTTCTTTATACTATTTTCAAAAGATCTTCAAAAGAACTCTTCAGAAAGAGTGAATCAAATAAATATTTTTTATATTCCCCTTTAATATTTTTTTTTTTAAAGTTTCTTTTGAGGAACCAAAAGTCTTTATTAAAAAAAAGATTACTTCTCTTTCCTGTGGATCCATACATAGAGGTGAAAAGACAGTATGTGCTTCAGATGTGTCAAGGACAGCTAATGGGAGAAGGGGATTTTGTAGCCCCAGTTAGACCTGTGGAGCTGTGATTGGTCTGGGCTGAAACTGAGACAGCCCCCCAGACTAGGGTTTAAAGGATTATCTCAGATAAACAAATGGACAGGCACTCTGTCAAAGCCGCGCAACTCAGTGCTGGTAAACATGTAGCTCTGCATAATTTGTTAAAGTAAAACTACTCTGATGTCACAAAGCCAAATTTAAGGTTTGTTTACCTCACTTTTCTCTTATTTTCATGCAAAGGAGAAGCAAGCTGCAGCATCAACATCACTGATGTCCTGAAGGTCATGCTGTTTTTGCTCTTCTTCTACACTCACGTGCCAACAGTGACAACAAAGTCCAGTTGCTTTATTTATATATACAGTATAGTAACACACTTTTGGCATATATAAGAATAACATTGACTGGCTTTATTTTCATTTCTTCAAATGACATGTTCTCATAAGCAACAAGGTGACATTAGGTTGATTTATTACTCTTGATGAATCTGTTGTCAGCAGGTTGGAGAGAGACAGAATCAAACGACATGTGAAACTTGTAGAGATGTGCTCCAAACAAGGACCTGCGAGCTTAGGTGAAGTGTTCAGCTGTTTCGTCAAGTTCTAAATTCACCTAACACATCCTCACATGGTGCTGGTTCCTTAACAAATTGCTATTTATATTGCATCTTCGAGCCATCATTGATATCACGTCCCTGTCACTTTCAGTTAGGACCTTCGTTTACACATGCTTAATGCAGGTCTGCTGTTTATTTGATTGGTTTGTATCTGTATTAAACAAAAATAAGTTTTAAAGATGAAATACATAATTTCTTTACACAAGAGTCACCACAATAGAATATTAAAAGAGATGACATTTATAAAAAGGTTTCAAACACTTTAGTACGATTTGCTTATCCCACATTGACGGTTGGGTTTAGTGATGGGGTTGGGTTGGGTGCCTTTAAAATCGTACATTTTGGATGACTTCACTTGTACGAATTCATACGAATTAGCCACCAAACCGACAAAACATTAAATGGTTAAGTTTCCTTGTGAGATCAGGCTGGATTGTCAGACCTGTTAAATCTCTGCAGTTACAATTTCATAAACTTTTGACAATGCAAAAAAAAAAAAAGATTTATATATGATATCATTCTTTAATTGTCAGTTGAGCATGCAGATGCAAAAGTCAGAATAGAAAATAAATACCAAAGACACTGGACAGTCCAGTAGTATCAGCATTCACAATGATCTAAGAAGTGATTTCACACGGAATGACAGTTCTATCTTTTAATCTTCTGTGACCTTTCCAACTCAGTTGTATTGAAATATGATTCACGAACTAAAGAGCCTCTGCTACTGTGAAAACCTTCTGGTCTACACATCACTGGTCAATGAAACGCATTTATTCATTGCAAATCAAACCAGTAAATCGATATCTTAGGGTTAATTTAGTAGGGATACACAGTAGTTAATTAAGGGATAAACAGGCTAATTGTTACAACACAAACCATCCATTGAGAAAGAAGGATAGTATCTTATCTGTAGTGAAAGAAAACAATGCAAGCAGGCAGGACTTGTTACATGTAGCCAAGATGTTTCTATCTTTATGTATAATGACGCACTGCTATTTTGGAGATATGTCAGCTGTTCGGTATTAGCCTTTGGGAAAGCTGGGAAAAAAAGAAAAACATTTTCAGCTGCTTGTCTGCCAAGGGAAACGGGATAGCACACTGACCTGAGGATCTTTGGTCAAAGTTTGGGGAATAATCTGGAAGGAATTTGCATGAACCACAAAAAAAGCCTGGGTGGACTTTGGTGTTTTTGTCAATAGCTTCAAATATGATGTGTATTTTCTGGACTTAAATGTGAGGAACATGTCAAGTGCTGCTAATGGTGAGTATATGGATGATTTATTTGTTTGTTTTTAAACGTCTTGTCAGTTTGAAAGTTTTTCTCATGACTGATTCCAAGTTCTTGTTTAATTTAAATACCTTGATCTCTTCGGTGCATGAAATATTTGATATTAAAGTCATAACAAACAACATGTTCTGATCTAAATGTGCTGTAGTTCAATTCTTGTCCGTTTTGATTTGACTGATGTCTGATGCCGAACACACAATGGCTTATAAATGGTAAATTAACGTAGATGCAAGGATAGTGTCATATTTCAAAGCATTATTTCAGGCCAACTTATAATTGAACTAGTAATTTGTTTGGTTGTAATAGGAGAAAAGGTATTTGTAAATGTTTGACTTTTACAGATTTTAGTTATCTCGGCCCATATATATATAGACACAACTTAATGAACTTAGAATGGCAGAGACATCATGCATACCAAGGTAATTAACTAATTAGAGAATGTAGTCTAGAGAATATTGTTGCTGTCAGTTTCATATTTCATATTTCAAGAAGAGCCACAGATTGTATTCATTATGCATCTGTTTCTGAACGTTTAGGAACAAAATTGTATCATTCAATTGTGTTTATGGACACCCATTATGACAAATTAATCAAGGTTTAACTACATGGTTTTGCTGCAATTACTAGTTAATTTGTTGGATTATTACACCAAAGACATAATAAAATAGTTAATTTTAAGGGAGACACACGTTAAGAAAGATGAATGCTGAAAGTATGTTCATATTATATTAATAATAAACAGTCTTTAAAATGCAGAGGAGTAACATAGGCCTCTTACACTTTTTAGAGTTCAACTGATGTTGCTGACAATTGCTAAAGGCGTGTGAGAGGACAAGCTCCAAAACATGGCATGTAAGAACCATTTCTTAATTAAATGTTAACATTTTTGTTATATCATAATCATAGTATACTTTTAGATGGATACTAAGTCACTAAAGTGACATTTGCGGGAGAAAAAAACGCTGAGGCAATTACATTTTGGCGCGGTTACACTCCGCGTGTACAGTTATCCTGTCTCGTGCCTGCGCGCAATACTTTCCCTCACAGATGTCACTTTAGCGACGACTATTTCATTTCATATTAAAGAAAAACACTGGTAATTGTGATACTTATGTCTAAAAAGTGAGGATTCAGCTGGTCAAAGGGCTTGAGGATGCGACGCTGTGTGAGAAAGAAGCTTGTACATTTGAGGTGGTCCTCAGTCACGCGTACGTCCGGGGTCAGTGGACCAGAGATGGAGTTCCTATTAAATCCAGGCCTGTGTGTCGAATTGCCATGCAGGGCAAAAACCACACACTCACACTGACCCGGGTGACGCTGGCTGACATGGGCATTATCAGCTTCAAGGCTGAAGGGATTGAAACCTCTGCTATGTTGACAGTCACAGGTACCAGTACTCTCAGTATACAAATGTAATTTGATTTAGTGCAGTCAAAAGTTTTTGTGGAAAATGATTATATAGTTGAAGTCTAAATTATTAGCCCTCCTGTGATTTATTTATTTATTTATTTTTTCAAATATTTCCTGGATAATGTTTAACAGAGTTAGGAATTTTTTCATACAGTATTTCCTACACTGTAAATCCCAATAAGTTAAGGCAACTCAAACCATTTGAGGAAACCGATTGCAACAAACCATTTGAGTTAAAAAAAAAATCTATATGAGTAATGTGTACTTATTTCATTTAAGTTGAAGTGATGAGGTATTTAACTTATTACCTTCAACACCAAGTTCAAAACTTTTTAAATAAGTGGAATTAACTTTCTGTAAATTTTGAGTTAACTACACTCATTTCATTTATTAAGTTGACTGTTGAGTTTTACAGTTTATAATACAGCATATATTTTATTCTGGTGAAAGCCTTATTTGTTTTACATTTTTTAAACCACCTTATTTACCACCTGACTTCAATTGTATATTTCAGAAGTTTTTTTTTTAATCGATACTTGCAGCATAAAGTGGTCTTGGTCAGTTCAAATGGTACAGTTCTTCTCTGTAATTTCTCCTGTCTCTCAGCCAGGGATATAAAGATTGTGAAGGCTCTTCAGAATGTCAGTGTGACTGAGAGGGAGAGTTTGACATTTATCTGTGAGGTCAACTGGGAAGATGTGGATGGGAAGTGGTACAAGGACAACAGCCGGTTGAAAGCAGGGGACAACATTAAAATACGATGCGAGGGTAGGTGTGAGAGGTTGAGTAACACTGGTGGCTGTTATAATCACAAGAGGGGCATTCTTAAAATATGGAGACGCACTGGACACTTTTCGATGATAAAATAAAAAAGGTTTCAAACTTGACATGGTCATTCTAAAATCTAACCTGAATGTTATTATAGAAACAAAATTGAAATTGACAGTTCTTTAATTGGAATATTGAATTTGTTTTATAATGGTCTATCAATGCACATAATTGGTAAATTTATTTGTCCTCATAATCTTTATTCTCTCTGAACAACCTTATCATTCACATGAGATTTCAAGATCTGTCATATTATATCAGGCCAAGATGGGTTTATATAACACGATTTTGCAATTCATGAGTGAGAAAGGTCACTGATAAATATACTGTATAACATTATAGTTGTGTGTAACTACACAGACTGTAAAAATTCTAAATAAAAAATAACGTCTGCCAAATTCACATTTTCAGCATGCACAGTGGTGGAAAGAGTACTGAAAAATCATACTCAAATAAAAGTACCATTATTTGCCCAAATATGTAGTGCAACAATAAAAGTATCTGTTGTGAATATTACTCAAAATATGAGTAAAAAGTTTTAAAAGCCCTTTTAAAAGTACTCAAGAGTAGTGAGCATTACACTGTGAAATGTTGATGTGTTTACATGCAGTTTGTGCAGGGATGTGAAAATGTAACATTCTGTAGTGCATTTAGAGATCTTCCTATATTTGTTTGTTCCTTCCAATTTTCCTTACATGGTTTCTTCCTTTATTTATTTGTTTGTTCGTTTCATACTTTACTAGTTTTTTGTTCCTTTCTTGGTTCCTCCATTCATTCACTCATTCGTTTGTTCAGATTTTTGTTTCTTCATTAGGTCCTTTGTTCATTAATTCGTTAGTTCCTTCCTTTCTTAGTTTGTTCAGTGCTTTCTTGCCCTTTCAGTTGTTTTCACCCAGGCTCATTCTGAAAACATAACTCTATCTACATGTTGATTAATTTGGTCCTTCCCTTCTTCATTAGTTCGATCCTCTGTTCAGTTCTTTCTTCCATTCCTTGTTCGGTCCTTCCTTTATTTTGCCCATTCCTTCAATTCTTCATTCGTTCCATTTAGTGATTGTTTAAGGCTGTTTAGTGATTTCAGTCATCATACAGTCATCATCCTTCATTTTCTCATCAGTAGACTATAAACAGTCTCTGTACAGCACTAATAATGTACTCAACATTTTAAAACTACTGAGTAAATTACAAGTCCTGAGAAAAACTACTTAATTACAGTAGTGTGAGTATTTGTAATTTGTATATGTTACTTTACACTACTGAGTATAAATTATGTAGAACAAACTGCAAAACATCCAAGTATTGTCAATTTATGTTTACAACTGATTTTTGTTTTACCCAAAATTAAAAAGTTATGTTATAAAACTGAGGAAATAACATTTAGGATTTGACGTCACAACTGCAGTGCTTTATGCAATCATCCAGTTAATTCCCAAACATTTTTCTTTTGTAAAATCTTCATTAAAACCTGAGGAAAAATATATTGCAGTTTGTTTTATGCTGATTTTTTTTTTATGCTGATTTCTTTTTTAGAATGACCAAAAATTCTTTCATAGATAACTTTTTGTTTTAAAATGCAATTTTCTACAGCTCTTTCAAATTCAATCAAATCTCATGAACACAGGTAAAATACACTCCCTAACCTATAAATCAGTCAGATCAGAAGATGCCGGTGAGATCAGATTCACCGCTGAGAGGGTCTCTTCAACAGCAATGCTACGAGTCAAAGGTAACAAAAAGCACATATATTTTTTTTCAGGGTTTTTTTTTGTGTTCCAATTTACTAAATATCATCATTGCAGAGCTTCCGGTTCATTTTGTAAGGCCGCTGAGGGTGAAGATTGCCATGTACAAACACAGAGCATTACTGGAGTGTCAGGTCTCCCGTGCCAATGCTGTGGTTGAATGGTTTAAAAGAAACCAAGAAATTGTGCCAAATAGAAAATACCAAGTTGTTAGTGAAGGTGTTTACAGACAACTCATCATAGAGGATGTGGGGTCTTCAGATGAAGACACTTTTATCTGTGATGCTGTTGATGAGAGGACTTCTTGCCAACTTTTTGTAGAAGGTGAGGTTAAAATAAATGCAAACTTTAAATACAGTTCATTTAGTTCCTCCATTCAGTCTGTCTGCTTGAAATATTAAGACTTTTATGATTTATTGTTACAGAGCAGGCCATCAGTATTTTGAGAGGACTCAGTTCTGTCGAGGTCATGGAACCTAAAGAGGCTTGTTTTAAAGTGGAAACCAGTATTAAGTTGGAGAGGGCTCCAAAATGGACCCTGAATGGGCAGATACTGTTCCCCTGTCCAGACATTAGGATTGAGAGGCAAGGAACTTCTCACAGACTTATTTTTACCCAAACTGACAGTAGTATGTGTGGTACTGTACAGTTCACCTCGGGCAAGAGCAAGTCAGAAGCTCAACTAACAGTTACAGGTAATTATGCTGTTATTTAAAATATTCAGTGTAGGGATGTAGCCAGTGTAATTAAAAAGAATGCTCACACTGTATTTTTATATTCCCCTTTACACAGTCTTCGGGCCTTAAAATATTCATTGTATTTTTTCCTAAATTACTCCCATCTTCCTCTCTTTTTTGTTTTTTTTCCCCATTAGTTTACAATTGAATGATTTAATGAACTTTAAATAAAAAACGCTAGTCTAATAAATTTTTTTAAGTTTATTTAGCTTGCATTTTGTATAATAATATATACATACAAAATAACATAATTATATAAATAAAATAAAATAAAAAAAAAACAAGTATTGAAATCCCTGTGTATGATTGCTGCTTGGTATGTTATATATTTAGAGAGATTATAATGAAAAATCGGATGTATATGTATATACTGGTGTACCCCCCCCCCTCCAAAAAAGTTAACTTAATCGTTTTAACGAATTTTAGGTGGATTGAAATAAAAAACAATTAGGTTGCCCCCCCTCCCCCACCACCCTTAAAAACCCTAAAAAAAACATAAGAATTTTGTTGTTTCAAGTATTTTAAAATAAGTAGTTTGAACAAGCAGCAAATGTATTTTTTACTGCAGGGTGGTTCTTTGAGAAAGTCTTACAAATAAAGAGAGATTAAAATTTAAGCATGGGATGATAACTGTTTTCTAAGGTTCATCGCAGTTTGGAAAAGTCAAGGTTTTAAACTTGCAGATAATACTGCTATACCTAAAGTATGTGTAAGTATTTTTTTTTTTTTACATGCTTTTTTGATATTATTTTGTTTAGTTTTTTAGGGCAACAGTACCTCAAGCAGAAAAGTCCTCCTCATCAAAAGCTACTGATCAGCAAATGATTCAGCAAAAATTTGAGAAACACATTGCTTATAAAGCAACATCCACTGCTGCTATGTGCATCCTATGTGCTATACACTTGAACAGTGCAGTGGCTTACTTACTTTATATCCAAAGTATCCAAAGATAGCAGAAGTCGTATATCATATTTTAAATGTTTCTTAAAATATATTATCAAGTGTTAATTAGGAAGTTTTTTATTTTTTTTACCCAGAAGAACATATTTTAGTGCAGCAGTTCCCAACAGGGGGTCCTGGCCAACAAGGAGGTCTCAGCAAGCTGTAAAATAAAATAAAAAACTAAATTAAGCAGTGCACAAATTTGGGGAACAATCATATGTTGCCTTAGTTCATTTCATCACCTGGCTGACAAAAAAAAATTGACAAATTTATCATTTTTCCTCCACAAAAAAAAGAGTGTGTCTTACTCATTCGCCTTCAGCAGCTAATACTGACTGAAGCCAACTGGACCCTGGTGAGGAAGTTCCAAACATTTCAGGTTGCAGTACTAGCAAAACTGGAAACACAAAATTCAGGAAATACCAAGATAGTTACCTGAACTATGGTTTTATTCTATTTTCTAGAAGGAAAGAGTCCCTGACCCAGCCACAGTGTATTATCTGTGCCAAAGTTCTTTCTAACGAATGCATGAGGTCATCCAAATTAATAAGACTTTTGTAGACAACGCATCCCCAATACCACAACAAGACCAGAGCAGTTTTTGCAAAAGAATTGACACACTCCCAAAATGAGATGAGGGATGTCACAACTAACTGGCAATTAATATAGGGCCAATATAAAAGCCAAATGCTTGCATTTTTCAGTAACAAACGGCCTACTGATGATTTGCTTTTATATTTAGGCTATTATTTGTGCAGAAACATATTTAGATATAGTAATATACATACACTGTGTTTGAAAACTAAATTTTTTGTCATCCTTACTGCAAATTTACATGAGTGATAATATAATTAAATGTTACCTTACAAGGGCCTTATAATATTTTTCGGAAGGGAAATGGAGTCTCAGGCAAAAAAAAAAAAAGGTTGGGACTCCACTGTTTTAGAGCAGTAAGCAAGATACTGTGAAATCATGATATTTTTATCCAAGATTTTCATACCGTCAGAATCTTTTTACGAGCTCATGCCTATTCAAATTCAGGTAAATTAACATGCAGGACATGCAGACTTTAAAAAATATATTATATGCATTTTAAAATTGTAATTACTTGCAGAGATGCAATTGCAAAGTTACTCATCTTTTTAATGTTTACATCGATGATCACTAAATCAGAGCATGGAGTTACTGTATGCTCTACTTTTTAAAGTGAAACCTTTCTTGCCTATACTTTAGAGCGGCCTTTAATTGTCAAACAGCCCATCTCAGATGTGGAGGAAAAGGAGAACGGGTCAGTAACCCTCAGCTGTGAGTTCTGTCCATCCCCCAGAGTGGTGCGCTGGTTTAAGGGCAGAACACCTTTGTTTGCCTCCAATAAGTATACAATAAAGCGGGAGAAGAACCGGGTTGAGATGACCATCCTGGGTGTGAAGGCAGCAGATTCGGGAGAGTATCGCTGTGTGGCTGGTGGATCAGAAACAAGAGGAAAAGTCAATGTAAAAGGTATCTGCTCTCAGCTGTAACTTAGCCTGTCTTTATTTTTGTAGCACTTTTTACAATGTAGATTGTATCAAACATAGATGAATAAAAGAGATTAAAAGCCTTAAAATGTCTAATTGTGGAACATTCCAGCAATTCAGACAGGCAGGAAAGTAGTCTTACACTACTCTACAATGCACTACGCTACACTACAATGCACTACTTATAATGTTATTAACTGTATAATGGATTTTTACCTATGATATCAGATTAAGGGCAGACTCACAATATGTACAGTTGCTTTGAACCGGGCCAAAGCAAGCTTGTTTGCGTTCATTGAACAGTAAGAATGATTAATAAACACACATGAAACAGTCCCTTAAAAGTCACGTCTCACTTTCAGTTTCGGGCTCAGGCACATTTTGCACTCACACACAAGCGTACCGCGCCAAAGCCCAAGTGAACCCCGATTCAGCGCACTCACACTTCTCAAACAATCCGGGAAACTGGCCTGGCACTGTTCGGATAGCATAGTGTGAGTAGGCCCTTAGACACAACGTGCACTTGCTAGTCTTCAAAACACAAAAGTAGTTTTTATGAAGCATCTTTAGAGCTCTGATAAGACATATTTAGTTAAATAGTTAATTTAAAATACATTTCTTTATCACACAGTGAAAAAGTTGAAGATCATAAGACACCTGGAGCAAGTAGAGGCTGAGGAAGATGGGACTGCAGTGTTCTGCTGTGAACTGAATCACGAGTCGCCCAGTGTCCAGTGGCTTCTCAATGACAAAGTGCTACATACCAACCACATCAACAAAATCCAGAACTCTGGAAAAGTGTACAGTCTGATACTGAAACGTCTTACTCCTCAAGAGAGCCGTATAACATTCAAAAGCCTTGATATCAGTGAATCTGCATTCCTCAGGGTCAGAGGTGAGGCTTTCACTTATCGTGGGATAAGAAAACTGAATTGTAAAATAAACTGCGCTCTATACTTTACATTCAGAACAGAGACAGATGTGCTAATTAACAACAAATATTGCATTTTTAATTCCATGCACCAAGCACTTTCTTAAAGCACTATTTAAGGGTTATAATTCTCGATGTCTGATCTGACAAGCATGCATCCTCTGTCATTATGAGAATTTGTTGTCTTATTTGAACATTTTATAATACAACATTTATCATTCTTTCGTACTGTACATTGGAATGTTGTGCTGCATAAATTTACTATAGTGTGCAAATAGTTTACTTTTCTAGATTCTAACATCTGCATTATGTTTCCAACACTGTTTTTTTTTTTTTAATATCCAAGATGTTCAACAGATGTGACTGACCTGTCAGAATCAAGTATTTCAGAGACCACATTCATTTATTTTCCTTTGGCTTAGTCAAATTATTCATTAGGGGTCACTACAGCGGAATAAACCGCCAATGTATCCACACCTTTTTTCTGCAGCGGATGTCCTTCCAGCTGCAACACAGTACTGGGAAACATCCATTCACACTCATACACTACGACCAATTTAGTTTATTTAATTCACCTATAGTGCATGTGTTTGGACTGTGGGGGAAACCAGAGCACCCGGAGGAAACTTACATGGGGAGAACATGCAAACTCCATACAAAAGTGCAAACTAACTCAGCCGGGACTCGAACCAGTGACCTTCTTGCTGTGAGGCTACAGTGCTAATCCATCGTGTCAGCCTCAGAGACCACATGTAATAAATAATTATAATAAAAAAATACTAGTTTACAATATAAAATAAAAATAATCAAAATTTGTAACAGGTTACAAATGGCTCCACTTGAATGTTGAAAATAAGGATAGATTATTTATCATTTATTTATTATTTATTAGATTGGTATCATTTACATTTAGGTATGACATTTGCCCTGCTGTGTGTTTGTGTGTGTTTTTAAGAAAAGCCAGCAGTGTTCTTCAGGTCACTGGAGGATGTAGCAGGTGAAGAGCGTGGTGAAATCCTTCTGCAGTGTGAGGTTTCCAAGCCATCTGTGACGCCAGTCTGGAGGAAAGATGGTGAAATACTGAACTCCACTGAGAAGTATGAGATTCTCCATGTGGGAAAATCCTTGACACTTAAAATTCACAAGCTGATAAAGGAAGACGGAGGGGAGTACAGCTGTGATATTGGCTGCAGCCAAACTAAAGCTAAAGTCACAGTTCGGGGTATGTTTACCTTTTGTATTCTTTAACTGTAATGTATGGAAAGAGGATTAGAGGCAAAGCAATAATTAAACATTTAACCATCTCGAGATTTCAGAATAAAGTTATTAAATTCTGTGAAAATCTTTTTGAAATTTTAAGATTAATGTAATTCTTGACATTTAGACATGCAAATGTTCTTTGTTTATTGTTTTTTTTTCTCTATTTTTTTCCCTAAACATTTTATTTGAACTATTTTTTGAAATTTAACTAGTTTGATCTCACATTATATTGACTTTAATCCCAAGATGTTTTTTTTTATTTAAAATATTACTTGGACCAAATCCCAAGATGATTTAATTGTTATTATTACTTCACCCTTATCCACTTCTGTTGATATTTATTATTTAAAAATGTCAAATTGTTACATTTTAAACTGAGGAAATTTTTCCAGACCTCCACATAACTATTGTCAAACGCATACGGACCGCAACTGTGCTGGAAGGAGAAAGCTGTAGTTTTGAGTGTGTTCTGTCCCATGAAATCATCGATGAAGCATTCTGGAATATGAATGGCCAGCTTATTGTTAGCAATCGACGGATCATAGTCGCTAACGAGGGTCGCAAATACACAATGAGCATAGAGGAAGTGATGACATCTGATGCCGGTGAAGTGGTCTTTAGTATTAAAGAACTCAGTTGCAGGACTATGCTTTTTGTCAAAGGTGAGTCCAGTAGTGATGCTGCGATTAGATTTGTTCTAGCCAAGTACCAATTCCTTGTCATGGTGATCGGCCGATTCTGATGCTTCAAGCTTTCTATAACTGTGCCAATGCATAAAGCACATTTTCCCTCTCAGTATAATACTTACGTGGAGCTTTCGTCTTGCCTAAGAGAATAAATTAAGAATATTTCACATAATCGCTAATATAATTTGTTGACATGTCATGGTCAGAAGCAGCTTTACAGAAAATAATAGATAAAACGAATTAAAAAGATTGTAGCCCTGCTGATGTATAACCCAGATGCGCATGTGCATCTTCCTCTACTTGTAAACTCGTAAACAATAACACTTGCGGTCGGTTCATGAGATCGGCCAGATTATTGAGTACCAGATTATTGAGTAATGAAATGTGATTATAGGCCGATACCGATCTTCAGCTGATCGATCGGAGCATCCCTAGAGTCCAGCTATTATTATTATTTATTATTTAGTAATCAGTCTTTCTCTACTTGTAAACTCATAAGCAGTAACACTTACGATCGGTTCATGAGATTGTTCAGATTATTGAGTACCAGATTATTGAGTAATGAAATCTGATTATCGGCCGATATCGATCTTCGGCTGATCGATAAGAGCATCCCTAGAGTCCAGTTATTTTTATTATTTATAATTTAGTAATCAGTTTAGAAGACATGCTCATTCTGTGTCTTTTTTTCTCAGAGAAACCTGTGAGAGTTTTTAGGGATATGCTCAATGTAAAAGCGACACCCGGGGAGGATCCAGAGCTCAGCTGTGAGATCACTAAACCTGATGCAACAGTTAAATGGCTGAAAAATGGCAGACAAATTAGAGTCAGCCCGAAATATGAAATCACTCAAAAGGACTATCTGGTGAAGCTCATCATCCATAATGCAGCCATAATGGACTCTGGAGAATACTGCTGTGAGGCTGATGGGATCGCAACAAGGGCGAGATTAGATGTGAGAGGTAATTACTTCTTTATTAACTGTTACAACGTTGTGACTATGTACTTCATTAGTTATAATTACTTATTCTTTTATATTACTACTTAAGTAATTTTACTTTGGGTACTAGTACAGCTTTAAAATCTAGTAGTAGTTATTAATTATATTGTTATTATTAAATGATAGTTTTCATTCTTTAGATAATATTGCATATTAAATAGACACTAGTGCTTATTCAGCAGATACTACTACCTATTCAACACATATTTGTATTTATTTATTAAATCCTAGTAGTAGAGGTACTTTATTTTTTATCAGAGGCTATTACTATTTATTACTACTATTTTTGTGACAATTAAAATAAGTAATATTTAATAGTTTAGTTTATTATCTATTTAATATGTACTATTACCTTTTGAATTAGTTAAATTATCGGTCCCACTTTATATTAAGTGTCCTTAACTACCATGTAGTTGCATCAAAAAATAAAAACACTGTACTTACTGTGTTCATAATGTATTTGAGAACACTTGTGGTGCTCTTGAGTTGAGATAGGGGTTGGGTTATGCACAGGTTTGGTGGTATGGGTAGGTTTAAGGGTGGGTTAAGATGTAGAGAATGGTCAGCAGTGTATTTACAAATGTAATTACAGAAGTTAGTTACAGATGTATTTACATACAGGTATTAAATCAAGCATAAGTACACAATAAATACATGTATTTACACAATAAGTACATTGTAACAAACTATTAATTCCTGTGTAAGTACATATTAATTAAGGACACTTAAAATAAAGTGGGACCAAATTATCTAATATTAAGAATCATATCTTATGAAGTACATTACAGTACGGTGTACAGTAGCTAATGAATAGTTTGAGGTAATTGGTGAATACGTGCTAGTGTCTATTTAAATGGATAGTTAAGCTAAAAATGAAAATTCTGTCATCATTCACTCACCCTTGACTTGTTCCAAACCAGTTTGTTGTTCTCTTGAACACAAAGAATACATTTTGAAAAATGTTGGAAATCTGCAACCATTGACTTCCATAATATTAGTTTTTCCCTCTATGGATGCCAATGTTTAGTAGTTTCAACATTTTTCAAAATATCTTATTTTACCTTCAACAGAAGAAAATAAAAACCCAAACTGGTTTGGAACTAGTTTTGCAAGTCTGGGGTGAGTAAATGATCCCATCATTTTTTTATAAAATTGTGAATTATCCTTTTAATAGGTTCTGCTGAATCTCATTTACATGTTTCTTGTTGTGTATTCAGATTTGCAGCATGCTTTTGCAAAGGAACTGAAGGATGTGTTTGCAGAGGAAAAGGGCATAGTGGTCCTGGAGTGTGAAACCAGGCAGCCTGCCACAACAGTGACATGGTTAAAAGGCTTGATGGTGCTCAGATCGGGGCACAAGTACATAATGAAGAAGAAAGATGTTCTTCTTACTCTGACCATCTTCAACCTGGAGAAGAGTGACAGTGCTGTTTACATCTGTGATGTTGGGACAATGCAGAGCAGGGCATTACTTACAGTTCAAGGTAGCCAAATCAGATAAATCAATAGATATTTATTTGTTTATTTAAAACAATAAACATCACAATATTTACTGTGAACAAATGCCTTCAACTTCTGTCAGAATCTAACTGTTTTAAAATAGTTCTGAGATTAGTAAACGGTATGTACTAGAATAAAGCGTTAAACATTTGGTTTTTTATTTATCTATTAGATTATTCCATTTATTTCCAATTTTCAGGTCAAAAAGTGGTTATAGTGGATGAGCTAGAAGATAAAGAGTGTCTAGAAGGGGAGACCATCATCTTTAGGTGTCGAATCTGCCCAAGTGACTACACTGATGTTAAATGGTACCTGGACGAGACCTTGCTGTACACCAATGATCTTAACGAGATCATGATGATTCCTGGTGGCTACCATACTCTTACCTTCAAACAGCTGGCACGGAAAGACACTGGCACCATCATCTTTGAGGCTGGGGACAAAAGATCATACGCATCACTGTTAGTCAGAGGTAACAATAATAAAACCATGAAAAGATTTACATAGCAAATAAGTTTGAAATAAATCATTGCACCTTTACAGAGATTACTTTAAGGTGACGCTAGTCAATATTTCTTTTACAGCTTTGATATTAAACATAGACAATGTTATGATTATGTGACTACTTCGGTTTAAAAGTTACATTTCTCAATTTCATTTAAAAAAAGGTAAATGGGCTACCTCCAAAAATGTTTACTAACATTATGCACAGTATTTTAAATCCTTTCACTCTACAAAAAATCCTTTACTTTGAGCATTTTTTAGAACATTAAAAAATGTAATGTAGAATTTTTTAATAAAACTAAAAGGAGTAATAGTTAAATTCCTTATTAACATTAAGCTAATTTTTTTCTCATTTGATGCAATCCACATTTGTGCATTCTTTTTGCATATTTTGCTTGCCTGGTGTTAATTGGATTGTACTGTGTAAATATCTTTGAACGATTATTAGTAGCAATTTATTTTTTAGATAAAAAAAATTCACTGACAGTATATTAGAGAAAATGCATTACAATACATACAATTCAATACAAACTTTTAAGGTTTAGAAGTTAGAACAACAAGTTGCAACATAGGCTCATTCTGAAAATGTAGCCCTATATACATTTCTTGAGATCGTGAAGATCTTTTTGTCTTTAAAATTTGACCAGTAGCTCGCCATGTCGGCAGACTTGAGACGCAGAGAGGAATTGACCACGACTACGGGGTTTGATTCCAGCGAAAAACGGTTCCAGAAAGCGGGTATGACAAAAACAGAATCTAAAAAATAAAATAAACAAGTAAATAACAGAATGAAAATGTGGTAAAATTTGAAAATGTTGTAAAAATCAGACTAAGGCTTTTCTTTTTCTTGATTGCTGTTTAAAACTTCCTCTCCGGGTTTAGGGAAGTGGGTGGGCGGGTCAATCGGTGCTTTTGAAAACACTATTGGTTGGGTTAAGGGAAGAAGGAGGGTGGGTCAGTCATTCGGTCAGTTGACAGCGGCCTCTGGTGGATTTAAACGAGAACAGCAGGTGCGAAAGGAACTCGAGATAGATATTTGAGATCTCAAAAAGCATACACAGCAGCTTCTTCTTTAAACTTTCATCCTGGGACATATTTGGTGCTCTCCAGAAATGTATATAGCTGTACATTTTTAGAATGAGCCTGGGTTGACAAAACAACTTTTAAATGTGTCTTTTTATTGACTTATAACATATTCATATAAATATGTACTGAACACAGCATTAAACATGTTTTTCTTAACTTGTTGCTTTTTGTGCGACTGCTTTGAATCACAGAAAGACGCCCCACTATTACTAAAGCTTTAGAGAACACAGAAGCAATTGAAGGAGGAAGTTTGATGCTGCTGTGCAAGACCTCAAAGCCATGTCATATTGTTTGGTACAAGGATGGCTGTTTAATCTGGAATTCCTCAAAGTATTTAGTGAGTCGGTCTGGAAATGAGGCCAGGCTGGCCATCCGTGATATAAAAGACAGTGATGCAGGCATATACGAGTGCAATGCAGGATCTGTCAGCACTAAAGCCACTGTGACTGTTAAAGGTATTTGACATCTCTTTTCTACCAAGTTTTTGTTTCATTGCTTTTTCTGAATTGTGTCCCTGAACCAAAATTTTTTTTTAACAAAAGCCATAAAATGTCAGAATTAAACATTTTGCTTTTATGCCAAAATCATTTGAATATTAAAGGGGACCTATTTTGCGAGAAGTAATATAAGTCTCTAGTGTTCCAAGAGTGTGTAAGTGAAGTTTCAGTTCAAAATGCCACACAAATAATGTTTTATAACTTTGAAACTGCCTCTTTTAGGCTTTAATCTGAATTGTGCCATGTTTGTGACTGTTGCATTGGATTAAAATGAGATTGTGTCAGCATAGTGGCAGATTCAAATACAAGATTAACGTGCTATGCTAATAGATGAGAGATTGCCAATAATGGCCGGGGCTTTCCCCCTTTAATGACATTTACAAAGAGAGAATGTCAATCAAAAGGTTTCTGCAGACATATTTGCCATTAGAAGCGGGCTATATTCACAGACTGTTGCCAGACAAATGTGTTTAAACAAGTGAATTTTTAAGTAAATTTTGCATAAAAGGTCCCCTTTAAATAAAGATTACATTCCATGAATTTATCTACAGTACCATAAAAAATTGAAAACTACATTTTTGTTTAGTAGCGTACATTACTTAGAACTTGATTAGTTTAGAAATTAATTAGTTTAAATCCTCAGATTCCAGGTTTTCACATACTGTAGTTGTAGTTTAGCTAAATATTGTCCAATCCTATCTAAGTATACATAAATGGAAAGCTAATTTATTTGACTTTCTTAAAATGCTTAAATCTAAATTTCCAAAAAAACGGACACTTAAAACTGGGTGTGTTCTGCTTCACAGTCACAAATGACATCATTGTTATCTGTCTGTAATCATCTCAATTTTTGTTTGACATTAGCTATCCCTGCTGAGTTTACAAAAGAGCTTCTGAACCAGGAGGTGAAAGAGGGAGAAAGTGTGACACTGATGTGTGAATATTCAATACCCGGCATCCAGTTTGTGTGGCGGAAAGGACCAGAGACTCTAAAATCTAGCGAGAAGTACCACATGAGGCAGAGGAAATCTTGCATTTCTCTGGCAATACACAACGTGAAACCAGATGATTCTGGGAATTACACATGCATATGCAGAGACCAAAAAACTATGGCTACAGTTACAGTCAATGGTAATGTTATTGAATTATATGAATAAATGATATTGAATTACCATAGCATATATTTATTTGATAACATTGAAGTCACACTTGCATGGTTCTTTTTTTTCCAGCGGTTCCTATCTCATTCATTAAAGAGCTTAAAAACCAAGAGACAGAGGAGGGTAAAACTATGACCTTACGCTGTGAGCTTTCTAAAGCTGGTGTCCCAGTAGAATGGCTGAAAGGCAAACAAACTCTCTGTCCTGGGGAGAAGTATCAGATGAGGCACATAGTCACAATATTGGAGTTGGTAATCAGAAACCCAGTGCCAGAGGACAGTGGAACCTACATCTGTGTGTGCGAGGATCAAAGCACTAAAGCCGATATCAAAATACGAAGTGAGACAATGTTCATTACGTAGATTTTGCTTCCTGAAATCCTAAAAATGAAGTTTACATCATCTTTTACTTTTTTTTTTTAGCTCAACCCATCACTTTCAAACAAAAGCTAAGAAATCAAATGACTGAGGAGGGAAGCAGCGTAATATTACACTGTGAGATATCCAAAGCAGACATCCCAGTTGAGTGGAGAAAGGGGAACATCCTCCTCAAATCTGGAGAGAAGTACAAGATCAGACAGAGAGGATGTATTCTAGAGCTGAAGATTTTTAATTTGACGCAAGAAGATAGTGGACTCTATAGCTGTGCAAGTGAAACTGCGGAGACGTCTGCCAACGTCACTGTTAGCGGTAAGCTAGTTCAATTCACAACAAGGTTTTTCCTGTCAGGACAGTGTAATTTATAAATACTCAGTGCTTCCCACACATAGACTTTACCATATGCGGGTCGTGCAGGTATATTAATGGGCAAGTATATTTAGTGACACTTTTTTTTTTTACTATTATTTGTATCTTCTTTTTACACTATTTTGTATCCGCCTAATATAACCAAACGTCTGCGTTTAATTAGGTAGGTTTTGTTATGTGCATGACACCTGTCAACACTCCCACAGACAGTCTCACATGCTCTGCAGACCCACAGAGATGCACCGTTTTGGCACTTAAAAAAATTGTCAGGCCGGGCTTTCTAAATCATCTAAAATGTCCGGGGTTCGGCTTTCTCTTTCTAAAACTATCGTTAATTGTATGCATTATTGCATTAGCTTTTTAAGGAGAAACATTACATAATTAATTCTTGAATCTAAATGATTCAGAAAAACTTTACTATATACTTGAAGAGGATGAAATGCCTGGTCTAAACTGTCTGCAAGATATTTGTACACAGTTAGTAATGGTTAATCAATGCATTTGCGTTTATTTAAATAATCTACATCCTGTAATTATGACAATTTTTTGAGATATTGTCTGTTTTTATTCCTTTTTTTCTGTCATTTATTTCTCATTTGCTGTATATTTTATTAATTTGATGATGTCATTAGACTGCATTAGATTTTATATACATATCTAAAATGCTTTGGCATTCAAGTTTGCTTTAAACTTAAAAGAGAGAGAAGCAGGTTTGGTAACACTTTATTTTGATAGTCCATTTGAGTATTAGTAGACTGTCTGCTTAATATCTGCTGATACTGCTCCATCAACAGACATTTAACTGACCATAAGAAACTTTGCAAGTATTTGTCAACTTACACTCACCCTAACCCCAATCATAACAGTACTTATAATCTAATGAGAATAAGTTGGAATGCAGCTGCAATGTAACTTAAATTCAACAAACGTATCATCAAAATAAAGTGTGACCACAGATTTGACCAGTCAGTGGGTGCACGTGGCTCCTAAATAGCATAAAAAATATATTTTTTTACTTTAACCCATTGAAAAGAAGCAGTGTATAACAATGTTGTAATAAAATTATTGATTGTTAAAAATTGAATTATGTTTTATTTGTCGCATATAGTTAACTATTTATCTGATGTGGATAAATGGTGTGTTTAAATCCAGCTTCTACTGCAAGTATATTTCAAACCTGTGGGAAGAGCAGGTAGATAAAAACATTTACCCTATAAAATTATTTGAAAATCTACAAAAACAAATTAATTTTTTGTAAGACACATTTTGTGTTAGGCCATATGCAGGGCTTAATTTGTGCCGGAACACGTGGGATGTGGATTCGGCACCTCTAAAATCTGATCTGGCACCTAATCCCCCTCCTCAACCGCCCTCCTCCCCCATCTGCTGTTCACTTTCACTTTTTTTCGCAATTCTCTACACCCCTCCGCCATCCACCACACCAACTAACCCTACCCCCCCCCCCCCCCCCCGCCTGTTTACTTTCGTGCACAACACCGATCCATCCTCTGGTAACATACCGGATCAGTTACCCCGATCTGTTCCAAGACTTTGAAATTCACAAATTAAGCACTGGCCATATGTTAAGGAGTGTTGTGAACATTGATGATACTACTTACCTCGAGAGAAGAATTGCTCAAAAATAATTAATAGTTATTCAAGTAACTTCAAAAACAAAAAAATGGCGACATTTAATGGGAAATAACTTTTTTTTATATCGATTTGGGTTTTTATTTGGTGCCTTCAAGACAACTATGTAAATTGACAGAAATGTATTAGCCAGCTTGATAAATAATAGGATGCTTTTGCACAGACATTGTACAGTACATTACAGAAAAACTGTGTTTTTGTTGCGTTGTACAAAATCGATGAATGTGAGATTTGTTGTTGCTTTTTTGTTTTAATTGCAAGTCAGCTGGCCTAAAATCAGTAAAACTAGCCCAAGAAAACTGGTCAAACTTATTGTTGAACCTGTTGGTTTCAAAATGTTTTATTGTTCGGTCACAATAAGTAGAAAGAACAAAAAATTAAGGACATACCTATTTGTTTCTTTTTGCTCTGTAGCTCAACATGTCATTTTCAAAGAGAAGCTGAAAAACGTAGTGGCTGACGAAGGGAAGACGATAACATTGCACTGTGAGGTTTCCAAAACAGGTGTCCCGGTACAGTGGTGGAAGGGAGATGAACTCCTCCAGTTTGGAGAGAAGTATAAGATGAGAGAACGAGACACATCAGTTGAGCTGATCATCAGTGAAGCTGTGGCTGAAGACAGTGGAGTCTACAGATGTGTCTGTGGAGACCAAAAGACAAAAGCTACTATCAAAATAGTTGGTAAGATTTTGTTTCTTTGAGTTAAATCATTAGTTGTTTCATTATTTTTAAGTACATATATATGTTTCTTTAGGTGCTCCTGCTACTTTTAAGCAAGACCTTAAGAACCAAGAAGCTTTAGAAGGGGGATCTATAACCCTACACTGTGAGCTTTCCAAATCTGACGCACCTGTGGAGTGGAGGAAAGGAGATAAACTCATCCTTCCAGGTCCACGGTTTCAAATGAGGCTGAATGGAAAGACTGCAGAGTTGGTAATAAGTAATGTTTTTCCTGAAGATGCTGGAACATACAGCTGTGTGACTGGAGACCAAAAGACCACAGCTGAAGTAAAAGTCAAAAGTAAGTTCTTAAGTTTGTTATTACAGTATGTACAATATACACTACATTCAGCAAGGATGCCTTCAATTCATGATTGTTTCACCAATGCTATGTGTGGACACATCTAAGGTAAACTTTCTCTATAATTTACATTTAAATTCAATTGAGGTTTTTGTACAGCGCTTTTTACAATAGTTATTGTTTCAATGCAGCTTTATTAAAGATGCACATTATTGCATTACAATCAAATTAAGTTTAAGTTAAAATGAAATAAGTTATTACATACAGACATAGTCATAGTCAAAATACATCCATAACACTGATATTTTAATAATAAAGTGATAAAGCGTATTTTGTTTTGGGATTTACAGATTTAACACCATCATCCTTTATCTCAAACAGTTAAAAATATTTACACCATTACATACCTCACTAGTGACCCGTTAAAATTTGTAATAAAAAAAAAAAAAAACAGAAAATCATGTTTTAGTTTTGTAGTTGTATTTCTTGGTGGAGGTCTACCTTAAAACTTCTGTTGGACTTTGATTCTGCAAAATTAGTTGCCAAAATAATAATATTTTGCACAAGCACAACTGTTTTCAACCTATAAAGAGCCCCCAAAAAAAATCATGTTGTCACGATCACCAGCAATCCAGCCTGTGCAGCAGATTGTATAATTTGGGTTGAGCTAATCAAAAGATTGTAAATCTGCCGGTAATGGACTACAAGATCCAGTCATGCAGCTTACAGACACACCTGCTCTAAGTCTCCATTGATTAGAGTCACACAGCTGATGCTGCTCATGGACTGATTACACCACACATATATATGGCTCACATCAAGACATCTGGCCTTTCATGGGACTCAGGTGGCGGCTATGGCCATTTGAGGGATTAGACAGAATCTGGCGCCCCTGGTCATTTGGAGAATTCAGGAGGATCTGGTGCCCCTGACCATTTGGGGAATTCGGAAGGATCCTTACAGCGATCTGCACAGCATTGATCGCTGGTGATCGTGACACATGTAGCAGTCACGACTGGAAAAATTGCTCTTGAAAATAAATTTTTGGCCAAATATCAGCAAAATACATTTTGAAACGTTTCAGTAAAAATAAATGTAAAAATATTTTTAAATAGACTTTTTTAAAATGAAAAATATACTTACAATACTACTTTTACCTTGCTTTTTTATGGCGTTGTTTACTTTTAAACATCTTATAATTTCTGTCTATAAAGTAATGGGTCATATTATAAGACAAAACTTATTGTTGATATTTTCTCAGGTCTTCCAATTACATTCAAGCGAGAGCTTCAGAACCAGGTGTCTATAGAAGGTGGGAGTGCAGTATTTACCTGCGAGCTTTCAAAGCCTGGTGCTCCAGTCGAGTGGAGGAAAGGTAGAGTGATTCTGAAAGCTGGAGCCAAATATCACACAACGCTTGAGGGCCGATTAACCAAACTGGCCATAAACAACCTTGTGGAAGGTGATGCAGGAAATTACACCTGTAAAACCAAAGATTCACAGTCGACAGCCGAATTGACAGTTCAAGGTATGATTCGATCCAATATGAAGAGATGCAAATTGGAGCATTTTTTTTAACATTATGGAACTCATATGCATTTCATTTTCATGTGATTTTCTCTAGCATTGAGTGATCAAGTTCCTCCATTTCATATAAAATGTCCATTTTCTTCCACAGCAACAGTAGCATACTATCATGGCATTACACAAAGTCACTTTTGATTAGTTCACTGTTGGAGTTTCATTGCATGATGTTCAAATTCATACCTTATAATTACACTCCTCATTTAAAATCAGGAAAATTCCCAATATAAGAAATCCTTTTATTTATTTTTGGTTAAAACTAGAAAGGTGGCTTTTTCCTTTGATCGCAGATTCAACACAATTTATTATGTGCTGATGTACATAATACATCAATGAAATGAAACCCGGTAGATGCCTTTGATTTTTGCTTATGTAGTTATTAAATCAGATTGATTTCCAGAGCAAAAAGTATCTACATGATGGGAAGATAGCTTTAAAGCTTTTAGCAAGTCTACAGTGCACAAACACATTCTTACTCAGTTCCCGACTTTTTGAAGGACTCCCTGCTACATTTAAAGCAACTCTTAAGAGCCAAGAAGTTCAGGAAGGGAACAGTGTCACTTTGAACTGTGAACTTTCAAAGGCCGGAGGTCGAGTAGAGTGGTGGAAAGGAGAAGAAATGCTCAAGACTGGGGAAAAATATCAACTGAGACACAAGGAAGCAAAAGCAGAGCTACTAATAAGGAAGGCACAATCAGAAGACAGTGGGGTTTATCGATGTGTGTGTGGAGAGCAAAAGACTGAAGCCATCATCAAAGTTAATGGTATGAATTTGTTCCAGGATGTTTTAATATGCAAATTGCTAATGTAGGTGAGCATTATAATGATAAAGCAGTTCAATAGAAAGTATACTCAGACATGAAACATCTGCTTTGCATAGCTCTCCCCATAACCTTCAAACAAGAGCTGAAGAATCAAGAAGGCGATGAAGGGAACAATGTCATCTTGCGATGTGAACTCTCAAAGGCCAGTGCTGATGTAGAGTGGATGAAGGGAGAGGAAGTCCTTACACCTGGAGAAAAGTACCAGATGAGACAGATTGGAACTAAACTGGAGCTTGTTATCAGGAAAGCCATACCTGAAGATAGTGGACTCTATATTTGCGTATGCCCGGATCAGACATCTAAAGCTACAGTTAAAATCAATGGTACAAAACAAAAAGAAACTATAACATTTGCTACTTATCCAAGTTAAATATGCTTAGTTGACCCAAATGTGTTTACAATCTCTTAGCTACTCCAATCACGTTTAAACAAAACCTGAGAAATCAAGAGGTGACGGAGGGGAACACTGTTGCATTGCGCTGTGAGCTTTCCAAACCAGGAGCCACAGTGAAATGGTGGAAGGGTGCAGAGATGCTGCTAGCTGGAGAAAGGTATCAGATGAGGATAGAGGGAAGGATTGCAGAACTTCTCATCAAAAATGTCAACTCTGAAGATGTTGGCTCCTACAGCTGCACTATGGGAAAAGAAAAGACGGTTGCGGAGGTCAAAGTCAGGGGTATGCAGACTTTGATCTCTGCAAACACAAGTAGTACACATTAGAAGTATCTATCGCTTTTGGATCATTTTCAAACTTACATTTTTATGGTTTCCATAGCTCTCCCTGTCACTTTTAAACGAGAACTCCAAAACGAAGTTACCAAAGAAGGTGGGCAGGCTGTGTTTAGCTGTGAGCTCTCTAAACCCGGCGCACAAGTTGATTGGAGAAAAGGAAGAGTTATTCTTAAAGCCGATGACAAGTATGAAATGAAGCAAGAGGGAACGTTCACCCAACTGTTCATACATAATGTTGAACCAAGTGATGCGGGGAACTATTCATGTAAAACTAAAGATTCTGAGTCAACTGCGGAGCTCACTGTTAAGGGTAAGACTTTTTGCAGAGGCAGCTTGGTCTTTTTGTTTTAGCTTGCTCCTATGATGTTGCATTGCTTCATATGCTACAGTCTTCTGCTTCGCTGTGCTTTGAGGGCCTGCATGGTTTGGTTGTGAAATAATCTGGCATATCTCTACCGCTTCCAGTTCCACCTATCACTTTCAAAGTCAAATTGAAGAATCAGGAAGTCGAAGAAGAAAATAAACTCACGTTACATTGTGAGCTCTCAAAAGCTGGATGTCCTGTTGAGTGGAGGAAGGGGGAAGAGGTCCTTAGACCTGGGTATAAGTATCAAATCAGGGAAAATGATGTTGCAAGGGAGCTGATCATCATGAGCGCCATGCCTGAAGACAGTGGAGTGTACAGTTGCATTTGTGGAGAGCAGAAGACCAAAGCCACGGTCAGAGTGATCGGTATGGAAGAAGGTTTTTAAAGAAATTTGAGCTTTTATTGTTACTTGAGCTCCCCATGAGTTAACATGCTGCTTTGCTACTCTTCAGCCACGCCAGTAACATTCAAACAAAACCTGAAAAACCAAGAAGCTCCTGAGGGAGGTGTTGTTGTTCTGCACTGTGAGCTGTCCAAAGCTGGAGTACCAGTAACATGGTTAAAAGGGGACGAGGAGATTTATAGTGGGACGAAGTATAAGATTAAGCAGGAGGGATTGGCTGCCGAATTACACATTAAAAATGTCCTTCCTATGGATGTTGGGGAATACAGCTGCATTATTGGAGACCAGAGAACCACAGCTGAAGTTAATGTTAGGGGTAGGTCCTAAGCCACTTTACGGGGGTCATGAACTGAGAAATCAAATTCCGACCCAGGATAATTGGGAATACGTGCCCAGGGCTAAGGGGATGTTTCTTGTCAGCTTGTGACGATAAATCCACTAGAGGCCGCTGTCTACATTTTTTGCGAATCTCAAATGTGTTAGTCTTCTGTGTTTTCTGAAACGTGCCATTTACACGTTCTTCTTATAGGCGTCAGTGAGAAGCTGGGGCTTATCTTACATACAGTATACCACCTTGTGATCGACTGACCCAAACTCTTCTCTAAACTCAACTGATTGAACTACGTCTTCATATGTGAAAATCACACTGTAGCCTCATCGTTTAAGCTAGATTTTAAATATCTTTAACCTCTTATGTTGAACTGTCCTTCACCGGACTTAAACCTAACTACTCGGCATCTGAAATAAAACACTGTACAAGGTGAGCTACCCAGCAAACTGTCCAAGGTGAAAAGTAATCCATAGGAAGATTAGCAGGTGTGGCAAACGTGTTTCAATACAAATCTTTGACACTTTTTGGGTGTTTTATGGTATTTATTTAGTGTCGTGTGAAGAACCACGCAAAAAAATAATTATTTTATCCTCGATAATATGTATCATGTTGTAGCACGTTTTCATGGTTTTGCAGAAATGTACCCTAAGGCACGTATTTCCAATGAGCTCCTACTTTTTTTTTACATAACAGGTGATTGTACTATTAAAAACATTCTGTAAGATTAAGAACTAAAACACTGTTAGCTTTTGTTAGCCACTTTGTTATGGAATTGTGTGGCTGAACTCCACCTCTGCAGAAGATAAGATTTAAAAAACTTTAATTAAAGATTCAGTCAACTGACAATGCAGCCCTATGCGTGAAAATTTTCACAACTAAGAATGAAATGTTTCGTTTATGCACTATAAAAATTTATGATGTTGCTCATTGCATATACAAAAGTTAAATGGCATTCAGGAGAACATGAAATACACAGTATGTAAGTGCAATGTAGATACGTAAGTATGTTAATACGTCTTTTGTTTGGGTGTCAGTTGTTGATATTATTACTATTATTAAAAAAAAAAAAAGTTTTTTTTCTCACCAAAGGTGGAAAAACTTGTTCAAAAGTGACAGAAAAGACACAAAAGTAATAAATATTAGCATATAATAAAGATTTTTTTTTGTATTGGCTGCCAAATAACTTGCCATAAAAGTAATAAGTGACATTCACTTTAAAAAAGAGAAACATAATTATAATTTTATAAGTTTTTTTTTTAAATAAATACAGCCTTGGTGAGGACAAGAGACTTTATTATAAAGTGCAATAAATCATTAACTATGTCCTGTGGCTTAATAAACTCCTAATTTTCTGCTTATTAATAATAAGATAGTAGTTAGGATACATATTGGTAGGATTAGAGATGTAGAATAAGATAATGCAGAATATGTACATTATACGTGCTAAAAAAACAGCCAACATATGAATAACAGGCAGGTAATGAGGAATTAGTTAATAGTGAGAATTGGGACTTAAACTTCTTTTTAAAAATCTTACAGACATCTAAAAGTGCCTCATTATCTTTGCAAAAAAAGTCTTCAAATTCACCTTCAACTCTATCATTTCCACTCCTATTGATATCCTCATAGTCCTTCCATGATCTCTGTATGATACCCTTCATGAACCACAGGATCATACACACTCAGTGTCATTTCATATCATAAACCAGTTAACATTCCTACACGATTATCAAATGTGCAGTTACTTCTCAAAATTCCTTTGAGCTGCTGATTATATTCTCACTCCTTTCACAGCCGCTGCCTCTGTGTTCTTTGAGAAAGAGCTTGAGAGTCAAGAAGCAACAGAAGGAGAATCTGTCTTGTTTAGTTGTCTGCTCTCTAATGACAACGCCCCTGTGACCTGGAGAAAAGATACAGATCAGATCGCTCAGGGAGGACGGTATACCCTCCATCGAAAAGGCTCCACTCAGGAGCTTGAAATCAGGAAACTAAGACTGGAGGATGCTGGCGTTTACACATGCAACGTCAGGGGCAAAAAGAGCTCTGCGACCCTCAGAGTGATAGGTAAAACTGTAACCATAAAATAAAGCTTGCTTTCAAACCCGAACAAACACCAAGGTCTTTTTATTCTCCTTTTATTCTCGTTTCCAGAGCGTGTGAGGATAGTGAAAGGACTGCGTGACTTGACGGTTACTGCAGGCGAGAGCGCCCACTTTGTTTGTGAGCTTTCACATGAAAACATTCTTGATGGGGTTTGGTGGCTTGCTTCTAATGTGCTGCAAGAAAACGAGATGAACCAGATGAGTATCTGTGGCCGCCAACACCACTTGACGCTCACTATGACTACACCTGAAGAGTCGGGTGTTGTGTCCTTTGTGGTGGGAAATGAAAAGACATCTGCTCGTCTGCGAGTAAACAGCAAACCTAAAGGTGAGAATAAGGATCAGTTCTTTCATTTGTCTGCCTGACATATTTAAATAGAAATACTTCCCATATGCAATGCATCCTTTTGACTGCATACTTTTATTTTGTGCATCCTCTCAACAAGTGCATTCTCTGTTTATAGTTTTCATCGAGGAAAGACTGAAGGACATGACCATTTTTGAGGGAGATTCTGCCACTCTGTCCTGTGTGACTTCTGACTCCTGCACACCTGTCACTTGGAAACGTAACAATGTAACCCTGCTGCCTGGAGAAAAGTATGAACCTCTGAAACATGGCAAACGTAATGTTCTTCTCATTCACAAAGTCAGAACAGAGGATGCTGGGATTTACATGTGCGACACAGGAGACATGCAGAGTAGTGCTACTCTTACTGTCAAAGGTGCTGACAAAGTTTTTTTTTTTTTCACCATTTCAACAGCACATCTAATTTATTATACACATATTCATATTGTAAACATTTCTGTACTAAGTAAAACTGAATGATATTATCAGTTTTAGCTTAATTGATCAGTTTAATTAACAACAAATTGAAATTCCCTGTTTGTGACCCTGGACTATAAATTCAGTCTTATGTTGCGAGGGTATATTTGTGGCGATATCTGTCAATATTATTGATTTTTCTTTTATGCCAAAAATCATTAGAATATGAAGTAAAGGTCATGTTCCATGATGAAATAAAAATACCTTTCCCTTTAATAAATATAATTAATTTGAATCATATATGCAGTACTAAGAGCTTAATTTTGATAACGTTTAATGCAATTTTTTCCAATACCAGCTCATTATTGATACGTACCCCAATATACAGTTCTATAGATTGTGAAATATGTCCCAAGAGCTACTTTTTTTTGCAGTTTTTGTTTTCGCGAATCCAACAGGGGCCGCTGTGTAACCTATTTGAGATATCAAATTTCTCTCGCGAGTGCCATTCGCGCCTGCTGTTTTTGTGTAAATCCACTAGATTCCGCTGTCGACTGACTGACTGACTAACTGACTGTTCTCCTTACCCTCCCCCTTCCCTAATCCCAACTGATAGTGTTTTCAAAAGCGGCGATTGATCTGATCATCTCCTTCCCTAAACCCAACGAAAAGTTTTAAAAAAGCAATCCAGAAACAAGCCCTTGCTTTTTACCATGTTTTCAGATTTTACCACATTCTCACCCTGCTATTTAATTGTTTATTTCATTTTTTGCCTGCTTTCTGGAATCATTCTCCACCGGACTTGAACCCCATTGTTGTACGTTGGCAGTACGTTTTTACAATGAGCCTACAGTATGTTGCTTTTCTCAGTATTTACACGCAGCGCCATGCATTTTAGAATTCTAGACATAAATTTCTATCAGGGTTCACACACTGCCGCCACAAGTCAGCGGCTGTCTGCGGCGCTCAGTTTCGACTCAGGACACATCTGAATGTGCGCGTCTGGTGTGCGATACTTCCAGCTGTCATGTGCGTACCACGTTGCGTCGCCGAGTGGTACATCTGGTGTGCGACGCCCTTCAGATTCCAGATGTGTCTTGGCCAAATAATGTCATATCCTAACAAAGTATACAACAAGAGAGCCTTCTTTTTTCAACTTTCAGATAATGCACTGATATCATTTTCCAAAAATGTACACCTATGACTGGTTTTGTGGTCCAAGGTCACATTTGTAAGTGGTATTTTTGTTCTTATTTTTTAGTTGTTGGCTATAATATTGAGTTTCAGCTATAGTTTCTATTAAGGACATGTTGAAAATATTGTAGTGTTTATGCTTATGCAAAGCCTAAGCTGAGTCTGTACAGTATTAAATGGTAATAACAGACACATTAGGAGAGTACACTTAAGAGCTCTTTGCTTTCTGTTTCTCAGAACGTCCTTTGTTTTTCTGCGGGGAGCTCCAGAACCAAGTTGCAGAAGAGGGTGAAACTGCTTTCTTAAGCTGTGAGCTTTCTCAGCCTGCAGTTGCAGTTGAGTGGAAGAAGGGAGCAGTGATACTTAAGCCAAGTTATAAATTTGAGATGAAGCAGGATGGATGTGAGCTACAGCTACAGATCAACGACCTCACAAGTCAAGACAGTGGGGCCTACAGATGTTGCGCTGATGGCATTGAAACAAGGGCCAGTATCACTGTGAAAGGTATGAAACAAAATAGCATATTTTTTAGTCGATGGTAAGTATTGTATCTTTGTATGAACTGTAAATGTCAAAAAAGAGAACATTCAGTGGTAGAGTACTGTATGTGATGATGCATTCATTATATACAAGCATTTTTTTGCTAGAGATTCTTCTCCTGTTTCCACAGAGCGTCCTTTGTTTTTCCGTGAGGAGCTTCAAAACCAAGAAACAGAGGAAGGTGAAACTGCCTTCCTGTGCTGTGAGCTCTCTAAACCTGGAGTGCCAGTTCAGTGGAAGAAGGGGGCAATGCTCTTGAAGAATGGACACAAGTATTCAATGACGCAAGAAGGCAATGAAGTACTGCTTCAGATTCATGACCTGACAAGTCAAGACAGTGGCATCTACAGATGCTGTGCTGGCAACCTCGAAACACGGGCTAATATTGTTGTTAAAGGTGGGGATTGTAATTTCTATTTTTCTAATATGAAAACAGTAGTGGTTTGATGGAAAATAACACAATTTCGGTCACACTTTACAAAAAGGTTGTAACGAAGTGGCTGACACAGAGGGATCCATTTGCAGTATATTTATTAAACACAGTTTAATAACAATAAGCACATAGATGTAATGCGTGTGCGAACTCACATCAAACACAGTAGTATAAGGTCGAAGGGTTGGCGGCAGGTAAACACAGGATGAGTATGCAGGCAGGCAGCGATTATCAAAGTCGGTGTGCAGGCTAGAGTTCAGGGCAGGCAGCGTGGATCAGAGTCGGGATTCAGGCTAAGGTACAAGGCAGGCAGGACAAGGTCAATAGTCAAAGCAAGTTAAGCAACAGGAAAGCAGGCAATGATAAGAAACGCTCAGTAGTGTTAGCCGGGGCAGAACAAGACTTCGCAATGGGACTGAGTGTTTGTGCTGCTTATAAGCGTGTGCCAGGTGATTGGGAGATGTGCTGCAGGTGTGAGTGCAAATCAGTCAATGGATTATGTAATGTCAAAAGTCCGTTGATGATGATCTCTGCTGGCCAGCGAGGGGAATGACTGGGTGACAGAGGTTCAACATAGTTCAACATTTCCAAATTCATTCAAATTATGAGTTAACAAGAACTAACTAATTTTCATTAATTAACATTAAGATGAATAAATACTGTAATAAATGTACATGTGTCCATTCTTTGTACCTCACTTAAATAATTTAAGATGATTTAACAGATCCTGGAACTTTTAATCTTGATAACTGATCTCTGGCTAATTTGGTTCTTCAAATAGATTTAAAAAGTCGTCATGAAATGATTTGAGATTGCTGTGTGTGTTGAAAAATCACAGATCTATTGGTCCTCGAAATCATGATCAGAAATGCAATGATTGGCTGACACCACAGCAGTGTAATGACATCATCTGATTATCATTCAATTATCCATGTGAGCAAAATTACATAAAATTTGTAGTAAACGGTTTGTTAAATATGATACACGATAACTTTTTACCTTTGTTGTGAGCTGCAGCCTTTACACTTTTATTTTTTCTTTAATATAGTGGGCCTATTCCAGTTTCTTAATGGGGGTAAGGATAAGGGTTAAATTATTTTTTATATTATTTGCAACTTTTGCAAAGCATCAAATCGCATGCATTTGAGCTGTAAAAACATGTGCATGACTGCAAAAATTACTACTTTAGAAAAAGAACGAGAATATTGAGCATGTCTATTTTCATGCACTAATTATACTAAAGCTCAGTCGGTACCTTAAAATAGTATGCGTTTGTATCTAAAAAGTCTATATTAATAAACATTCTCCTTGAACCAAGTGACAATTTTGTACTTATATTTCAGAGTGCAAATTGCATAATTTTTATTTATAGATTTTTAAAAAACTTCTATTTTCTAGGTTACTACTATAAGCAAATATCAGCATTTGGTACATGTTTTCAGTATAACCTTTGCTTGAAATGACCGATCTAATCCTGCTTATATGAAATAAGCCAGCTCTCGGGCAGGTTTAAGCTACCAGAACTATTGCTATGAAACAACTCTCAGATGAGTTTTGAAGAACGAGACGATCCTGGATCGTATCAAATCATCAATAACCGAGTAATCCACGTACAAAGAATGGACCCCAGGTCATTGTTTATTCATGTTAGGAAATACATTAAATAATAGAAATTGTTGAGTGTTATCAAAAGTTAGGCTTGATATATAAATGAGTAGGCGATGCGGTGGCGCAGTAAGTAGTGCTGTCGCCTCACACCAAGAAGGTCGCTGGTTCGAGCCTCGGCTGGGTCAGTTGGCGTTTCTGTGTGGAGTTTGCATGTTCTCCCCGTGTTCGCGTGGGTTTTCTCTGGGTGATTCAGAGTGAATTGGGTAAGCTAAATTGTCCGAGTGTATGAGTGTTACTGGGTGTGTATGGATGTTTCCCAGAGATGGGATGCAGCTGGAAGGGCATCCGCTGCGTAAAACACATGCTGGATAAGTTGGCGGTTCGTTCCACTGTGGCGACCCAGGATTAATAAAAGGACTAAGCTGCAAAGAAAATGAAAGAATGAATATAAAAGCGTATAGCAAAACATTGAAAAATAATCAGTCAATTAATGTCATTGTGATCTCCATTTGCAGAGAAACCTCTTTTCTTCTTTGAGGAACTCCATAACCAGCAGGCAGAGGAGGGTGAGACCGCTTTCCTTTGCTGTGAGCTCTCCAAACCAGGAGTTGAGGTGCAATGGAAGAAGGGGGCAATACGACTGAGACCCGGAAACAAATATGAGATGAAACAAGAAGGCTGCAAAGTACAGTTACAGATCCATGACCTGACATCTGAGGATAGTGGCACATACAAGTGCTGCTCTGGAAGCCTTGCTACAACTGCGTCTGTTGTGGTCAAGGGTGAGAATTCTGAAAAAAGAAAGTTATTCGGTTTTGTGAAAAAGTATCTGCCCCCATTTTATTTAAACCAAAATGTGTGAAGGCACAACAGTGATCTTTCAGGGACAGTTACAAAATGCAAATAAATAAATACACAATCAATAAAATTCCCATATATTAGAGGTCTATTTTACTGAATTTTATTATTTTATTAAACTTTATTTATTATTGAAGACTAAATTAGATGCAATAAATAAAGCGAATACATTTTATTTTTTAGAACATCCATTGTACTTCATCCGGATGCTTGAGTGTCAAGAAGCAGAAGAGGGGGAAACTGTTTTTCTTTGCTGTGAGCTTTCAAAACCTGGGGCTGCTGTACAGTGGAAGAAGGGATCTGTGCTGCTAAAGCCTGGAAGGAAGTATGAAATAAAGCAGAATGGTGGTGAACTGCAGCTTCAGATCAATGAGCTCACAAGCCATGACAGTGGTGTTTACACATGCTGTGTTGGCAGTTTAGTGACCTCAGCATCTCTGGATGTGAAAGGTACAGTATATTTTAGAGACTTCCAAACCTGTTCCTTGAGAGCATCTGACCTGCAGAATTTGACTCCAGGCATGAACAAGTAAAGCAGAGTCCTTAACACATATCCTTGAAAATTTTAATGAGCCTGAAGCTTAACTCTGCAGCATGTTGTCTTTCCAGGAACAGGATTTGGCACCTCTGGTATATTCATTTTCAAGAGGAGTTGTTAGAGTACATTACTTAACATAAATACACTTTGTTGCTATATATAGAACAACCTCTGTATTTCTGCGAGGAGCTTCAAAGGCAAGCAGTAGAAGAAGGTGAGACTGCCGTACTGAGCTGTGAACTCTCTAAAGCCGGGGTAGAGGTGCAGTGGAAGAAGGGAATGATGCTGCTTAGACCAGGACACAAATATAAGATGAAACAAGATGGCTGTAAAATGCAACTTCTGATACTTGAGTTGAGCTGTCAGGACAGTGGCATCTACAAATGTTGTGCTGGAAGCTTGGAGACCTCAGCATCTCTTGATGTGAAAGGTATGCATTTTTCTATTATTGTTAAAACATTTAAATCATTAAATTAGCTTCATAATGCATGAAATTAAACAAGTAAGCATGAAGTGATCCTGTAATGGTACATTCACATGGGGCATTGGTGTTAGGACTTCTTATTAACTTTGTATTGGTGGTTTCATGCATTGCAGGGCTGATTTGTGGATACTTTGGTGTCATATCACAGCCATTGTTTGTGGCAGAAGTTGTCAACTTTTCAAGCACAAACAATATAATTGCAAATAATTGTGATGCAAACAACAGGCAGCACTGTGGCTAAGTGGTTAGCATTGTCGCCTCACAGCAAGAATGTTGCTGATTCGAGTTCCGGCTGGGCCAGTTGGCATTTCTGTTTGGAGTTTGCATGTTCTCCCCTTGTTCGCGTGGGTTTCCTCTGGATCAGTGTTTACCAAACTTGTTCTCGAAGGGATGGTGTCCTGCAGATTTTAGCTCCAACCCTAATCAAACACACCTGAACAAGCTAATCAAGGTCTTACTAGGTATACTTGAAATATCCAGGGAGGTGTTTTGTAGCAAGTTGGAGCTAAATCATGCAGGAACCGGCCGGCCCTCCAGGACCGAGATTGGTGACCCCTGCTCTGGATGCTTGGCTGTAGTGTATGAGTGTGTGTGTGTGTGTGTGTGTGTGTGTGTGTGTGTGTGTGTGTGTGTGTGTGTGAATGTGAGAGTGTATGAGTGTTTCCCAGTTCTGGGTTGTGACTGTAAGGGCATCCGCTATGTAATAAAATATGCCGGAATAGGTGACGGTTCATTCCCTATGAACTGTTTGCGGCATTTGCGCAAACTTTGGCACACTGATCGAAGACAGTTTAATCTTCAACCACAACTAATTTGGACTCCCTAACTCAAACTCTTTAGTGTCACCACTTGTCCAAAATTTCATTTATTTTCAGAACTTTTGAATCGAGTGGGCTACAATCAAAATTCAGTTTTCATCTGATTCCTTGGCTTCAAACCACTATGAAGTCATTTTCTGTCACCTTTTTTTTTTGAATTTTGAATTTTTTTGCATAAACTATTTGAATGAACTCGTCCTAAGCCGTTCACCAAATTTTTTATTTAATTTTCACCAAAATTGAATCACATGATCTACAGACCATGCTGACCAAAAGTTCTGGAATTCAAGTTGATTGAATGATCTGTTTTTGATTAAATTGTGAACAAATTTAATGTAGAGTTTGCAAAAATTGACTTAAGATGTTATCTCTGTAACGCATTGATGTATTCACACCAAACTTGGTGTGTGTGATCATAAACATGGTCTGAAGTTAGCTGCCGCGTTTCGGCACACTGCCTCGTAGTAGTCCGGAGAAACAAAAAATGGCTATTTTTGCTTAACCCTTAGCAACCCCTGATAAATAAGGGACCCCTGAAGGAAAATGAAAAGGAATCTTACTCAAACAGAGTAGCTAGTCAGTTGCATTCCAAGTTTGTCCCTTTGTTTGCATAGTGCCAAGTTTCTTACACATCCTCCATCAAGCAGCTCAAGACAGGTTAGTCGCTGAAGGTAAGCAAGGCTGAGCCTTGTTAGTACCTGGTTGGGAGACCACATGGGAAAACTAGGTTGCTGTTGGAAGTGGTGTTGGTGAGGCCAGCAGGGTACGCTCACTTGTGATCTGTATGAGTCCTAATGCCCCTGTAAAGTGAAGGAGTCACTATATTGTCTGTGAGCGCAATCTTTCGGATTAAATATTAAACCAAGGTCTTGATACTCTGTAGTCATTAAAAATCCCATGTCACTTCTCGTAAAGAGTAGGGGTGTAACCCTGGTTTCCTGGCTAAATTTCCACAATCGGCCCTTTGAGTGTATGGCCATACACGATAAATACAATATATAAATACACATTACATTACAAGCACTGATAACGACACCAAGTTTGAATGTACGATAAGGTCATTTTCTATGCGAGTTGTAAAATGGTTTTTATTTTTTGTGTGTTCCCCAGAATCTCCGGTTGTCTTCCAAGAAGAGCTCCAATATCAGGAGGTAGAGGAGGGCAAAATGGCCCTCCTGACCTGTGAACTGTCAAAACCTGGAGTTGCTGTGCAATGGAAAAAGGGAACATTGTCTCTAAAACCAGGAAACAAGTATAAGATAAAGCAAGATGGCTGTCTAAAGCAGCTTCAGATATGTGACCTGAAAAGTGAAGACAGTGGATCTTATAGATGTTGTGCTGGCAGTCTGGTCACAGCTGCAGATCTTGTGGTAAAGGGTAAGACAAATTTGGTATCATCTTTCAAGTTTTATTTTGGTGAAACTTGAACACATTTTATATTGGTCTTCTCTAGAACCCCCCTTGTTCTTCTCTGAGGAGCTCCAAAACCATGAAGCAGAAGAGGGTAAGACTGCAATTTTGTCTTGTGAGCTCTCGAAACCTGGTGTCTCTGTGCAGTGGAAGAAAGGAACAGTGTTGTTGAAGCCAAGTCAAAAGTATGATATAAAGGAAAATGGCTGTCAGTTACAGCTTCACATTCATGAGCTAACAGCTCAAGACAGCGGGTCCTACAAATGTTGTGCTGGAAGTCTGGTCACAACTGCATCTCTTGTGGTAAAAGGTGATTGAAGCAATTTACTTTGACTTAATCAATGAATTATTTATTTATCAATCTTGTTTTTTTTGACTATGTTAAGAAATGTTTGATTCCCCCTTCCAGAACACCCCTTGTTTTTCTCCAAAGAGCTCCAAAACTATGAAGTAGAAGATGGTAAAACCGCAATATTGTCTTGCGAGCTCTCGAAACCTGGAGTCTCAGTGCAGTGGAAGAAAGGAACTGTGCTTTTAAAACTGAGTAAAAGATATGAGATAAAACAGGACGGTTGTCAGCAACAGCTTCAGATTCATGAGTTAACAGCTCAGGACAGTGGAACCTACACATGTTGTGCTGGAAGCCTGATCACAACTGCATCTCTTCTGGTGAAAGGTGAGAACACCATTCTTAATGCCACATTTTGAATTTTGGGATAAGAATGAATTCATTACTTGCTATTGTATCCATTTTTTTTTTGTTGATATTTTTTTATTTCCCTTCCCAGAAAAGCCATTGTTTTTCTGTGATGTGCTACAAAACCAAGAAGCAGAGGAGGGTAATACAGTTATATTTCGCTGTGAGCTCTCTAAACCTGGAGTCTCAGTGCAGTGGAAGAAAGGAACAGCGTTGCTGAAGCCAGGTCAAAAATATGAAATAAAAGAGGATGGCTGTAAACTACAGCTCAATGTTCATGAATTAACAGCTCAAGACAGCGGGACCTACAAATGTTGTGCTGGAAGCCTGGTCACAACTGCTTCTCTTGTGGTGAAGGGTGAGCAAACGGTCTTTTGGCTGTTGAATTAGATTGGTAGGTTGCTTGACTACACCACCCTGGAAATTAGGAGCCAGGGACCCAAATTACACTCAACTATGCAACAGTTTTTGGACACACAGATTTGTTGTGGCTCAGCCAGACTTCAGAAACCAATTTAAATAGTGTGATTCACATTTATTACAAATTCTAATGTTAAAAACAGTACAAACACTTCAATTAATTTAAAACCAGTTTCACTGAGCACTTCCTCCTCAGAACTGGGGCCATTGGGTTTTAGTGTTGGAGGCACACACACTCACACTCCCCACACCACCAGTTGTGAACGCAGCAGGCGAAGGATACACCATCACCACACCACAGCAATTCTTGCACACTGCACGCCCCAGTTTTGGAGGAGGAAGAAACAGAAGATAAAACTAGTAAAAAATGCACACACTCACATCCACACAAACACAATTCGGAAATAAACTTAAAACTAGCACTCACAGCTTGGCGTATGACCAGTTCAATAAAACATGGCAAACTCACAAATCAGTACACATACAGCGCAACATCACTTAGAGGGGAAATCACAGCAAAGAATTTTCTGAAGAGTTGGACAAGGAAATAGTATAACAATTAATCACTCCAAAATACAACTTTAAATCAACCCATTAATGCAAAAGAGCAAAATATAGTATAACAGTTGGTGACTGTAAAAAATGGTAACAATTAAACCTTCTTATTCATGCCAGAGTACCTCATTTAAACAGTCTTTGAAAGCCGACGTCACACCGTTTGTCCTGGTTAGAAACAAAAGTCACAATAGTTAAATTCAAATCGCTTGATTTATACTCATCTCGGATCTCTTGTACGGCCTCACGGCCATCGAAAGGAACAAGACTGCAGCCGCACTGACTTGACGCCAAACACCCGCAGCATTTAGTTTCCCGATAGCAGCGCTGCAATGCCCAAAAGTACGAGGCTGACGCAGCCTCTTATGGGCCGCAACTGGAGAGAGCGAGAGGAAGAAAAATTTTCCCCAACGTTGATGCTGACAGTAACCGGTAGCAAATAAGCTAGCTGCAACCCTCCAGACTCCCGTATCACTGCGTGTGGCAATCCACTGCACCCACTGATGGCATGCAAAAATCCTCACTTAAGTTTCAATGTCTTACTTAATGCTCCCCGAGCCACACTTTCAGACGGTGCCCTGGAGATGACGTCACTACCCAAAGAAACACAGAAACACATAGTGCACCCAGTATATATACTTTTATACACCCAGAATACCCTAATTAGAGGATTCACTCACAATATACCAAAGGCTGGACGGTCGCATCACTACACAAGTAAGATGAAAAAAGAACCCAAAAAATTAAATAAACAAGTAAATAACAGGGTGAGAATGTGATAATCTGAAAGCGTGGTAAAAATCAGGCGAGGGCTTTTCTTTTTCTGAATTGCTTTTCTCTAATACTGTCGGGTGGGTTTAAGAAAGTGGGTGGGCGGGTCAATCTGTGCTTTTTAAAATGCTATTGGTTGGGTTTAGGGAAGGAGGAGGGTGGGTCAGTTGATTGGTCATTCAGTTGATCAGATAGTCAGTCAGTTAAACAGCTAGTCAACAGCAGCCTCTGGTGGATTTACATGAGAACAGCAGGCGCAAATGGCACAAGAGAAATTTGAGTTCTCAAAAAGTGTACACTGCAACCTCTGGTGGATTCGCGAAAACAAAAACTGCAAAACAATGTACCTCCTGGGACATATTTGTCGCTCTCCAGAAATGTATACAGAGATTCGTTTTCAGAATAAGTCTGGGTTGGTTTTAGTTGACCATGTAAAAACATGTTTTGTTTTTCCATTACAGAAAAGCTATTGTTTTTCTCTGAGGAGCTACAAAATCAAGAATCAGAGGAGGGTAAAACAGCAATATTGTGCTGTGAGCTCTCTAATACTGGAGTCTCAGTGCAGTGGAAGAAAGGTATGGTACTTTTGAAGCCAAGTAAAAAATTTGAGATTAAACAAGATGGTCGTCAACTTCAGCTTCAGATTCATGAACTAACAACTCAGGACAGTGGGACCTACAAATGTTGCGCTGGAAACATAGTCACAACTGCTTCCCTTATGGTAAAAGGTAAGTATATTTGTCAAATGCTGTTCTTCCATGTTTAGAAATTCGACTAAAGAATTGATTTGTTTTTTGTTTGGGTTATCACAATACTGTAATTTAGTACTAAACATTACTAAAATTTTAAAAACGTTAATTTACCGCGAACATTTGAGCTCTGTTGAGTACTTTCTTTAACAGTGCTAATTTGCCGTTGTGTTCACTTGCTCAACAGAAATGACTGTGATTGGCCGTGAAGGTCAGCAGTTCACCGAACTCAACGCTGGTTTCTGATTGTAACCACAGATACAGGGACACTTGAACATTTCAACGTCACGTCGATCAGCTGGTTTGTCTATAAGCTGACATATGAGCGATCCACTGATGAATCATGGCTTTAAAATGCTCCAGTGTCCCTCTATCTATAGTTACACTCAGTAAACAGCGCCGAGTTTAGTGAACTGATAACCTTCACGACCAATCACAGTCATTTCTGTTGAACACGATGGCAAATCAGCAGTGTTCAAGAACATACTCAACAGTGCTCAAATGTTGAAATGGCTGCTTTTAAAATTCAAGTATTGTGACAACCCTATATGCTGTTCACGAATTAACTTGTTTTTTGATTATATCATATAATGTCATGTTTTATTGTTTCTTTCCAGAACATCCTTTGTTCTTTTCTGAGGAGCTACGAAACCAAGAAGCAGAGGAAGGAAATATGGTTATATTGCGCTGTGAGCTCTCTAAACCTGGAGTCTCAGTGCAGTGGAAGAAAGGAACAGTGCTTTTGAAGCCAAGTAAAAAATATGAGATGAAACAGGATGGTCGTCAAGTATATCTCCAAATCAATGAACTAACAGCTCAGGACAGTGGGGCCTACAAATGTTGTGCAGGGAACCTAATAACTTCTTGTTCTGTAACGGTGAAAGGTATGGTGTGTTTTTAAGAAACTTACGCTACTCAGGATGTATTTCCTATGTATAGCTACTCGCTTCAAATGTTATCACTCAATTGAATGTGCGTTATCAGTGGTTATCAGCTGATTGATATGGGCCAGTAAGGGCCTTCTGTGCCAAGTAGTAGGCTCATAAAGCTGACATCATCCATCCACATGGTTAATCAGCTATACTAATAGAGAAGACTCCAGATCCAGATCTGTTTTTACATTACTGTGACGGTTGGGTTAGGGGTAGACATTACTAAAATACAATAAATAGAACATTTTTAAATAATATAAATAATTTTTAAACTTCTGGCTGCATTAATATGTGATCTACAGCTCATTAGCCATGTGGATGCATGATAACAACCTTCTAAGCCTACTAGTAGGTGCAAAAGGCCCCTTCTGGCCCATATCTATCACCTGACAACCACTGATAATGCCCATTTAATAGAGTGATAACATAAAAATTATCTGGTATAGCACTTCTAAAGCATTTTTAAATATTGCTGCAGATGTAATAACATAACATGCATTTTTACTTCCTCACATCCAGAGCCACCAATATTCTTCCGCAAGAACCTCCAAAGTCTTGAAGCAGAAGAAGGTAAGATGGCCACCCTGAAATGTGAGCTCTCCAAAGCTGGAGTTGCTGTTCAATGGAAGAAGGGAACTGTGCTGTTAAAACCAGGAAAGAAGTATGAGATGAAACAAAATGGCTGTCTGCTACAACTCCAAATATATGACCTTAAAAGTGAAGATAGTGGCTCTTACGTATGTTGTTCTGGTAGCATAGTGACGACTGCTTCTCTTGTTGTAAAAGGTAAGTTAGTTGATTTAAATGACCACCTGACAGAGAAAGTTTGATAAAATGGTTTTCCTGTTGAACATGTAAAGATGTAGATCATTTTCTTCCACAAGAACATCCCTTGTTCTTCTCTGTGGAGCTGCAAAACCAAGATGCAGAGGAGGGTAAAACTGTTATATTGCAATGCAAGCTCTCTAAACCTGGAGTCTCGGTGCAGTGGAAGAAAGGAACTGTGCTTTTAAAACCAAGTACAAAATATGAAATGAAACAAGATGGTTGTCAACTACAGCTTCAGATCCATGAGCTAACAACTCAGGACAGTGGAGCTTACAAATGTTGTGCTGGAAGCCTGGTGACTTATGGTTCCATTAAAGTTAAAGGTACATAGCTTATTTTAGTATAACATCAAGCTTCTGTCATACATGGAAGAATTCAAGTTTTATTTGTATTCCTGTACATACAGAGCAACCTATATTTTTCTGCAAGAGCCTTCAAAACCTTGAGGCAGTTGAAGGCGAAATGGCAATACTGACCTGTGAACTCTCCAAACCCGGTGTTGCTGTGCAGTGGAAAAAGGGAACAGAATTGCTAAAACTAGCAAAGAAGTATGAGATGAAGCAGAATGGCTGTGAATTGCACCTTAAAATATGTGATCTAAAATGTCAGGACAGTGGCATCTACAAATGCTGTGCTGCTGGGATAGAGACCACAGCTTCTGTGGTTGTAAAAGGTATATTTGTGCATATATTTCCAACCCAAGCTCATTCTGAAAACATAGTCCTGCGGATTTATGTAGACAGAAGTACGTATGGCTACATTTCATTTTTTTTTTTTAAGCAAACACTACGGGGTGGTGTGACGCCGTTCCTTTTCGCGCTCCCCGACTGAAGGCTTACCTCCGTGTGGAGGGCTTTCCCGTTGCAACCAGTTTGTCCAGTTAGCTCGTCGTGTACGTCGGCAGAGTTGAGATGCAGAGGGGATTTGACCACGACGACCGGGTTCGAGTCCGGGGAAGAGCAGTTCCAGAAATCAGTTAAGACAAAAACAGAATCCAAACAATAAAGTGAACGAGTTCATAACAGGGTGAGGATGTGGTGAAATCCAAAAATGTGGTAAAAATCAGACAAGGGCTTTTCTTTTTCTGGACAGTTTTGTAAATCGTTGCTTGGGTTTAAGGAAGCAAGCGGGCAGGTGGGTCAATCGATAAAACTAGTTGGGTTTAGGGAAGGAGGAGGAGGGTGGGTCGGCCGATTGGCCGGTTGCCCAGTCAGTCATTAAGTCTGTCAGTCAGACAGACGGTCACTCGACAGTGGCCTCCAGTGGGTTTACACGAGAACAGCGTAGGTGCGAATGGAGGTCACGAGAGACTTCGAGATGCAAAAAAAGTGCACACAGCGTATTCGCGAAAACAAAAACTGCTCAAATACGTACCTCCCGGGACATATTTCGTGGTCTCCAGAAACGTCCACGGGACTATGTTTTCAAAATGAGCCTGGGTTGTATATTTCTATTCAAAAGTAAGTAAGTAAATAAATAAATAAGTAAATATAATAAAAACATACATTAAATCCATCTCATATGTTTACAACAGAAGCTCCTCCGAGAAGTAAAGCTGTCCCTGAAGCCCCACCTAGATCAAAGGGAAAGAATATTATGGACGAAGCACTCAGTGGACAAGTTCAACAAAAAGATGCAGTGGAAATTGAAGAATCAGATATTTCCATGTTGAAGCATTCAGATGTTGCCATCCAGGATCTCCTTGAGAAATCAGCAGATGACCAGGAAATCCAGAGAAAATTATTGGTGAGGCAAAAGGAAAGAAATGGAAGTTCTGTAATCAATGAGTCTGATCACACCATATACAAACCTCCTACAACCAGTGTACCTGAAGAACAAAGAAACAAACTGCTAGACACCAGTGATGTTACTAAGATTTCTGTGGATCAGAACATTAATCAAGTTTCAGAGCAATCTGAAAAGAAATCTCCAAGAATAGATCCTAATGAGCAGAGCAAGAAAGCACCTAAAGAAATTCCCCAACCTCCACCACGATCAAAGGGTAAGGCCACAAATCCAGATGCTTTACTCCAAGACCAGCACAATGGTTTTAAAACGAGCAGACCGAATATTAAAGAGCCAGATGTGGACAAGGAGGTCAAAAAACAATATGATGTCATGCAGCCAAATATGGAGGCCACAAAGGCATCGAAAGAGGTTGACCAAACACTTAAAAAGGAGAAGTTTTCCCAATCGCACATTGAAGCCAAAGGACAACCTTATGTTTCGGAAGACAATAGGCAAAATATTGATGTAAAACAAACTGTGGGTACAACTTTGAAGGTGTCTGAATATGGCTCAGACCGACCAGGCTTTAAAGAGATAACTTCCAAACACATCGAAACATCTCAAGAACCACCAAGTAATTTAGAGGAAATTAAAAGGTATGGCAAACTAGAATTAAATTTAAATAATGAATCAAAGAAAGAGCCAACTTTGGTCCCCATCACTAAGGCATCAGAGGTTGATGAATTTGCCCGCCATTCGAATGAAAAGAAGGAACTGATGGTACTGGATAAAACTGAAACTCATGAGAAGCCAAACACCCAGTCTAAAAAGGGACCAGACATTGAAAAAGTTCAATTCAGGGATGAACGTCATGAAAAATCAACTACTGTTAGAGAAAAAGAAGCAAGTATTGATATCACAACCCAGAAACCCAAAGAACAAACCATACTTTCAAAGACATTGACAACAATTCCTGTTAGGGGCATGCAAAAGGATTCCCAGGAAAGTGATACTAATTTACCACACACTGATAGCCGGTATCTAGAAAATGTCAAGCAGGCTGTGGATGAACATCATGGAAAAGTACTAAAGCATGTTACAGAAGAAGCATCAAATATTGCCATTACAGGCCAGAAAGAGGTAATTCCTGTAGAGGAAACTACAAGAATGCCTTTTAAGGATGTGCGGAGGGAATCACAAGAAGATGAATCAGACTTACTGCACATTGATAATGGAGAAAAGAAAAATGTCAAGCAGGTCATTGATAAACATGATGAAAAAGTTGCAAAATATGTTAAGGGCAAAGTACCAAGCTTTGCAGCACAAACATTTAAAGAAGAAGCAATTCCTGCAGAGAAAGGTACTAGTAGGCCTATTAAAGATTCACAAAACGATAAACCAAATTTACAACAAACAAGCATTGAAGATCAGAAAAATGTCAAGCAAGTTGTGGATGAAAGTGGACGTGTGCGTAGGGATTCACTGGAAGCTGATTCAGACTTGCTATTCATTGATACCACAAAGAAGATGAACATCAAGCAGGTCATGCATGAACATGATGGAAAAGAATCAAAGCATATTAAAGAGAAAGAGCCTAGCGTTAAAAGCCAGAAGCTCAAAGAACATATCATTCCTGGGGAGAAAGTTACTGCAGTGCCTTTTAGAAAGGTGCAGAAGGCATCAGAGGAAGTTGAACTGAAAAGTAATGTAAAGCATGTCGTTCATGAAAATTATACCGGACAATCCAACACTCGACCTGAGGACATAAGTGTAGAGAAAACCTCAAAAGTTGAACAAGACGTAGATCTCGAGGATGAGCCAGAGATGCTTGAAGCTGCCATTAAGATACAAGCTGCTTTCAAGGGCTACAAAACAAGAAAGGACATGCGGCTCATCTTTAAAGAGGTTTTCAAAAACCAGAGTATTGACCTTGGTGGCACTGCTTTCCTGGAGTGTGTCGTGGAAGGTAAAATCAGCTCTGTGCGCTGGCTTAAAGATGGAGTAGATCTCAAGCCTGGGAAAAGGCACACAATCACCCACAATCCAGATGGTGGGTGTCGTCTAGAAATTTGCAATGTTACTCATAAAGATGCTGGAATCTACACGTGTGAAGTTGCGAACAAGTTTGGAGCTGTTAGTTACAATGGGAATGTGATGGTTGTTAAACCTCAGAAGCAGTCACAAACAATTCAGCCTGCACAAATGCCAGGTACTGAAACTGTCACAGAGAAGACGGTTGTGCCTACTGTAAATACTGAAGAGGAGTCATTGAGACTTGTATATGACCTTCCGGCAGATGACACCTACAGCAAGATCCAGGAGAAAAGGAGAAGTCTCATTTCTGTCAGCTCCAGTGAGTTGCTGCATATTCTATCCTTTTCAAAGTGTTTGGTAAAGTTCATTGCTAGATGTTAGTAGGTATGCTCTGATGTTACATTCTGGCTGATGGATAATTATTTTGTATTATTGTCATGAACAAGAATAGTAACTGAAAATGTACATTAAAAATAAAAATTAAACAATAAATTAAAAATTATTTATTTTAAATGAGTTTGGGCATCACATTATCAACATTTGCAGTGTGAAAAATGTACAGTTGAAGTCAAAATTATTAGCCCACCTGTGATTTGTGATATATATTTTTTTAATATTTCCCAAACAATATTATACAACAGAATCACTGTATATACCTTAACAAGAGGGATTTAAAAAAGAAAAGAAGAATTAAAAATATAATAATTTTAAAAAGAAATAAACAAAAAAGAAAAAGAAAACAGAGGAGAAGGCACATAATTATCAAATTACATATAAATATATTACACACATTTTTCCAATTTTAGTTACTAACAAGATTTATTAAAAGCACTTTTACTACAGGAAATGCATATATACAAACTAATTATATATGCAAATTTGTTGAAGGAAGAGCATATATTAACTGCGTTAATTGCTTGTCTATTTTTAGACTTAGAAATTATTTTTACATACATATGACTCTCTTTTTGTCATAAGGACTCAAATATCTCTTTCCTATAATATTTGTTTCTTCTGGAGAAAGTCTTATTCGTTTTATTTTGGCTAGAATAAAAGGTCTTTTTTATATAATATTTTATATTTATATCTTAAATACTGTTTTGTAAGGGTCTGGGACAGCGGATACGAGGATCCACGTGCAGTTTAAGAATTAACAGTAATCAGGCAGGCAATGGTCAAACAGGTACAAACTAAAGCATAAGGGTATCCCAAAGAGCATGCTCAAAATAACTGGTGAATGGATAAGCAGCATAAAAAATAAAACAAAACATGGAAAGGGCAAGACAAGGAAAATGCTTCATCATGCCAACAGTGAACAGGACTCTGTCAAGTTTGTGTGACAGTGTGGTGTATATATAGTCCAGGTAATCAGTGAAGATGAGCTTCAGCTGTGTGTGTCAGTGTCCGGGTGACTGTCAGCTGTTGCAGGAGTGATTAGAGCAATGGCTTTTGGGATTTGTAGTTCAGTTCAATGGCAGAATTATAGTTCTCTAGGGATCTGCAACTGCTAGATCACTGGTAATCATAACTAATATCATTAGCCCCCCTTAAGCAATATATTTTCTTTGATTGTTATACAATGACTTGCCTTATTACCCTAACTTGCCTAATTAGCTTAGTTAAGCCTTTTAATTGCCCTTTAACCCAAATGCTAGTATCTGGAAAAAATATCTAGTTATATATTATTTGCTGTCAACAGGCAAAGATAAAAAAAAATCATTATTAAAAATGAGTTATTAAAACTATTAAATTTAGAAATGTGTTGAGAAAAAATATTCTGTTAAACAGGATTTAGGCAAAAATATATAACGGGGGGCTAATAATTCAAGAGGGCTAATAATTCTGACTTCAACTGTATATTCATTTGTATATAAATAAGTTTGACACCGCTTCAAATTAAAACTCAAAACAAGGGGAAATATATGCATTATTAAATAACCAATCTTGAGTGTTTTAATGTAAATAATATAAAATGAAAAATTACATTACAGATCACATCTCACATCTAAAATCATTTATCTTAGTTAGGGTTGGCGGTGTGGTTCTGTTCAGGGCAAAACTTCAGGCACCCATTCAAGCTCAATTGATGTACCCTGCCTAAACTAATGCAAAGATCACTGTTTAAATATATGTTTCAATAGAGACAGTTATAATCCTGTTCCCTTTCTAGTATCCTGCCACTCAGATTATGACACAGCACCTGATGTTGAGACGGAAACCCAGTCTAGGTAAACTTAGCATGTTAAAGGTCTTATAAAAATAGTATTTACAAAGACACATAGGATCATTTTCTCTTTTTCTTTAATTCAGGATTATACTTTACTTTTTAAATTAATATGTTCTCAAACAGGGGAAGAGAGACAGGAGAATCAAAAACTGAGGCTCCTACTACACACACTTCAGAAGAAGAACAAATGATTAGTCTACAAACTCCAAAAACTACAGACCAGCTGAAAGTAAAAGGTCAGTTCCCTTGGGTCTGTTATTCCTGTTAATTATTTAAACAGTGATATTAAAGTAAAGTACACTCAAGCCACTTCTAATATGATGATGTTGTCTGCATTCTTGCATTGCGTTTTGGCATAGGTGGTGATGCAAAGAGCCACACACCTTCTCCCAAACGCATGCATTCCTACAAGTCATCTGCAAACACCGAGTCATTCTCTGAGTCAGATGGAGATGATGACAGAAGAGAGGTATTGACTTTTTCTTACTACTAATAGTAATAATTCTGCCATGACAACTCTTTGAGAGATTTAGTATGGTAATGATTATGTATAAGGCGATGTTGGTGTTTTTACTGTTGGCAGCATAGATCTAGTATGCTACTGCTTTTTGAGAATATAACTATTGAGGGAGACACTGACAGTGCGGATCCAGGTTTATTTACAAGAATGGTCAGGCAAGCAACTCTCAACATAGGGGCAATTAGATGTACACAGGCAAATCCACAGTCATAGGTAATAAACAGGCAGATGGTCAAAAGGCAGGCTGCAGAGTGGAATAAAAAGTAAAACAAACAAAACAAAGCAAGGGTCAAAACCGGCAAGGCAAGGAAAATGCATCCTAATGTCACACACAAACACAGATAAACAAGACTCAGCAAAGAGGTGTCTGCAGTGTATATACAGTAGTTCTTTTAATCAGTTCCTGAGCAGCTCCAAGCCGTGAGTATGTGAAATCAATGGAATGAGGAACAGGTGCATGTGAGCGCTGCATGACTGGAACTTGTAGTCCATATATTGACGGATTTACAGTTCTTTTTTAGTGAACTGTGTGTTTACCAGCGATCTGCAGCCACATGATTGCTGGTGATCATAACCATAACACAGAGCTGGTGCAAACATAACATACATGTTATGCTCTATAGTAGATCTATACACAGGTGGAGCTAGGGTGGAGAAGGGTATCTGAAAATGTGCTGCAGATTGCTAGCCGTAAAAACATCAAGGTATTTAAATGTTAAGGAGCTAGTTCATGGACTGCTGAGATGACGACGACAACCAATCATTTACATGAATGTATTTTTCATGTTGTCGCAGATATAAGTATTACAAGTCTTCGTCTCTCTGCAGACATTTGATATTTATGTTGCTAAAACCGACTGTCATCCAATGGGAGGAAACAGGGAGGCATTTGTACTGAAGGAAGGTCAGTTTGTGGAGGTCCTGGACTCAGCCCATCCTGTTAGATGGCTTGTCCGTACCAAGCCAACCAAGATCACACCATCCCGTCAGGGCTGGGTGTCCCCGGCATACCTAGAAAAGAAGACACGGGTAAATAATTATGTGTGTGTGTGTGTGTGTGTGTGTGTGTGTGTGTAACAGGTTGTTTAATCATATTTTTTTCTTAAAGGAAATATTTTCATTGGCCCATGAATCCGAGACAAGAGAAACCCCTGATAAAAGCAGAAAGATTTTCACAAAAGATGAGCACAGCTTGATCCAAAGGTGAATCAAATTCAAATTTCAGTTTAGCTCAATTAAACGTTTTAAAAATATTTATTTTAGTGCAGGATTGCATTGAAATGATTGGCATGAGGCATAAAACAAATGTTTAATATAAACAATGAAATCATAAGTCCAAGGCACTCGAAAAAGCAAAAAAATAAAAAGCCTTTAATAACATGGCTAGGGTGGCACGGTGTCTCAGTGGGTAGCACTGTTGCCTCACAGCAAGAAGGTTGTTGGTTCAAGTCCTGACTGAGCTTCCCAACAGTTCAAATGCTTTTTAATTTTTTCTGTTACTTTTGAAGTGCCTTGGACTTATGATTTGGTTGTTCTCTTTATGAATCCCTCATCCAAAGAGTGCCGACACATGAACTACCCCTGAAGCACGTTTTGTTTGAAGTTAAATGTTTATTTTTTTAAGTTAGCTAATATATATTTCTAGTTAGCTTATGTTTTGCTTCAGCATCTAAACAATGACTTACAGTAACTGAAGATAAAATCTTGTTTTTTTTCTCAAGATTTATGTTTTATTCTGTTTACTTTCTCTTTACTCAAAGTTCTTTTGGCTAGTTTTATATGATATCAACAAAAATTATATTTTTATTTCTTCCAGTCGCTTAATCAAGGGACTTCTTGATGGTGAAAACAGTTTTGTTCAGGAGATGAACTTCTTTGTGGAGCATCATTTACAATACTTGGAGACAAGCTGTAAAGTTCCTCTCACCATCCTGAGTCAAAAAGAGTACATATTCAGAAATTTCAGGGACATTGCAAGTTTCCATGAATGGTAAAGCATCTCTTAATAATATAATATAATATAATATAATATAATATAATATAATATAATATAATATAATATAATATAATATAATATAATATAATATAATATGGTGGGTTAGCTTATTTGTTTTTCTTTATCCCTCCATCTCAGCTGTATTCTGCCCAAGCTGGAGATGTGCTTCTCAGATGATGATGTTGCCCAGTGTTTTGTCGGTTATGCAGCGGACTTTGAAATGTATCTCCAGTTCATTACAGGCCTGCCCCAAGCTGAGGCCTGCATATCTGACAAAAACACACAGCATTTCTTTAAGGCAAGACGAAACACTGGTTTCAGTCTGGTGTAAGAGACTCCTTCTTTCAAATGATGTACAGTGCCATAAAATAAACCACAATTCTTCTAATGTGTTTTAGCAATATGCAAACATAGAGCTGGCAGATCTGGATACCCAGGTCTTCAGTGTTGGCACATATTTGCAGAGACCCATGGAAAGAATTGAAACATACAAGACTGTGCTTAAGGTATGGCAGCTTGGTAATTTTCTTTCATTTACTGTACATACACTCACTTTATTAGGTACACCTTACTGGTACCAGGTTGGATCCCCTTTTGGGTTCATAACTACCTTAATTCTTCATGGCATAGATTCAACAAGGTACTGGAAATATTCCTCAGAGATTTCAGTCCGTATTGACATGATAGCATCACGCAGTTGCTGCAGATTTGTCGGCCGCAAATCCACGATGCGAATCTCCCATTCCAACACATCCCAAAGGTGCTCTATTGGATTGAGATCTGGTGACTGTGGAGGCCATTTGAGTACTGTGAACTCATTGTCGTGTTCAAGAAATCTGAGATGATTCGCGCTTTATGACGCGTTATCCTGCTGGAAGTAGCCATCAGAAGATGGGTACACTGTGGTCATAAAGGAATGGACATGGTCAGCAACAATACTCGGGTAGGCATTGACATGATGCTCAATTGGTACTAATGGGTCCAAAGTGTGCCAAGGAAATATCCCCTTCACCATTACACCATGACCACCAGCCTGGCAGGATGGATCTATGCTTTCATGGTGTTTTCTGACCCTACCATCTGAATGTCGCAACAGAAATCGAGCTCATCAGACCAGGCAACGTTTTTCCAATCTTCTATTGTACAATTTTAGTGAGCATGTGGAATTGTAGCCTCCGTTTCTTGTTCTTAGCTGACAGGAGTGGCACCCGGTGTAGTCTTCTGCTGCTGTAGCCCATCCACCTCAAGGTTCAACGTGTTGGATATTTTCTCTTAGAGATGGTTATGGGTGAAAATTCCAGTAGATCAGCAGTTTCTGAAATACTCAGACCAGCTCGTCTGGCACTAACAATGTTCAAAGTCTCTTAAATCACCTTTCTTCCTCATTCTGATGGTTGGTTTGAACTGCAGAATGCATTGAGTTGCTTCCATGTGATCGGCTGATTAGAAATTAGCGTCAAAGAGCATTTGGATAGGTGTACCTAATAAAGTGGCCGGTTCAAACTTGATCAATGTTGAGCTTGACAAAGAATGTTATGCTTCTGCTTCACAAGAGTGCATTTATTAGATAAAAAAATACTTTAAATAATGACAAATCAAAAATTTCTGCAGCCATCAATTCAATCTGCAATGTCACACGATCCTTCAGAAATAATTTTAATATGCTAATGTTGGTGTAGAATTTTATGAATTATGAATGTTTCCATCTAATAATGTGAATTAGATTTATGAACAAGTCTGGAATATTGAATAAAACATTTGCGAATAATGCAATGACCACCAATGTTTCTAACCAATGAGCTAAAGAGAACTAAATCATACGTTTTTTATGTGGATTTTCAAAATTTAAGCACATACTGGCATTTCCATTTAAGATTTTTTTATGATCATATCCAAAATAAGCTTAAAATTAGGCAGATGGAAACAGCTATTGAGTATCATAGTATGCGGGTGATATATATCTCTATTCATAAACACAAGCTCAATGTAGATAAGTTATTATAATTGATTTAAATTAGCTATATTCCATTTGTATTTTTTAAGGAGATGATCAGGAACAAAGCAAAAAGCGGACAGAACTGTTGCCTATTAGAGGATGCCTTTGCCATGGTTTCTAGCTTGCCATGGCGTGCAGAGAACTTGCATCATCTGTCCATGATTGAAAATTACCCGGCACCTCTCAAGGGGCTCGGAGAACCCATTAGACAGGTACTGTATCATCATATTCGACTCTTTGTTTACAAGTTGACAAGATGACACATGTGAATCAGCATCCTGCTAATAAAATGTGCTTTTAGGGCCACTTTACAGCATGGGAGGAGATTCCTGAGGTCAAAAGCTCTCAGAGAGGACATCACCGCCATGTCTTTCTCTTCAAAGACTGCATAGTCTTCTGCAAGCCAAAAAGAGAAGTTGGCACACACACCGAGGCCTACATATTCAAGAATAAAATGAAGGTTTAAGCAAGCTTTCCCTTTTAATTACTTTGGCACTGTGTCCTAACTAGACATGATGCAGTGTCGTGACATGGTAAAAGTTATGTTACAAGGAGTTTTTGTCCTAACCATCTGCAGCCAACAGCTGAACAACAGTATATACTATTATGACAATGATCACCTCAGGGACAGATTATGGGCTTTATTCAGTTATAAATGCCACCAATGTGAGTTTTAATACCATTTTACATGACATTTATTCCCATATTACTGAAAGCAGCAGCAGATAGTTCACCTCAGGTCTTGAAAATAAAATTATTAGCAGACGATTCGAAAATGAAAGTCAGACGTGTGACTCAGTGCAAACCAAAATCAGTCACTCAGTAGCCTATTAATAATGTTAAAGAGGTGTAATAAGTGTTAATTAGATTAAAAGCCCTTACCATTTCATTAGAGTGTTGTTGAGACACGTGTTAATAAAACAAACATTGGGCAGTCTAATCTAAATGCGGTTCGACAGACAATTTGACATTGCATTTGAAGAGATGTGTAGTACTTTACACTCCTCATATTACTGTATGTATATCATGGCACTGCTAATATCCGCAGTCTATTGCAGATTCAACACAAATACACTTGCTTTCTTCACAGTTGAGTGATATTGATGTAAAGGACACAGCAGAAGGAGATGACAGATCATTTGGGCTTTGGCACGAGCATCGGGGAATGGTGAGAAAAATCATTTTGCAAGCTCGTTCCATCCTCCTTCGTCTCTCCTGGCTCAAAGACCTGAGAGACCTGCAACAGCGCAACAAACAGCCAGCTTGGTGTAAGCCACAACTCATACTTTTGAATACATTTGTTTTGACCGCTTAAAATGACTGCATTTATGCACCTTTTTATTCATATTTATAGGTGCCCCATGCTTTGAGCAGCATCTTACTGACTATCCAGCAAAGCTTGGGCAAACTGTTAAACTGGTCTGCAAGGTCACTGGTACACCAAAGCCAGTAGTAAAGTGGTATAAAGGTAACAATAGTGTAATATGCGTGTATATAAAAATGAAGTGTTTTTATGTAATATGTGTTCTGCTGTTGTTTCACAGATGGCCACGCTGTGCAGGATGATGAGCATCACATTACATCAGAAGGACAGTTTGGTGCTTGTTATCTTGTACTGACTGGTGTCACCGTGGCACACTCCGGTCAATACATGTGTTATGCAACCAATCCCGCAGGGAATGCAAGCACTCTGGCTAACATTATGGTTGATGGTATGTTTTTGAGCAATGATTATTTTTGGCATTGTTTTATTTCTTTTTTTATAGTGTATACTGCCCAATAAGAAAACACTTGCATTGATGTAATACATACATTGTGTACTGTTTCATCTTTGCCAGTCAAATCGTATGAGGTGCCACATAGAAATTATTTTAACCACTTAAACTCTGCGAACCCGGTCATCGATTTTCGCTTTCAGATTTAAAGGGCTAGCTATGCACCAGACCCTCGTAAGTGGTGTCGTTTGAAAGTGTCAAATCTATATTTTATGCACATATGCATCACTTTGGTTTTTATTCTACTGTATAAAAGTTATTTACACTTAAAAACACAGTATTTTGGATACCCGAGCTAGGTATTTTACATTGGTTCATTTTCATATTTTTTTATATGACACATGTACAAGTTATAGCTCAAATGAAAGCTCTTGCCGGTGCTCATACAGATCTAGCATTCTTTTTACTGAAATATATTCATATGCCAAACAGTTGCTGAATGAATTGTGGTTTTTCCATGGCGCAGAAATGTAAACAATACATTCATGATCAATAAGCAGCCCCAGATAGCACAGACAGCTGTCATCTCTTACCTTATGCTGTGCCCTTTAGGGCCATTCTCCTCTGTTTTTGAGGCGATGTGCATAAGTAATCCTTTTATATGTCTGATGTGGTCCAAACACAGTGAATTATGTTTGATCAAATAACAGAATAGTGAAATATAAATATATAAACAAGGATCGGCCCCTGTGGCTTGTATAGCACCTCTCATCAGTTGGAATACAATAACTTTTGCATAGATTATGGTAGAGACATTTTTCTTTTTTCCTATGATTACAATCATGTGCAGGAACCACCAAAATTAATTACAGCACGCTAGACCACACAGAGCCTAAAAGTTACACTTTCAAATTTGAGTTTATAAAATAAAATACAAAAAAAGCGCCTCTTTTTTTAGATGTTTATTATAACACAGAAGACATATACAGCTGTTTTAAACACTTTCAATAGTGTTTTATGAAAATTCAAAGGGTTTTCTTTAAAATTATACCAAATTTTTGCATTTAAACCTCTTTATGTGGATTTGGGAAGCTTTTAAATTTGGGTAGGCAAAATCCAGGCGGAAATCCCCAAATAGCAGCAGAGAAAAATGGAGTTTAAAGTGGTTAAACTTTGCTTATCAACACATACAAAAAACATAAGCATATACACCTAGAAATGACTTGCATATACTGCTGGATGTTCAAAACAATATATATAAAATGTTTATATGTCATTTCATGTTTCATAATATTTCATATGTGCATGTGCATGAACTTTTCAGTGTAAAAGGAAGGCGTTTCAGTTTAAAATAAAAGGTGTTTAATTTCAGCATGAAAGTCGTTTAAGCGTAAACAGAAGAGATCATTATTTAGGTCATTAAGATTCAGGTCATTGCAAAGCAAAATAAAATAGAAAAAATGTGATTGAAAGTCCTGGACGGAGAAATCAGTGGCCACAGAACGCTAGGAGAACAGGAAACTGAGCCGGAAAGAGGCACTCCTGGAGAGTAGTGGTCTCACCAGTGGTGGCCTGACAGAACACCAGGAGCCAGGGACTCACAGCAGGCAGGGCTGGATCAAAGCAAGTCTCTCAACAACAGCACAGAGAGACGAGCACGGTCGAGCAGTAACAGGTAACACAAGATGCATCAAGTAACAATGAACCGACGAAGACATGAGGGAAGAGAGCACATTATAAAGGGAGGAAACAGCATAAGGACCAGGCGTAAACACAGACTAACGAGGACTAGATGAGGGCTAAACAAGGGGGTGTGACACCTGGAAACAAGGTGGGAGGAACAGAGGAAGCACATGGTGAATACAAACACAGGCTAAGCCATGTGATCAGACATAACATAAACATAGACACATGGAACGTAGACAACACAGAAAAGACAGACAAGGAAGGGCTATGACAGAGTCGTGATAAATAATGATCTCTTCCTTTGCTCAAACCATTTTTATGCTGAAATGAAATGCCTTCCTTTTAAACTAAAAATGCATTTATGATAACATGTTTTTGCATATGTGAAATTGATGTGATTTTGCTGTATATGTAACTATAAATTGAAAAAAGTATGTATATTGGTTCGTTAAGTGCCTCCAAGTTTCACAACCAGACTGCAGAACGCAGTGCTTGTAAAAGGACAAGATGTGCAGTTCAAGTGTTCCACACAATCTGTTCCTTTCCCATCAATAAGGTAAATCTGTTTTTATTCAATCATAATTATGTAATGTCATTGTTATACAAAACATCACACAGTCTACATGCACAGGTGGTTTAAGGATGACATTCAGCTTGAGGACAGTAGGAAACACCTGATCCAGTCTGATGTTCAGACAGGAATTCTTACTCTTACTATAAAGAAAGCTGACGAGGCCGACGTGGGTCAATACCAGTGTGAGGTACCAGAGGATTCCATTGTTCATTAAGTTCATATTATCTATGGATCTCATTATATACACTTTCTTTGTGTTCATGATACAGCTACTGAACGAAGTGGGCAGTGCCATGTGTAAAGCTGAACTCTGTGCTCCAGCAGCAGAAGCTGTGACAGTCAGCTCTCAGAAACAATCACAAACTGTCCCAGGTAGGATGAAGAGGAATATGAACAGCAGTTACTTTTTAAAAGGGTGATTCACCCAAAAATGAACATTTCCTCATCATTTGTTCAAACTCAAATGGTTTTAACTACATTATAAATATCTTTCTTCTGTTGAACACATAGGAAGATATACTGAAGAATGTTGAAAAAAACAACAGCCATAAACCCTATTCTGACGAGAAATTTCTGTTTCACAGACTTACATTGTGATTTTAATCCCGTTCAAATCTGTCATGTCTGTCTTTTTCACCACATGACTTCTATAAAAGTTCCAGAGCAATTTACATACTTTTTCAGCAAACTTGTCCAAATACGAATGTCTGTAATTGTGGATAATGTTTTTTTCCAAAGCTAAATTTCCTGTGTGTTTTTTTCAACGTTTATACGGGATTCTGCTTTTGGCTCATCATTAATTGATGTAGATGTGTTTGCTACCCTTTGAAGAAATAAAAGGAAATCAACAAGAAGAGCCAATTTTGTTTATTTTGTTAAATGTAAATTGTTTTATAAATAGCTTTTATAAAATGTTTAAATGCTAAAAAAGTTAGGATGTTTGGCTTGAGATTTCAAAATCCTTAAATGGAAATTTACTCAATTTCAAAATACAAATTAATATCATATTTCATAAATTGTGTTCAATGGCAATTGTTTTTCAATTATATTCTTGTAATGTACTTTTATATACTGTAGTTTATGATGCAATGCCCACATGTAAAACACAGACAATTTTACCTCCTCAAAAAACACAGAAATGTTAGTCGCATTAAAATCCATACATAAAGTGACAGACATCGGATAAAAAGGATTGTAACTCAAACATCATTTGGAAAACTAGTCCCGTCGAATAAGGGCTATTGACACCCATAGTAGGATTGGTAAGCTACCCAACAATGGTTGAGACAAATACAGCAAATTCTATAGTGATTTCATTCTTCGGTATATCTTCCTACAGTATGTGTTCAACAGAAGAAGGAAGCTCAAACTGATTTTTAAACAAGTGAAGGATGAGTAAATGATGACAGAATTAAGACTTTTGGTGAAATATTCATCAAAATTAGTCTTAAAATGCATGCATTTGACAATTCTCACTATCTGAGATGGTGGTGGGCACTAGTAGGCTTTGAAGAAACACAAACCACAGTCACCTTTAATTCAAACTGCCTTCATTCCACCGTTTCCTTTTTCTGTCATATCAGTTTCAGATCTTCTAAATTTTCATTTCACTCATAAACCACCTAACAACTACTGTAGAAGCCAGATTAACTAAGTAAAGTTTATGTATAAGTGAAGTTTATGTATAAACAAATTTCGAGAGGATCACGTGCTTATGATTGCAAGTGGCTGGATCCGCATTATCCAATTCACTATGCTCCAATCAGATGACTCCTAAACTACTATAAATACCCTGGGTTTCATTCAACTGCTATCTTTGTTTTGAAGAGTCCCCCCTTCCACCCCTACTCCTCCTTCTTCCTAGATGGGTGACACGGTGGCCCAGTGCTTAGCACTGTTGCCTCATAGCAAGAATATCTCTGGTTCTAGGCTTTGCCAAACCAACAGACATTTCTGTGTGGAGTTTGCACTTTCTCACCGTGCTCACGTGGGTTTCCCCCCGGGTTCCCTGGTTTCCTCCCATCATCCAAAAACATGCAAATTAAGTTAATTGACTAATCCAAATCTGCACCATAGAAATGCTTCTAGTATGTAGTTATCTCCAAGAGCAATCACTTAATGTTCATCGTTTACTACAGCAGGGGAGTTCTCGAGATCTACCTGAGCTCAACGGGAGGGAACCCTGGACTCGAGGATCTCATGAGCTCAAGGCTCTCTTCTGGGACAGCATGCCAAACAGGCTTTATAATCAATCATTAGCTAAGTGTGAACTCTTGAAACAAGGTAAATTAGTGCAAGTGGAAAATATTGGGGGTGATTTTATTTACGGTCCACAAATGACAAAAACATTCCCAAAGCAGCTTATTTCCACAATGTGCAAAAAGCAGTGCTAAAAATGGTAGTTACAAACCTAATTAAGTTTATGGGTTTGGACATTTCATCAATTCCAAGGTTCTATCTAAGTAAAAGTCTTGAAATGTGAACAACTTATAAAAAAACATCCCATAATGTAAATAAGTTGTCATTTAATAAAAATATGTGAATAACTCAATTTTGACAAAAATATCAGATAGAACCTTATAATTCTAAGGTGACAATTTATTTAAAATGAAAACCTGAAAATGGACTGTACTAACCATTTACTCAACCTCAAGTGGTGAGTAAATTAGTAAATTTTCATTTTTTTGTTTGAATTATTCCTGTAAACACTCTCATAAATTTTGTGTTCGAATTAGATACTCTTACAATCAGATATGAAGTAAGGAAACTTTTCACACCTATTTATCATCTTTTTTTTCATTGTGTGTCTTTAGCAAATTCTGATAGTAGTTCAAAAGAGAGAAGTAGATTAGTATAATCAAGTGTAAGAAATCCTACTTTATTGCTGTTTCATAAGAAGCAGTAATCCATCTAGGTGGGGTCTTATTCTTGAAGACATTTTTGATGGGATCATTAAAACATCATCCACCATCTTTATTGAGGCATCTGCATTGCATTATGTCATTAGAAACATCTACTTAAATTATAATATTATATTTGATGTACTGTTTGGCTTTCAAAAGTTTGGGGTCTGTGTGATTTCTTTTTAATGATTTCTTTTGTTTTTGAAAGAATGCTTACTCAAGGAAATTATTTGATCAAATAAAATATTTTCTATAATTTAAAGTTTTATATTTTAAAATATATGTTAAATAAATACATTTTTGGCAATCATTAATCTAGTCCTCAGTGTCACATGATTCTTAAAAGTCGTGTGATGATTTTTATTTTATTTTATGTTAAAAATTGTTGTGCTGCCTAACAGTTTCATGGAAACTGTAATCCATTTTGTCTTGATAAATAGATGAACGACATTCATTTAAAATATAAGAAATATTTTACTGTCACTTTCTTGTTCAGTTGAATTCATTGATAAAAATATTCATATCATTACCTTGAACGGAGCCCAAACTTTTTAACAGTACAGTAAGTTCATGGTTTAATCAATTAATGAATTAATTAATTTGGGATTAAATGAAATTGCATGTTACTTCATATATCATATCTACATCATACATGTTAATGCATTATTTACTGTGTCATACCTATGTGGTCATATGTTGTCAATTATGCCACATACTTTAAGTGGTTCATAAGCAGCTTTTGAACCCTTAGTCGATCTCATGCATTTCTTCATCATGTTAACATCCCACTTTCCATCCCACTTCCTTTTTAGTCACAGAGCAGGCGATTAAAGATCTGATCAAATTCATCATGTAAGTGTCTTTACAAAGAACATTTTGCATGCCTGGTTGTTCCTCTTTTCTTACCGTTTCTGTTCTTCTCTTTGTCCACTCATCATATCTGTTCATACATGTTCTCACTGTTCGAGTGCATGCTTCGCTAAAATATCATCTTCAAAGCTGGTTATGTGCTGAGATTAAAGCCTTTCTGCAGATAAGTGGCCAAGTTTGTATAGATGTCATCTGTGACTTAAAATGTTGTTCGGGAAAGGCTATGACCCTTGCTCTGTTTTTATACATTGCGAAGGTAAGTGATTCTGTTATTTCACAATTAAAATTTGAGGAGAAAATTAAAACAAATATTACATTGAAACTTATCGTTCCACTACAGACAAATGTAAGTATGATGATTTATTATTTTAACTATTTATTTATTGCATTATTCAAAACAATAGCTTATTGGAGATTTTTAGTTTAATTTCTCTGTAATTTTTTTGTTCATTTTTGCAGTTTACTTCCAATCAAAGATTTGGGTTTTTAATGTTTTTTTTTTTTTTTTTTTTTTTATAAAACAATTTTCATTCATTTGATCACAAATAAAAACACAATGTTATTAAAGTTGCAGTAGGTGATTGTCTTTAGAGTTTTTTTTTGTTGTTGTGCTGGTTTCCACACATTTCAATAGTAATGATTAAAATAAAGGATCTAAATGTATTTATATGTACTTTATATTCTGGGTATGGCATGAGACTAAAAAATGTTCATCCAATTAAAAATGGTCAGGCCCATAAATACTATAATTCTGATTGGTAGCCCAAACTGTCTGTCAACAAATGTAGATTTTTACAACTGCACACCCTGTTCATGCAGATCCGCCGTTTCTTTTAGACAGGTACTGTTATGTTTTAAAGCTATTTTAGTCAAGCAAAGCTTATGAAGATTGTGTTGTTATGAATGGGTTATATGCACAGAAGTGTTGTTTTGCCATTGAAATCTTCCGGTGAAAGATTGATGTGACGGTTTTCAATTTCATAAGATATATTTTATATATAGCCTGCTTTACTGATATGACGTTGGTTTTATAATCATATTGGTTCATTTTTGAACAATGACAACCTGTGATGCCGTCGCTATATTGTTCGTCATGCTACTCTGAACATTTAGTCTGAAATAGCATGTAAGTGTAGCTTAGTAATTAGTATAATTCCTGCACCTCGCCGGCCAACCACTAAGCATACAGTAGTCGCTTTTAAGGCGAAGTGCGTGAGAGAGTGAGACCAGCCATCCTTGCATGCTTGAAACATTGCAAATTATGACAAGTTTTGCTTGCTACACAACTGAAAATGCTCTAGATATAATACAGTTTATCGTTCAGAATTGCAGTATATAAAGTACTCTAAAGTTTCTAACTGGCGATTGAAATGAACTAGTGAGTCTCAGTCATCTTTGAGGTGCGCGCTCATGATATAAGGAGGCATGGATTTGGATGACAGGGGACGGATTGTGTTACAAACATATTATCCTAACCGGTTAGCATTTAGGCAGATCACCTACTGCACCTTTAAATATTGCAATTTCAAATCATTGTTTATATATATATATATATATATATATATATATATATATATATATATGAATATTATAAAATGCAAATTTAGTCATTTTGAATTTGGTAGTGATTTTTTTTTGTGATCAATATTTGAAACAGCATTTCTGCTGCGCTTCTCTGAAAAACATAATACATTTCAAAAAGATTTATAAAAAAATGCTTTCATTTAAAATACTAGATATTTGAAACTTTGTAATTGCCTTAAATTTACTTAATGATATGCTTCTCTGCTGAATAAAAGTGTTCATTTCTTTTTTTTTCAATAATTTTACAAAAAAACTAGTTATTACATGATTAAAATTTTTACACAAATATTAATGTAAAATCAATTAAAGAGACAAACAGATTTTGACAGGCAAATTTTGTTTTCTAATAGAGGCCCAATCAGAAGGCTGGTCCAGTTCCTTTGTGAAGAACCTGTTTCATATACTCTTTCAACCTGGATACCCTGAACCGTGAGTTTTCACATACTCTGTGTAATGTATGGCCTGAAAACCTTATCCCCACTGTTACAACCTCTTTGATGTTAGTCTAGGGTAAAAGTAATAACATTTAAGAGGTGTGGTACCTTTACAAGATGATGGGTGAAAACAAAAGACACAATCAACAAAACTGCCAACAAAAGTGATTTAATGTACAAAAAAGTTAAATCAGAATAATGCCCGAATAGATATACACTCAGAAAAATATTTACAAGAATAAAGTAACAAATTAAACAAAGTATCAAACAAAATTAGGTCAACTCAAGAGTAAGGGGACGCCAGTGAAGCCAAATCAAAGAAATAAATATAACAAAACAATTCTAACTCATAAGCAAAACCCTTACCTCACTAGAACATGAAAAGAAAAAGAAAAGAAAAATCTTCAGCGCCGAGCGCCGTAAACTTACCTATTCTGAACTAAAAACAAAACAAATACATAAGTGGCATTCACTTTCTTACCTGGTGTTTTAAACAATGGATTGACTACGTGTATGTAAGATGGAAGTCGTACGACATCATCCCTGTCCGCCTTACTCTGAGGACAAAGTCAACTCTCAGTGATCTGTTTTAGGTTTGAGCAGGTAAGAGTTGTGCCAAAGTAACAAACAAACAATCGAATATAAATGTACAGAAATCACAATCTCGTTCAAAAATGGGCAGAAAATATACTAAATAATTTTATCCAAACAAAGGTTAAGCAAAATTAACGAATAACAAAATCTCTCCCTGGCGTCCTTATATGTGACAGCGCCACGTCACCTAATGATGAGTGTCTGATCTCCTGACCAATCAGATTCCGCGAAGGCGGACCTAAAGGATATGACAGGTAGAGATGGGGAGAGAGAAAGAGAGGGAGAGAGAAAAAGAGAGAGAGAACGGGACGCCAAAATTCCACCAATATACGGCAACCGTTACACCACCAAGCATTTTTTTTAAAGATGTTTAATAGTTGTCTAAAAGATGTCTAAACATAATCGTCTTGACTAAAATGGCTAAATTTGGGCTGTCAGTGAAAATCTAATAGATGTTAAAGAATAGGCCAAATCTAGGCTAGTCATCAAATAAGCAGAAATGAATGACTACACCATATAAAGTCTGTCTAATCTGTCTATTTGACGACAAGTCTAGTTGGGCTATTCTTAGATGTCTATTAGATTTTCTCTGACAGCCCAAGTTTAGCCTTGTTTTTGCCAAGTTGTCTACATTAAGATTTCTATTAGACACAAAATTGTTTGCTGGGTAGTGTATACAGTATAGTTCTCCACTCATTCTGCGTATACTTTTGTTCTTTAAATACTGATACTCATAATGTTTACGTCTTGTGTCAAAATGTGTGTTTCCAAAGAGCCACTGCACTCACTGTGGAGGAACAGCATGACGTGGAGAGGCAGGAGTCACCAGAAGAGCCAGAGGAAACACACTTTTACTCAGACACAGAGGAGCATCAGCTCACAGGTAAAGACAGTCCGAGATGTTAAACAACCTGTGATCAATTATCACCACACTGTAAAAAATGTAGGGTTCCACAATTCAATCATGTCATCCTAACTCATATCGATTAAGTTAACACAAAAAATTAAGTGGATTGAACATAAAACAAATAAGTAATCACCAATAAATCTTAAGAATTGTATTGTTTGAGCTCATTTTATATAAGTAAAATGAACAAGCAGCAAAATAATTGAACAGTGGATTGTGAAACTCATCTGCACTCAAAGTACAAAGTGTGAATCGGAAGTGGCTGAGACTGTTTCAATATGTTGATGTACTTCCAACTGAATTGAGTGAGGGGCAGGGCTGTCTTTTCACGCATCATTCCTTCACAGCAAACTAACAGTAATTTAGGTGGGGTTAAGAATACTGTGGCTGAAGCCGAGAAAAATGCAACTCCAAATGTGGAATCAAATGGTCAGACCTTGATTAAAGATTACCAAAACAAAACAAAAAATGTCAGTGAATTAACTTGTTCGGATTAATTGTTCACCCAAAGAATAACACTGTGCGATAGCAACATAAATATTGGACTTTTGGATTTCACATGCAATTTCATTATTTTCAGAGCCTCCAGCTGTACAGGTGGCCATTGAAGACCTTACAATCCGACCTGGTCAGCCTGCAACGTTCTGTGCTATTATTACTGGCCACCCTAGACCAGAGATTCAGTGGTTCAAGGTATCAAGAGATCTAAATGGTGCTGATGTTTTTTAATTTCCATAAATGTTATAACTAGACCCACACTATCTACAATTTTAGCCCATCAATCAGTCTTTTTATTTACTTATTTAAATGTGTTTAAATATACAGTCAAGCTCAAAATTAATTACACCAATGGCAAATTCTGACTTAAAGTTACTTTAATTCAACCAGCAAGTTTTTTTTTTTTTGGACCAGAAATTACATAGTCTTTTTCCAAAAGATAATAAGATGATGTACAAGAGGTATCATTTTAGAATTTTTTCCCAACACTTTTATTTACATTTGAGCAAAAACTTTGTCAGAATTTGGTATGAATCATTTCAGGCTAAACTGTAAATTTAATCAATTTTATATTAATTTCAGCAATATTCTTAAATAATATACAAATGTTTATATAATTTATGTACATTACAATTAACAAAGTAATATTTTATGTATTTTATTAGATATATTAAATGAGAGACTTACTTTGTTTACCAGACAAGTGGATCTAAGTGGATTTGCATTGTAAATCTTAAATACAAGTTAAAAAGTTCTGACTTTTTATTTCATGTTTTAAGTTTTTAGTTACTTTCCTCTCAAAATCACTTTGCATAAATCCACAGATTTTTTTTTTTTGCAAAATATTGTGCAGAATTAACAATAAATGTCAGCAGAATCTGTCTGTCCCTAGTTATTACCAAAAACAGTATTTACTGCATACATTTTCTTTCCTCAGGATGACGTAGAGATCTCATCCAGTGAGTACACGGTAATAGTCCAAAATGGTGCACGTTGCTCTCTCACTTTGCTGGATACTCAAACAGAGGACTGTGGCACCTACACCTGTATAGCTAGTAACAGTGCAGGACAGGTGTTTTGTCACGCACAGCTTAATGTTGACACAGGTGAGATGTAGATATCTGTTATTATCTTTAGGGTTTGCAAGATGTGATTTTGTTGCTAATCAAAAGTATCTAAGCATCTAGAAACCTTTGGCATAACCTTTTCAACATACTATGATTTGGGACAAACTGATTCTATTTTCAAATATTATTTAGGATGGATAGTATGCGAATTGGGACACAGCAATAGTGTTTTAAAATAAAGTTCACTCAGGTGTTTTCTTTTCAGGCCCAGAAGAAATTGAAGAGTCGAGAGAAGTGGAATTTGGAAAAAGACGGAAACTACATTCTGTGTATGATGTTTATGAAGAAATAGGAAGGTAATATTAACTTTTTTTTATGTGTCATAGTTAATATAATATCAGATTTGTTTTATGACACCCTTCTTACATTTCCTCATTTTGTGTGGACATCCAGGGGCACTTTTGGAGTGGTTAAAAAAGTCACACACAAGGCGAGTGGTGAATGCTTTGCTGCCAAGTTTCTTCCACTCAGGAGCAGCACGCGAACCCGAGCGTTTCAGGAGAGAGACCTGCTGTCCCGTCTTGCTCACCGCAGACTCGCCTGCTTGCTGGACTTTTTCTCCACAAGACGCACGCTGGTCTTGGTGGTAGAATTGTAGGATTCAATATTTCTTCTTTTTTTAAATGATTCAGTATTTAACTTTATAAATTAAGCGATCATATAGTGATGTCATATATATATATGCTTTTATTGTTTTATTTATTCCCACAGATGTTCTTCACAAAGCTTACTAGATCATTTGTTTTTAAAGGGATCGGTCACAGAGAGGGAGGTAATATTGGCAATTTTATTGAATTCCAAGCATATTTTTAAACATAATCAAGCAAAATGTATAATTGTGATTCTTTAATTCTAGGTCCAGTTATATATTCAGCAGGTTCTGGAGGGAATTGGATACATACATGGTATGAATATACTACATCTGGATATCAAAGTAAGTTATTTTCGGCTAGAATAACAGCAGTTTTTAATTTTTTAAACACCATTTTAGGGACAAATTTATTAGCCGCTTTTAGCTAATTTTTTTTCTCGATAGTCTACAGAACAAACCATCATTATACAATAAATTGCCTAATTACCCTAACCTGCCTAGTTGACCTAATTAACCTAGTTAAGCCTTTAAATGTCACTTTAAGCTGTATAGAAGTGTCTTGAAAAACATCTGGTAAAATATTATTTACTGTCATCATGGCAAAGATAAAATAAATCAGCTTTTAGAAATGAGTTATTAAAACTATTATGTTTAGAAATATGTTGAAAAAATCTGCTCTCTATTAAACAGAAATTGGGGAAAAAATAAACAAGCAGTCTAATAATTCAGGGGGGCTAATAATTCTGACTTCAACTGTATATATATATATATATATATATATATATATATATATATATATATATATATATATATATATATATATATATATATATATATATATATATATATATATATATATATATATATATATATATATATATATATATATATATATATATATATATATACATATATATATATATACATATATACACACACACACACACACTCATGCATATATTTGAGAAAATGTGTATTTATATTTAGATATAAAATAAATGTGTTTAAATTTAAACTTCTATGTAACAAAATAGTTTTTTTTTATAGTTTTGTTTCTATGTATGTATCACATATATATATAATAATTAAATGCCATTCATACAGATATACAGTATTATGTCAAAACAAACCTTTATTTTGGGTGTGATTGATCATGATTAATCTTTGCTCAATATTTATTATTTTAATTAACAAATTTAAAGGTATAGTTCACCCCAAAATAAAAATTAAGCCTACATTTACTCACTCTTTGCTTGTTTGAATTTTTGTTCTGTTGAACACAAAAGAAGATATTTCAGGGACTATTGGAAAACCATAGCAGGAAAAACAAATAGTATGGAAGTCAATGGTTACCGGTTTCCCCCAAAAAACATTAATAGGTTTGGAACAAGTCAAGGGTGAGGAAATGATGACAGAACTTTTTCAATTACAAGAAATGGTACTAATTAGAATAATTAAGGCTTTTACAATCAAAAAAAATTCTAAAGTTGAACTATGTACTAATTTGCAACTATCTTTATAAGTTAATTTACATTTTTTTCTATGCAGACAGACAACATCCTAATGGTGTCCCCCACAAGAGAAGACATCAAAATATGTGACTTTGGCTTTTGCCAGGAAGTTGACAGCTCCAGACATCAATACAGCAAATTTGGAACTCCTGAGTTTATTGCTCCAGAAATTGTCCACCAAGAGCCTGTGACAGCAGCCACTGATATCTGGTGAGTAAACATTTTTTTATACCAAGTTGTTATGAACAGAATGTTCTGAAATCTAATTCTGTCATACTTTTTTTTTGGTTAAAGTTATTTTTTATTTATTCCAGGTCTCTTGGTGTGGTTGCTTACTTATGGTGAGTGCTTTGACATTTACATTTGCTTTAGCTTTGTGTGACTATCAAAGCTTTTATTTATTTATTTTTTTATGAATCATTTTTATAACATTCTTTTTTTCTGGCAGCTTAACATGCCACTGTCCTTTTTTCGGGGAGAACGACCGTGCCACACTGATGAAGGTTGCCGAAGGTGTGCTGTACTGGGACACACCTGAAATCACAAGCAGAAGTGTGGAGGCACAGGACTTTCTACATAGGGTTCTACAGCCAGACCCAGAGTAGGATCTGATTGCATGGGTGTATTTTAAGTGTTTATGAGGAGCAGGTGATAATGCTCTTTTGTGTCACCTTCATAGAAAGAGGCCATCTGCATCTGAGTGTTTGAGCCATGAGTGGTTCCAGGTAAAACCACTTTTCATTGTGTTTTTCTGTACATTAGAATGTGTCCTGTTTATTTATTATTTTTTTATGGAAAATCAAACATTTTGACATTTATTTAAAGAAGGCACTATTTCGCATTGATTATAGCTATATAGCTTACTTTGATAGCAACATCTGCAAGAAACAACTGATGATATTTTAAAGGACTATTTGAGGATCACAATGCAACCAAATACTTGTTTGTTTGTAATTTAATTCATTATTGTTTTCTGACCACCAGCTTGTATTTCAATTTATTTTGAACATATTTCAATAAATAATCTATATAATAATACAATAATTTCAACGTGTAAAAATTATTATTAAAACTAAAAGTATTATCATATGCTAATATACTTTTCAATTTAAGAATGTTGTTTCGTTTCTATTTAGATATATTGCATGGTAAATGATGGTGGAAAATTATTACATTATTTAATTTATATAAGGCATTTTATTTTCACAAGTTATTTTAATTACTGAAGTTACTGATGTGCCCAAAAGACACATATTGGGCTCTATTTAAACACATATTGGGCTCTAGTGGTTTGTGCTGCAGTGCATAGTCTAAAAGGGTTGTGCTTATTGTCTTAATGAGTTCTGGGTGTGTTTTGAGCATAATGTGCATTAAACCAATTAGAGTTTCGTCTGGCGAGGCAGTGGCACAGTAGGTAATGCTGTCGCCTCACAGCAAGAAGGTCGCTGGGTCGCTGGTTCAAACCTCGGCTCCAGTTGGCGTTTCTGTGTGGAGTTTGCATGTTCTCCCTGTCTTCGCGTGGGTTTCCTCCGGGTGCTCCGGTTTCCCCCACAGTCCAAAGACATGCGGCAGAGGTGAATTGGATAGGCAAAATTGTCCATAGTGTGTGAAAGTGTGTGTGGATGTTTCCCAGAGATGGGTTGTAGCTGGAAGGGCATCCGCTGCGTAAAAACTTGCTGGATAAGTCGGCGGTTCCTTCCGCTGTGGCCACCCCGGATTAATAAAGGGACTAAGCCGACAAGAAAATGAATGAATGAGTTTCGTCTCCCATTCCTTTTAAGAGTCAGTTTCATCGTACCTTGGTGCATTTGCTATTTTACTCCACTTTGTAAGTGAAAAAACTGAATGGAAAAACTGAACTCTTTACTAGCGAGAAAACAGTTAAACAGACCATCTGCAGCGAGAATAAAGCATGAGCCTCCTCCATTCGGCCTCTTTACTTTCTCTTTACTTTACTCTTTACTTTACTCTTTTATTTACGTGGATTAGGAAACGCTGTTGTATGCACTCCACTGAAGACATCCATTAGCCTACATCATTAATTTCATTTGTTAAGCGCATAGATTTGTTTCAAAACTATTTCTAAATTCACTTCTAATTTTCAGTAAACGAATAATCTTTTGATCTTTTATAACCCATTTTATTCTATTTTTATTTGTTTTAATCATTTTTATTCTTATAATCATTTTTATTTTCTTGTTTCTTTTATTCTTGTTTATGTAAAGAACTTTGAATTACCATTGTGTATGAAAAAACTGTGGTCAAAAAACTTATATTCAGTTATATCCAAACACACATCCTATTCATATGGTGATAATGATATGATGATGAAAGCCCCCTGACATGAAGGCATGGAGGTAGTGTTTTTTTTTCTATATCTATGTAGTTTACTTTATTTTTTCATATGTAGAGATATTTGTGTATTGCTGTACATCCTGTGTGTATTAAGTGTTTTAACATGCATAGGCGCATAACTAACACACTTTGCGATGGACTTTAGACCAGCTTTTACTTGGTCAACGGTGTGGTCTTTCGGTTTCTCAAAATAACAACAATGCACCTTAACACACCTCCTTTATAGACAAGCACACCCATGAGTCCACAAAGTGGCGCAAATGAATTTGTTATTTGAATAATTTGGTGCAAAACGTAAAAATTAGGGTTGCGCCGGAATTAAAATAGCAACAAATCATGCAAATCACGAATAAATAAAATGTAAATATTTTCAGGGTTACTATGAAGATGAAGAACCAGTGGAAATAAACACCAAGAATTTAAAATCTTTCATTTCAAGGAGAAAATGGCAGGTAAATTTTAAAACGATTTCCTCTGCAATTAACTGTCCAAAAAAAAAAAAAATCTTCTTTAATGTCTGTCTACGCTTTTTCCATGCTTGTTCTCTAGCGTTCTTTAACATGCCTCGGCTCAGTTCTGACTCTAAGACCAATCCCAGAGTTGTTGGAGGCTCCTCTGCGTGACGTTGCGATTACAGCTCCAAGAGACACCCAGCAGCCCAGCAGTACATCCTTAAGTAGCGGATCCTCTTCAGAGTACGATGAGGCAGATGCCTGGGACTTCTTCCAGCAGGTCAGCGAGGAGGAGGAAGATGATTTGGAGGAAGATGATGAACACACTCATGTGTCAAAGTCTCCCACTATTTTAAAACGGGATGAAGAAGAAGTGCTCATCGGTGAGGACGGAGTTCACAGCGGCCCATTGGTGATTCCTGTGACTGGATCGTCAATGGAGCCCATCGGTTTGGAGCAGCGAGACGACAGCCCTTCTGTTCTTCTCTCTGAGGGGGATGAAGGATTGACTGGTGGGCCTCCTATACCGCGTCGTATCCTCATCAAGAGTACTTTTTACTGCAGCTCCGAGCAGCTTTCACCTATGTCTGCTCGTCACATGACGCTTCGGGATAAAATCCAAGCTAAAAAGCAAGAGCGTGGCCGTAAACCTCTCCGTGCTAGCCTCTCTGGCAGGTTAAATGAACCCCTCATTGAGTATGTAGAAGATTCCCCAGACCTAGAAGCGAATCGTAACCAGAGAAGAGCATCGATGCATGCGTCTATCCTCAAGTCCAGCTCATTTGATAGTGGAGTGAGTGCTGGTCATCCAAGCATATGCACCCAGAGAAGAAGCAGGTCATTAGATGTTTACACTCAACGCTCACCAGTTTCAACGGTGCAAGGAGAGGATGAGCATGATCCTGAAATTAACAAGAAAACAGACGAAGAAGAGGAGAAAACTGAAGAAGTCCAGGTTAGAAGGAAACTCTGCCGTCGCTCTGCGTTTTTGTCAAAGAAGGGACCTGTAAATGTGAGAAAGCAGAAAGACGAGGTCCAAGAATCTGATGAAGAACATCAGGAAGATTCAAAAAGTACATGTGAGGATGATCACCAATTGCAGAATTTGGAAACTGAAGCAGCCCAATCAGATGATGAGGAGAGCGTGGATGGCTCTCACATTTCATTAGCATGCTCTCTTGACCATGGCTCAGACGCAGGATCATATGAAGCACTTCCCCACAGATCCCACCATGATGCCTTCGTGATTGCTGGATCTTCTGGCAAAACATCTGCATGCTCTTTACTTCAGGACTCTGAGGATGAGGACATGGAGAGAGTCTTGAGATCTCTTCGCCAAGACCTCCCACAAGCCCCACCAAGACGCCGCACCAACAGTTCAAGCTCTGGACTAAATGAGGTTCGCCGTAAGAGCAGTGTCCCACTGAGAAGAAGCTCCTCTGCTGTTCCTGTTCAGGCTGCAATAGCAGATCGGGAAAGCAAAGAGGTGCTTCAAAGACATGCTTCAGCCCCGGCTCTACAAGACAAACCTCCAAGTGGGAAATCTTCCAAGCCTGGATTCATGAAGATCTTCCGCAAGCATTCCTGGGCTAGCCATTCTTCTCCTCAACTAGAGGCACCGGAAAAGAAACATGCAGATGGAGCTCAACCCAAGACCCCTCTTCTAACGCTGAGGAAAAAGATGCGAGCTTCAGCCTCTAGTATTACGAAACTGTTCACCCGACAGTCCAGCAAGGAGGACGTGGAGAAGAAGAAAGTTGGTAGGCTACTTTTGATTCTATATACATTTGAAATTAGCAGATATTGGCTGCTTTACTGTTCAGTTAAAGCAATATTTAGTAAAACTCTTTCTTAAAGGTCCAATTGTGAAGAATGCCTCCCATATCATGCAAGAGCAGATGACCTTTTCAGTTCCAGCTCCCACCTCATCTGAAAGCCCTCAGAAGAAGAGCAAACTGTTCTCACTGAAAGTGCCAATATTTAAAAAAAGCAAAGGTACATTTTTTTGACAGATTTGTTCATCTAAAAATTATCTCTGGATTAAATAATTTGTTATCATTAATTTCAGTGTATGCTATATTGATAGAAGCATTGCTTAATATAATCAGTCCCATTAAGGCAAGTCATTTCACTCTGCAGCCTTCTTTAAAACAGCTTTCGGGTAGTATACTCGGGCATTCTGTTTGAATAGGGAAACATCAAATTCTCCAAAATTGCTTGTCAAGCTCAGGATTACATTTCATATTAGGAATCACCAATTAAATAAACAACAACTTTGTCTTTAGTTTAATTTCTAAATGTTCACACAAACTCTGCAAAAACTCACCTCTGGTCCAAGCCCCTCCCTCGGAGAATCATTAGTCTAGAGCAATCGATGATTGGCTCCTGTACTAGAAAGCGGACTTTATTCACCATATAGCGATCGATGATTGGCTCCTGCACTAGTAGGCGGGGCTTTATTTACCATATTGACCGTTACACTTTTCTCCATTCAGAAAGATACGAGTGACATGTCTTGTGTATTTTAGAGTCTTTGATATAATATATGTAAGTTTTTGTTGAATGGTTCTTTGCCTCCACATTGTGCATATAAAATCCTTCAACACACATCAAAACTTTGATTACCCTGTGCTTATTTGCCAAGGTATGGACATTTTAAAACTAGTTTTGCTTTTTGCAGCACTATATTTTACAGAATTGTCATCTGTTATGACATGTTAGATCTCCTGGTCCTGCTTTGAGTCAGTCACAGGCAGACAGAGAGAAAGCATGCATGTGAGAGAGATCAGATGTGTGCATGTACGTGACATGGGCATATACAGTATAATAGCTCATATAACATGTGCTAGCCACATCTTTACAAATATGTTTGAGCATATTAGTGAGTTAGCTGATCAGCATCCGCAACTGTCATCGAGTTAGTATGGTCACTAATGTTTGAGTGAAGCATTTATTTTGAGCTGTGATCAAAACAAACTGGAATTACAAATGCATTTCGATTTTATTTGACAACTTTCAGCCAATCAGAATTAAGAATTTCAGCAGATAAATTACTATTTAAGATAAATGACTATTCAAAGGCTTGTGTTAGGGTTGATACTTTTTTTTGGTTTTAAATGAAGAGCTTACTAGCTATTTGTAAGAGATTTTTAAAAGTATTTTGTTGTATGTTCTACAAGAATGTCCAGTCAAACCATCCAGGCCAGATGTAATTCAGCTTGCAGGAGGAGGAGCTCTTGTCTTCTGGAAACCTGTGCCATCCAAAGAGCTTGTCACATATTGTATTCAGTATAGTGTAAATGGTAAGAATACATACTAAAGCAATACACTCAGTTCCATCTATTTATATTATTTTTCCAGTGTGTTTTTGCTTTCTGTTGTACTTAATAAATAATGTATTTTCCTTTATGTTAGGTGGCGAGTGGAGAGTGTTGTCAGAAAATGTCACAGATAGCTGTTTCACTGCTAAAACCCTACCAAGAGGACCAGGATATATGTTCAGAGTTTCCTATCACACTAAGACAGGGCTGGCACCTTTCAGTGATCCATCACCACCTGCCTTCATGGCAATACCTTATGAAGGTATGCTAATTAAAATAAAAATAACACTGAAGTTAAATAGTTTATTTACACCCTATAACAGATCTCTGTAACTGCTCTGTTTCTGTCTTGTACTGTTTTTTCCATCAAAAATATGACTTTCTAATAATAGGTTCATATTAGACTGCTTATTTAAAAGGCAAAGTGTTCGTAAAAATTAAAAATTGCTGATAAATTACTCACCCTAAGGCCATCTATGATATGTTTACCTAGATATAAGTATTTTCCTTTGTACAAAGAATATTTTTGTTAAAACTGAGGTCTTTGATCATTCATAAAATCCCAGTGAACGTCTGCCAGCAGTTTGAGAGTAAAAAAAATACAGGTAAACCATAATTAATACTTCTGACTCCTGATTATTATAAGGCCTAAACTCATAATCAGTTTATGCATATGACCAGTTTTACTTATTTTATTTCTTTTCCAGACTCTCACAGTCCTCTTATTGAGATGGAGTCCATTGGGTCAAAGATCACTGTACCTGGAGGTCTTGGCACCGAAAAGTCTTATAAATTCCTTTCTGAAATCAACAGGTACATGGACTGCACATTTATTTAAGCTTTCACAATTCTGAATCTCCCTGTTAACAGTTTTGTAAACTCAATTTCATGGCTAGATTACAGTTTCAAAACAATTTTTTTAACACCAAAATAATTAATTGGGGTTTGTTAGCAAAAACATGTTCTTAAAGCGATAGTTCACTCAAGAATTAACCATTTGTGTATTTTTTTTTCATTTTAATATCCAAAAACCTCTGCAACAGTTTTATATATTTTGCTGACTTAGTACTTAGATTATCTCAGATGTTTCGAAGAATGTTCAAATCCAGAGAAATAAGCTATATAAATTAGTGACACGGACCGTATTTTTTGCAGTCTCATGTCTCCATGCTAATGAAGTCTTACACCCTCAATTTCCAGTTCGGTTTGATAGAAAACAGGGAAACACTAAAGACATTTCAATATGTTGTGCATTTTATTAAAAATGTATGGACCCTATAATGTATTTAGGGTGATAAAACAGCATTGCTTCCTCTTAACGTAATAATGCCAGGAAGCAGAAGTGGCTTATTGTTGCATAATAAAATCTCTGCTGCTTTTCTGCTGTTGCATTCATCTCTTATCAGCAATTGCTTCAGCACTCTTGTTTCGCTTTGACAGCTTTCGTCTTTACTCTGCTTATGATAATAAGTTTTGAATGCTTAGCTCAACCATGAACAATTTCAGACCACAACTCCCATGATTCCACACTCAGTCATGGCTTTATCAAATACGCCTTTTGTTTATTTTGAATATGCACTCTCTAGTGGAGACAAAATAAACACTTCACCTTTAACTGTCACGTTATGGTGATCAAAAGGTTGTAGAATCCAAGTGCAGATCTTTTAATGTGAAATAGTGCAGCAACAGTGACAAAACCCAAAAATCAAAGTAACAAAGTAAACAAACAAACAAACAAACTAGAAACTCAAACAGACTAAACTAGAACTAAACTTAAGCAACAAGAACAGGATATAAACTGGAATCAGGAAACACATACCGACAGGAACGACAACGACCAACTGACAAACAGAGGATAAATAACAAAATATATAGTCCAGGTAAACAACGGAGAACGGAGACAGCTGTGGTTGTAAATCAGTGTAGATGACAGACCGGGTGTGGGCGCGAAAGAATGTATGGAAATGTAGTTCTAAAGCCACTGTAGTTAGCTGGGGGTTGCTGACGAACTACAGTGGCATCTGGTGGACAACACAGTCATGACATTAACTGCTCAGAAAATAATTCATTACCATTATTGTCGATATTTTCTTATATCATTTTAATTACAATCATTATAATCCCTTAATTTAGGTGATAAGTTATAATGAGATAGTGTGGGCTAACAAGTGTATGTGGTTTTTTTTTTTTCAGAGGCCGTTTCAGTGTGGTGATGCAGTGCGAGGACAGCCGCAGCTCTCAGATGCTGGCAGCTAAAATGACTCCCTACAAACCAGAGCAGAGGCAGCTGGTTTTGAGGGAATATCAAGTGCTCCGTCGACTCAGCCACCCTCGAATCGTCCAGCTGCATTCGGCCATCCTCACCTCCACCTGCCTGCTGCTTATAGAGGAGCTGTGCTCAGGGCGAGAGCTGCTTTATAACCTCGCAGAAAGGTAGAGAATGCATTTTCATAGATGCTGCTTGAAATCATGGTTTGTAACAGTGTGTGTTGTAAAAAAAGTTGTTTTGCTGGTTTGTAGGAATCTTTATTCAGAAGCACACGTGACTGACCTGCTGGAGCAGATTCTGAGCGCTGTGGATTACCTGCACAGTCGACGCATTGTACACCTGGACCTGAAGTCAGATAACATGCTTGTGACGGGCAAAAATTTAGTGAAGATTGTGGATTTAGGCTCCGCTCAGCCGTTTAATCCAGGACAGGCGCTGAACATTGAACATATCAGGGAAATGACAGATAATAAAGGTAAATCAAAGATACTGTAGTATGATCTAAAAACTATTGCTTTTGATTTTACTAATATTTATTATTCTTTATTGGAAATTTGGGAAAAGATTGAAAAAATTATAATCCATGTGCTCATCAAACCCTAATTTAATTAATCATAATTACAGTGACTGAATTCAGTATTTACTCAATAAAAAAAAAAAAACAGTTTTTAGTTTTAATATACACTGGCCACTTTATTAGGTACATTTTACTAGTACCGGGTTGGATTTCCTTTTGCCTTCAGAACTGCCTTGAACCATCGTGGCATAGATTCAACAAGGTACTGGAAATATTCCTCAGAGATTTTGCTCCATATTGACATGATAGCATCACGCAGTTGCTACAGATTTGTCCGCTGCACATCCATTATGCAAATCTCCCATTCCACCACATCCCAAAGGTGCTCTATTGGATTGAGATCTGCTGACTGTGGAGGTCATTTGAGTACAGTAAACTCATTGTCATGTTCAAGAAATCAGTCTGAGATGATTCACGCTTTATGACTCGTTGTCCTGCTGGAAGTAGCCATCACAAGATGGGTACACTGTGGTCTTAAAGAGATGGACATGGCCAGCAGCAATACTCAGGTAGGCTGTGGCGTTGACACAATGCTCAATTGGTACTAATGGGTCCAAAAAGTTCCAAGACAATATCCCTCACTCCATTACACGAGCACCACCAGCCTGAACCATTGATACAAGCCAGGATGGATCCACGCTTTCATGTTGTTGATGCCAAATTCTGACCTCACCATTCAAATGTAACAGCAGAAATTGAGACTCATCAGGCCAGGCAAGGTTTTTCTAATCTTCTGTTGTCCAATTTTGGTGAGCCTGTGCGAATTGCACCCTCAATTTCCTGTTCTTAGCTGACAGGAGTAGCATCGGTGTGGTCTTCTGCTGCTGTTGCCCATCCGCCTCAAGGTTCAACATGTTGTGCGTTCTTGGTTGTAACGAGTGGTTATTTGAGTTACTGTTGCCTTTCTATAAGCTGGAACCAGTCTGTCAATTCTTCTCTGACGTCTGGCATCAACAAGACATTTGCGCCCACAGATAAGTTGCTCATTGGATTTTTTCTCTTTTTCGGACCATTCTGTGTAAGCCCTAGAGATGGTTGTGTGTAAAAAAAAATCCCAGTAGATCAGCAGTTTCTGAAATATTCAGACCAGCCTGGCACCATCAACCATGCCACAATCCAAGTCACTTCAATCACCTTTCTTTCCCATTCTGATGCTCGGTTTTAACTACAGCAGATTGTCTTGACCATGTCTACATGTCTAAATGCATTGAGTTGCTGCCATTTGATTGGCTAATTTGAAATTTGTATTAACGAGCAGTTGGACAGACGTACCTAATAAAGTGACCAATAGGTGTATTTTGGTGTGTAATTTATTCTTTTGATGGAAGATATTAATTTTTATCAGCCATTTTACTAGTCCTCTGTGTCACATGATCTTTTATAAATCACTCTAATGTGCATATTGTATGCTTAAGAATAATAAAGCAATAATAATTAAAATAAAAAAGTAATAATAATGGACTAAAACCAGATTCCAGTAAAATAACAGTAACAGTTTTGGAATTACATATTTGTAGTTTTATGAAAAAAAAAACTCTCTCTACTTTTAATATAATGCATTAATGCTGAATAAAACTGATCATTTCTGTACAAATTATTCAACATCTTAAAATAAATAAACCAATATGATATAAAAAACAAAACAATATAATTTACCAACAAATAATAACTTTTAATTACTTAAATGATAACTTTTTTATGTTAGGTTATATTGTCCTTCCTAAAGCTCCTGAAATCTTAGAAGGACAAGGAGTTGGCCCTGAAACCGATATCTGGGCTATTGGTGTTTTGGCTTTTATAATGTAAGTATTTCATGCAGATACATTTTATAGGACACCTTTATTGTTCAGTCATTGTTCTTTCATTTCCTCTAATACGTATATTCTCCTGATAGGTTGAGTGCAGACAGTCCTTTCCATGCAGATTTAAATTGGGAGAGGGATCGAAACATCAAAAAAGGCAAGATCCAGTTTAGTCGCTGTTACCCAGGTCTCTCAGAAGGAGCCATCAACTTCATGAAGAACACCCTGAGCAACAAAGCCTGGTAAAATCCACAGACACTCAATGCTTATAAATACAGTCATGTCATGACATAAAGAACTCAGTCCATGGTAGATCTTAAGATGTGGAAGATAATACCTCAGATTAACAACATCACATGACATCTCACCGTGTGTCATTATTAATTTAACAAAAATAAAGCCAAGATAGAAAACCATGGCTGATAAATGATTCAGAGGACTGTAGATCTACTTTATCAGTAATGTCATTTTTTTTTTTTTACATTAGACTGACCTTGTCAGTCTCTAGTATCACTTAGAGGAGTTTTTTGGCACAGTTTTCGCTACAGCATTTCAGTAAGGATGAGCTCTGGACTTTTGACTGCAATATTGCAACAACTTAATATTTTGTTTCCATTTTCACTTGTTCTGTTGTAGATTTGCTGGTGTGCTTAGGATCGTTGTCTTGCATGACCCAATTTTGGCTCAGCTTTAGCTGTGAGATGGGCATCCAGACCAACAAACTACTAAAACGTCTTCTACTAGTGATCAGTTTACACTGGAACTACCAGAATTCTATAACTCATAAAATTACCATAGAGGTCATTCTCATATAAGACGTCACATTGTCACGTCATATTTAAATTCAAAGCTTCTATTAAGATAATACACATAATACAGCTTATAAATGTTTAATTAGGCTACTAGACCATCTGCGAATGTTCGTGTCTTACTTTCATTTTCATCTCCACAAGCAGGGGAGAAGGCTTTTTCATTGATTTATTTTGGTTATTGCTACTGATCATGTTGTTTTTCATTTGAGGTTTCATTTTCCAAATTGCAAGACCTGCCAAAAGATATTGAATGTTTTAAATTTCATAGGGTGCCTTAATTTTTCACAAGACTGTATATACAGTACAATTGCATACTGAACCAGTTCAAATGTGCAGTATTTGACGCGCCTCCATGTTTCATTAGGGCAAGACCAACAGCAGCAGAGTGCCTCCAGAACCCCTGGATTGAAGGAGAGCATCCGTCCTCCAAACACGCGGACTCTGTGGTGTGCTTTTCAGCAGACAAGCTGCAGGCCTATCTCAGGGAACGAGAGGCCAAGAGAGACCACGTCCGCACAAAAACTCAACTGCCCCTCTCATGATTCAAGAGTGGACAAAAGTCATATGTCAAACTGTGAAATGAGTGAGGTTTATTTTTGTGCTGCACTTCCATGCGGGAATATATGATGCTTAACATTTTTAGCAGTAATGATATTTGGTTGTATTTCTTTAGATGTTTGATTACAGTTTATTTCAAGGTTTGCTTGATAGTTAGTATTTATTCCTATTGAGTAGTGTTAATTTGCTACAAATACTTACTACAGTATATGCTTAGGCTTAGAATGCTGGTTAGGTTTATAGTTAGTGCAATTATAATTAATATAGTAAGTACATGGAATATGAAATATGTGGGACGTGTAACTAGGACACCTTAAAATAAAGTGTTACTGATTTTTTTTCAACAGGTGCAGTGAGACAGCCTGCATGACAGTGTTTTGATGACTGCTTTGTCATTGATACATTCATTTTATAAACATGATTTTAAAATAGTGTGAACAAATCTGTATCACGGCTTTATGAATGGCATAAAAACTGTTTTTACAAACTTTTAAAAATGTAATACACATTTTAAATGATTTAGGGTGCTTTTGATTCACACATTTAGCTGGAATTACTGAAGAATCCCAGTTTGTCTGTCCGTCTATCAATCTGTTAATCTATGAATGCAAGATGTTGGGTTTTAGCTGTTATATAATAATCTAATCTATATAATCTAATAATATAATAATCTGATAATCTATTGTTCATTTATTCGTTCATTTTCTTTTTGGCTTAGTCCCTTTATTATCTGGGGTCGCCACAGCGAAATGAACCGGCAACTTATCCAGCATATGTTTTAAGCAGAGGATGACTTTCCAGCGGGTGAAGCAGTGGTGCAGTAGGTAGTGCTGTTGCCTCACAGCAAGAAGGTCACTGGGTCGCTGGTTCGAGCCTCGGCTCAGTTGGCGTTTCTGTGTGGAGTTTGCATGTTCTTCCTGCGTTCGCGTGGGTTTCCTCCGGGTGCTCTGGTTTCCCCCAGAGTCCAAAGGCATGCGGTTCAGGTGAATTGGGTAGGCTAAATTGTCCGTAGTGTGTGAATGTGTGTGTGGATGTTTCCCAGAGATTGGTTGCAGCTGGAAGGGCATCCGCTGCATAAAAACTTGCTGGATAAGTTGGCGGTTTATTCCGCTGTGGTGACCCCGGATTAATGAAGGGACTAAGCCGACAAGAAAATGAATGAATGAATGCCCTTAATGCAATTTCATAATCTATTGTTTACTTCTTGTTAATAAAATGATTTGCCTTTGTCATATCTGGGAAGACTTTCTTGTATTATTTGAGTGAGGTGTTTAAATGCACATTTTACTTCATGTGTGAGGATTTATTTCCAGTATATATTTGATAAGGCTGAGGATTGTTGCTTCTTTGCAGTCACTAGAAATAATTTAAATCGCTTTTCTTTAACAATTGTTTAAAATAAAAATTTTAACAAATATTTTTTGCCAGCATTATTTGCTACAATATAAATGTTTTATTTCACTGTAATGTTATTTTTGGCTTATTTTGCGTCAAATTATATTCTAACATACACGCACACTCAGTATGTATACTGCTTAAAAAAATAAAGGAAACACTTGGAGTTACATTGTGTTGTTTAAGTGTTTTTCTTTTTTTTTTTTTAAACAGTATATCGCCCTAAGACCACTGGGCTGGGAATATGAAAGACTATTTGATGTACTATCTACTTTTGTCCGATAGTTGGCGGAGGTGTACACAACTGTATCCTAAAGCACGGAGAAAACTACCATCGAAGAAAAGACCTCCATCCGCCGAAATAGCATTCAGCTAACGTTCTCCCGTAAATAAAAACTGACATATTTTAGATAAACAGACTACGTGTCTTTTCCTCAGGTAAGTTTTAATTTCACTTTTAATATACTTAGAGATTGTAAACGAAGTCTAGGAGTTATACATATTCTAAAAGTAGTTCCCGCCTGTCAGGTTATGTTAGCTTGGTAACGCAGCTCATTGGTTCCGATTTCAGGTTTATCAACTCTCATTTTATTAGTCTTCATTTACTTATCTATGTCATACCCGATCAAACAGATCCAGCAAACAGGTTTTCCCATGTAACCCCGGCTTGTTGTTTGTGTTTGGGGAAAAATTGTGAAATAAACTGCTGTTCAGCCCTAGTCTAACAAAGACGTTTGTTGTTTATTTGTTTTTCTCTATTTGCTTTTTTCTTCACTCTATATATATATATATATATATATATATATATATATATATATATATATATATATATATATATATATATATAATTATTTTTTTTTCTGATAATATTAGTGCCTGACCATGACGACCGGTGCTGATGTGAGGGATATTCTGGAGCTGGCAGGAGGAGACAATGATTCAGGACCCATCAGTAAGAAGGACATCATCAACTCAGACAAGGTAACCCGTCACAGATGAGGACCAATACCACCGAGATGCTGAAGATTACGTTTTGCAGTTGCTTCCACGATTGGGATAAATTGGTTTTATATTTGCACATTCAGTCTTTCTTCTTAAAAATCTATCTTTAGAAAAGTATTATTTGTAAAATTCTATATTCTATATCTGTATTGTAGGTCTTAAATTGTTTTAAACAGGTCTTAATCTTGATTTGTCCAAGTAAAGCTACTTAATTTGGGCTGACATCCTTCCAATGACCAACAATACGTCTCAATAAAACCTTATTTTTATATTTAAGTTTTTCATTGCAAAGATATACAATTCACAACAGCTGTTAGACATTTTTACAGCAAATACCTCAAATTATATTCCTTAATTAAGGGGAAAAAACTAAAAACATTTACATGATTCCTTGTGATAATATCAGGCCATTAAAAAAAATCTTAACCCCGTATAAGTCTAAAATGTCATTCATAATGGTCCTAAAAGGGTCTTTAAAAGTCTAAAGTAGCATGGTAAACAATATTAAGAATGTGTCACAAGTTGTCACTGAACGATGAATGCGCAGTGGCATAGCGGATGGGCACACAAAAAATGGTGTCAACCGATCATTTAAAAGAATAAATATATTGTTCAATTTGATTTAATGATCAATAAAAATACTATAATCCATTACATCCCCTTCATTTAAATTTTTTTTGTAAAGATAAAGGATAAAATATGCAATTACATAATAACAGATCTATATTCTTTTATATTGCTGTTTTACTTTTGTGTGTTATATGTCTGCTAAAACATTCTTTTAAAATGAGTTTTTTTATCATAAAAAATGTCATTTGCTCTCCCCTAAATAAAAAGGAAAATATTCACGAGTAATGTCTTATTGTTAACCGTATGACCAAAAATAAAACAGTAGACTATTTAAAACAGTTTTGGCTGTTGATGACAAAATCATGCAATCTTAAAAGCTTCACATTAATTAGTTTTACCACAACAAACCAGACTGACTTTCCAAATGTATTATTTTTTCAGCACTGGAATTATGCATCCAAAATGCAAAAATTTTAAAGTTTAAATGCTTATTGGATTGTTTCACAAGCTTCTCATGACTACATTATTTAGATGTAGATTATAGATTGCGCTATGCCACTGCAAATGTGTGAATATAAAGCCAACTGTACCTCAATGCTTTCATGTATTACAGCATTAAATGTTTTGATGAGACAATTCACATTGTGTTTCTTTTAGAAAAAAGCCAAGAAAGTGACAGAGACTTTAACCTTCAAGAGACCAGAGGGAATGCACAGGGAAGTTTACGCTTTGCTGTATTCAGACAAAAAGTAAGATGTATTGGTTTAACCTTTTCCACACCACTGCTTTATTACTTTTCTTTTTGGATATTTTGTAAACTCACTAAGACTCATTATTAACCTCTTTTTAATAATTAAAGCAGTTATATTGTTAATTTAATACACTTTTAAAATATGGATATTTAAAATTTGATTAAAAAATATTTTACACATTTTTGCCAGTTACGTTTATGCTGAATTACTCAATTTTTCATTTCACATTGTCCTTCAGACTTCTTAATGTAACTCTTTCCTGCTTAACAAATATCTTGTTGGCTTTTCTGTGTTCAAATGCTGTTTAACATTTTTGTAAAGACCCTGTTTTCAAGGTTCATTTAAGAACAGAAAATTCAAAAAAGCAGCATTAAAACTAAAAGGTTCTGTAAAATATTAAAAGCCTTCGTTCACTGTCATTTTTTTCTTGACCCTTTTTTTTTTTTTTGGAAGAATGCAAATGATAATAGGGTTAAGAAAAATCCGAACTACTGGTCCAGCTTGACCATCATCAAAATCTTTTTGTTTGAGCTCTTATTTTGCCATAGATGTTGATATTGTTACATTAAAAGATAATTTTCTCTCTTTCAGTCGGGATGCCCCTCCACTTTTGCCGAGCGACACTACACAAGGCTATCGGACAGTTAAAGCCAAACTGGGCTGTAAGAAAGTGCGGCCCTGGAAGTGGATGCCCTTTTCTAATCCAGCCAGAAAAGATGGAGCCATCTTCCATCACTGGAGACGCGCAGCAGAAGAGGGGAAGGACTATCCGTTTGCTCGTTTCAACAAGGTTAATGCCATAATGACATTTGTGAAAGCGAAGAGTTTATCATTGTATTTTCTGGAAATTAAGCTCCTGCCTATAAGATGGCCAGGCAAAAAAATCATTCAGATATTTTAAGAAAGTGATTTGTTTAGACTTATTATTGACTTATTATTAACATGTTTTTAGTTTCTCTTGGTCCACAACAAATCTTTTACTTACATTGGGAACAACGGCAACAAAAGGAATTAAATCCAAACCTAAAAGTATAGTTACGTTTAGATGAGTCGTTTATTACTTATGTGAACCTTATAGTTCACCTGAATTTTTTTTCTCACTGTTTATTTACCCTCAAGTGGTTTTAAACCTTTTTGTGCTTCTCTCTTCTGTTGAACTCAAAAGCAGATATTTTGAAGAATGTTAGAAACCAGTAACCATTGACTTCCACAGTAAAAAAAAAAAAAACAAATACCAGGAAAGTCAAAGGTTACCAGTTTTTAACATTTTTCAAATTATGTTCTTTTGGGTTAAATAAAAATAAATAAAATAAAATGAAAGAAACTTCTACAGGTTTGTAATCAGTGAGTAAATGATGGCAGAATCTATAGTTTTGGGTTTTAAATCAGCAGTGTGTGGGAAATGCACTATCAAAATACCATGTATTCACTTTCAGAATAGGTACAAATTTAGGCTCATTCCTCACAATTTTTCTTGTTTGATGTTCATTGCGTTAAACCAGAAGCTTTTTTTTAATGACAATTTCCTTGCTGATTCAAGACTGTGCAGGTGCCTGTGTACTCAGAACAGGAGTATCAGATGTATCTTCATGATGACGGATGGACAAAAGCTGAAACTGATCACCTGTTCGACTTGTGCAAACGCTTTGATCTGCGGTTTATCGTTATCCATGATCGATATGATCACCAACAGTACAGAGTAAATTCTTCTTTTTCTTTCTCCTTTCCTTCTTTTTTGTACTGAACATAAAATAGCAACTTGACAACATTTTGATTTCACTGTTTTAATTGTAGAAGCGTTCTGTGGAGGATCTTAAGGAACGTTATTACTGCATTTGTGGCAAACTAACAAAAGTTCGGGCAGGAACAGGAGCGGAGCCCAAGATCTACATATTTGATGCTGGTCATGAGAGAAGGAGAAAAGAGCAGCTTGAGAGACTTTTCAACCGCACTCCAGAACAGGTGACCAGACAAAAACACCCAACATGTATCACAATCTGCTAACAGATATTACAGTCATCATTATTTTGCTGCTTCTGCACAGGGTGTTTTGCACAGGGTCTTAAAAAGTCTTTAAATGTCTTAAAAAATAAAAAACAAAAATAAAAATTTGGTCTTAAAAAGTCTTAAATTCACTGACATGTTGTGTTGTATGTCTTAAATAATTTTAAAAAGGTCTTAATTTTTCTCTGTCCAAGCAAAACTACCCAATGAGGCCGACATCCATCCACTCACCAACAATCCATCGTTATAAAACCTTATTTTTTAATATTTAAGTTTTCTATTTAGGTTTTTTAATGGCAGAGATACAATTTGCAATAGCTGTTAGACATTTTACAGCAATTTCTCCCAATTAAATTCCCTAATTCCCAGGGAAAAGAAAACAATTGCACAGTTCCTCATGATAATAACAGAGCAATGTATCCCTTTACGTTATCTTCCATTCATACAAAAACTATTTACAGGACTAAGAGGGAGTAGACATAATATTTCTAAATAGACATAAAACATAACAGAAACGCTTTAGGTTGAATAGAAGTTATACTCAATCAATTTGGACCAAAAGCCAACAAATATATATTTTTGAGTATGTATGTAATTACATCCACAATAAAAATACATTTAACAATGTTAAACTTGTAATTTAAAAAAAAAAAAAATATTATTTTGAAAAAAGTGTATACAACTAGACTTTTCTTGTTTTGATGCATTAAAGTATGTCGCTAAGAAATAGAAATAATAATAATAATAATAATATTTTTGTGGCAATTATAAAAAGTCTAACATTTAATTCTTAATGGTCTTTAAAGGGTCTTAAAAAGTCTTAAATTTGACTTTATGTAACCTGCAGAAACCCTGTTTGTAAAAAAAAAAATTATGCAGAATGATTTTGAGAATAAAGGATCTTTTTTTAAAGTGGTCAAAACAATATATATTTTTTACGTTAAACAAAGCTAATGTAAATTTCATTTAATATATCTTATAAAAGACAAAATATTACTTTACAAATTGTATTGTACATAAATTATCTAAACGTTTGCATATCATTCAATAATAGTACTTAAATGAATATAAAAACACACATTTACATGAGGAAATAAATAGACTTGATGTGCTCAAAAAACTTTGAAAATACTTGCATTTTAATGTAATGTTTTAATGGTTGGAAAAGTATGTTAAAAGTGCTTGAAAATGCAGTTGTTTTGTTTTCATAATGCCCTTTACTAAATAGGTAAAAGTTATCAACTATTTATATAAAAGATTTTTTTTTCTTTTGCGTGATCTGCCTGTTATTTTTAAAATAAATCTAAAATCATTTGTTAAAAGTAAAATTATTTCAAATAAAAATGAATTTAAGATAAAAGATACATGAAGGACATATTTAAAATTTGAGTAAATTACATATAAAAGTGAGAAAATGACACGTCATCAAAAGTTGTCCTTAGAATACTATACTATAAAAAATAGCATCTGATATACTATGCAAGTATGTATATGTATGTAAATACAGCGGGGGAAAAAGCATTGAACACGTCACGTTTTTTTTTTTTTGGAACAATATTTCTAAGGGAGCTGTTGACAGAATTGAACCAGATTTTGGTAAAAACTCAAACAATACAAACATAAAAATTAAAACAAAAAAATCTGAAAAATGAGTTCTGTGTAATAACAATCAAATGACACAAGCAGAAAGCATGGTCCTACTGAAAAGTATTTAATACCTAAATAAAAGGCTTTTTTGGTCATGGCACCTTTTCATATGAATAAAGTAACATGCATTGCTCTTTACTTTGTATTTTCTATTGGATTCAAGTCAGGTGATTGGCTTGGCCATTCTACAGCGTGATTTTTCTTTCACTGAAATCATTTTAAAGAGATTCCTTGGTTGTGTTTTGGATCATTGTCTTGCTAAAATGGCCTTTGTAGTTTCATTATCATCATCCTGCTGATGTAGATGTTGGACTGAAGCAGCAAATGGTCATTTACAATGACGTAGGGCAGAGGGTTGCTAAATAACTATTGAGAGATTTCACCTGCTGTCTGGGCTTTCAGTGCCTTTTCACATCTCCCTTTCTTCATGTCTTCAATACTTTTTCCTCTGCCATTTGATTTTATTACACACAACTTCATTTGTAAACTAATTAGTTTTGGTTTTCTTTGAATATATGGATTTCTTTGGTTGTGGTTTCAAGTCAACAGCACCTTTAGAAATATGTTTTCTGAGAAAAATGGTGGTGTGTTCAATACTTATTTTCTCCGCTGTATGTCATTTGCCACACAAAGGGTTTAAAATTTACCTGGAAAGAGATTTAAAATGCTTATATTTGTAAAAAAAAAAAGAAAGTTTAAAAAAAAGTGTAAAATCTGCCTGCGCCTTTCAGTACATCTTTCTAATTTAGACTTTGCACTTCTTTTTCTTTGCTGTAGGTGGCAGAAGAGGAATACCTGGTCCAGGAGCTGAGGAAGATTGAGACACGTAAGAAGGAGCGTGAAAAGAAAGCCCAGGATCTTCAGAAGCTCATTACAGCCGCTGATACCACAACAGAGATGCGCAGAGCTGAACGCAAGGCCACCAAGAAGAAGCTGCCACAAAAACGAGAGACAGAAAAACCTGTAATTATCTGTAATGTTGCAATTCAAATGAAACCTGGCCGGAAGGGTAACATTGTTAATATAATTAGTTTTTTCAGTAGTGATCACCATAATTTTTAGCTTTAATCTTTTTATAGTAGTTTTAATTTGCATTTTCTTTGATAGTTTTCATTTACAGCTTACCAACTTTCTAGTAACTGCTCCTCTAATGCCATCTCGTCTGTCCCATGGCAGGCTGTTCCTGAAACCGCAGGCATCAAATTCCCAGACTTCAAATCCGCTGGTGTTTCGCTGAGGAGCCAGAGAGTAAGTTCAACTCGCACGCTTCAACAAAACTGACCCCTGATCCGTTACTTAATAAACGATCTACAAGGAATATTATGAAGCATCTCTCCTCGCTGCAGGAGCCTGTGGCGTTTAACTTCTCTCTCATTAGCCAGCAGTTGATTGATTCACACAGTCATAGGTAGAGTAATCTAGCCACAGGAAGGCATTCCTCTTAAAGAGTAATGAAGGGAGGTCGCTCTATATAAAACGCATTAAGGATGGTACTGGGGTAGTGTATGAGTCAGATGTGGCTGGTCATCTGTTAGTCAGACTTGGGTGCATAAACATGTTTTGATCTGCCCTCTCTGAAGTGCATTTCAGGGGTATTATGAATGAAGGATGACCCCATTTTTATTCCATTGCTACCACTTTTTTTACCCTACCATGTAGCCATCTGAGATTAAAGGTGTTAATGTTCCATCCAGAGTTCCAGCACCTCATGGATTCAGAAACAAGCACACAAGCGTGACTTAAGTTTACTCAAAGTTTATTGGTAGTTGTGGGTTTTCTAACTAAGTGATTTGTGTGTTTAGATGAAGCTGCCCAGTTCGGTTGGACAGAAGAAAATAAAAGCAATTGAGCAGATCCTGACAGAGCAGGGAGTCGGTGAGTGACGCTTTATTATTATTATTTTTTGGTTAAAAATTGTGAATGGGAAAAAGTAGGGTTGTCGCAATACCATTCATTCATAAATGGCACCCATAAAAGGCACAAATTCGGAACAGTTTTGCAACCTTAAAGGGATCCACAGACTATTAAAATAAAATGGTCTGTTGTTGCACAAACGTGAGCGTTTTGGTGACTTTTCCACATGCAACTTTATGTATTGTAGATAGACCATTAATGACGATACTTCTGTTTACAAACAACAGTGGCACCGCCAGTATTTTAGAGCCATAGTACTGCAAGCAACTCTATGTGAAAGGGATAGTTGGCTCAATAATGATAAATATCTCGTCTTTTACTCTCACTCAAATGCTGGTTGATCTTTAGAAAAATGCCTTTCACTTCCATAGTAGGAAAAATACCATGGAGCTCAGTAGGTACCATCAACCAGCATTCCTCAAAATATCTTCAGAAGAAAGAAACTTAATTAGGTTTTGAACAAGTGAACGGAGAGTAAATGATTGCAGCGAATTCATTTTTGGATGAATTATCACTTTAAAAATGTTAAGCCTGATTTGTAAGATTTTTGATTCAAAAGTTGATTCAAATTTCATTTGTGAATTTTGATTCCTAATCTTCCAAAAAAATTTGCGCTGTGCCTTAAGATTAGTCACGATAAATTGCATCTAAAATAAGTTTGTATTTACAAAAATATAATACACACACACATTCCCAGAGATGGGTTGCGGCTGGAATTGAGTCCGCTGCGTAAAAACTTGCTGGATAAGTTGGCGGTTCATTCCGCTGTGGCGACCCCGGATTAATAAAGGGACTAAGCCGACAAGGGAATGAATGAATGAATACACACACACACACACACACACACACACACACACACACACACACACACACACACACACAGTGCTCAGTATATATGAATACACTTAATTTTGTATTATTTTTTATCCATTTCTCATTGAGGATGGGTAATATGTGTTGGTGCATTTAAACACAAAAAAGATTAAATAAACAGATATATTTATTAAAATAATAGTTTAGTCACAGAACATCTTTAGAAATGGAAAGAAAATACATTTAAATTCATGCAAAATATTTCAAAAAAAAGGTGTGTGTGTGTGTATGGTGTGTGTGTGTTTGTATGTGTGTGTGTGTATGTGTATGCATGTATGTATGTATATATATATATATATATATATATATATATATATATATATATATATATATATATATATATATATATATATATATATATATATATATATATATATATATATATATAAAATCTCATTAATTAATAATTAATTTTCTTTTTTTTTATGTGCAGACCTGAACCCCATGCCCACAGAGGAGATAGTGCAGATGTTTAATGAGCTGCGCAGTGATCTAGTCCTCGTGTACGAGCTGAAGCAGGCCTACGGTAACTGTGAGTACGAACAGCAGATGCTGCGGCACCGTTATGATGCACTGATAAAAGCAGGGGGCGCCGTCACACCACAAAGCGAAAGTGGTGGAGGCCTGGACAGTCAATCCTGGCCCTGTGCTGATGACATCAAAACCGAAGCCAAAGAGCAGATTATTGATGTTGTTGGAGCTCCACTTACTCCAAACTCGGTGAGCTTTCCCAGAGAACTTTTATGTTGGGGTGTTGCTATGATTTATTAATTTATTCAATAGGTAATTTATATTATTGACATACTTCAGTGGAAAACTTAATCTAGCATATATTTATACTGTTTTATCATTGTTAAACATTGAAAATGTTTAACAGAGTAATATTAGGTAGATTGTATAATGAATTCTTACCAGTATGATTTTAATAACTTGTAACACTATAAATGTCAAAAATTATGGTGGCCAGGTCATTAGTTAATACACAGATTTGCATACATATTATGGAACATGTATTCTTTTTTTAATATGAAAATAAAAAATATAATTTTTAAAAAATCAGGTCCCTTGATAAGTGTCAGTTTCACTGGAATTATGATTTATAGTCATGCACTTAAAAAAAGTTTTTTAGTTTTATTACATAAACAGCTAATGACTTTTTATCCAAGTAAGAAATAAAAAATGCTGTCATTTAAAGCATTTATATTTGCTGAAATTAAATGTTTATTTGTGTATGAAATATTGATAAATATTTCAGATTATATTTCAGCTTTTTTATGGTGCCAAAATTTTTAAGAAAATCCCACTGTTATTCACATTTATTTATATTTTCTGAAATTAAATATTTATTTCAATATAAAATATTAATGTTTATATTTAATATTTCAGATTTTAAGTGTATAAACTTTTTCTATGATACCAAAATATTTAAGAAAATCTCCACATTCAATAATATTTGCTGAAATCAAATGTGTATTTGCCTATGAAATATTGATGTTTATATTTAATATTTCAAAATTAAAATGTATTAACTTTTTTAAATGGTAAAATTTTTTAAGACAATCCCTCTGTTAACCACATTTATTAAAATTTTCAGAATTAATTTTCATATGAAATATTGATATTTATATTTCAGATTTAATAAGGTTTTTATGGTACCAAAATCTTTAACGACAATTATATTTCTTTAAATGTAAATTTCATATGAAATATTGATGATTATATTTAATATTTTAGATTGTCTTAACTTTTTATGATATCAAAATATTTAAGACAGTTCCACTGTAACCACATTTCTTTATATATTTTTGTACATTAAAATTTATTTGCATATAAAATATTAATGTTTTTATTCAGAATTTCAGATTTAAAATGTATTCAAACTTTTTATGGTACCATTTTCTTTAAGAATATCCCACTGTTAACCACGTTTATTTATTTTTTCTAAAATTAAATGTTTATTTTGATATGAAATATTGATGTTTATATTTAATATTTCAACTTTAAAATGTATTTACTTTGTATGGTAACAAATTTTTGGGGGGAAATTTCACTGTAACCACATTTATTTATATATTTTTAAAATTAAATGTTTATTTACATATGAAATATTAATGTTCATATTTAATATTTTAGATTTAAATTGCATACATGTTTTTATTGTATCAACATTTTCTAGAATATTCCACTGTTATCCACATTTATTTATATTTTCTGAAATTATTGTTTATTTTGATATAAAATATTAATGTTTTTATTTATTATTTCAGCTTTAAAATGTTATTTACTTTTTTATGCTACCAAAATATTTAAGACATTTCTACTGTTACCACATTTATTTCTATTTTCTCAAATTAAGTGTTTATTTTTATATAAAATATTGTTGCTTATATTTAATATTTCAGATTTATATTTAATATTTCAGGTACCAGAATCTCTAAGAAAATCCCTCTGTTATCCACATAAATATTTAAATGTGTTTTTCTTCATGTTTCTTTTTGCGTAGCGTAAACGCAGAGAATCAGCCTCCAGTTCCTCATCTATCAAGAAGGTGAAGAAACCGTGACACAAATGACTTTGTAAACTCAATTGGACATTTTTGGTAGAGGAAAGAGAGATGTCTGGCTCTCAGCTGTGATTGCCTGTTTTGGTCGGGGTCAGAGGCTGAGGTTGTGGTTGTAGGTCATCTGTTATCTGCTCTTTTGATGACCGCTCTCTCTCTCTCTGCTAATGTATTCAGCACAATGACCACCATCCCTCAATCCCACCTGCTTCCCTCCTCTCTCCGTCCTCCACACCAAACCTGTACCATGACACAGACCACCCTTGACAACCTATTCCATTATACCACCTCCTGTGTCCAACCGGCAGCCCAAACCCAGATGAACTGTAAATTGGCAGAGAGAGCTAATCGGCACATGACAAGAACAGAAGTAGAAAGGAAAAAAAGAAAGTCTGCTTGTCTGTCTGAAATAAGTGTATGCTGTACAGATGGTATGAGTCTGGATCCTGTTGGAGAATTTATTCATTGAGTGTTTGCCTTTTTGCTAGCATCTTGAAACAGCAAGCTCTTGAAAAATGGATCTTTTTTTGGCGGTGCCCAATTCTAACCAGCATCTTCACGTCTGCCGAATTTCAGCTCCAAGACTGAATGTCATCATAGATATTGAGCTCATATGAAATGTTTTTGTTTAATAAATATTTTTTTTCCTCCAAAGTGTTCTTTTAATTTGTGATTGAGCAAACGTACAATAAATAATACAATTTAAATATAACTTGATGTTAACGCCCGCCAAATGCAGGTAGATTTCAGCTGTGGTGGGTTAGACAGATCCCCCCCCCCAAGCCTCTTTGCCACTTTGGCTGGTTGAAAATATTTTTTTAAATGCCAGAGCTGCCTCGTCTCTAAAGATTAGAATGTTAGTTTAAGATTGTCAATATGCGCGCAAATGTGATCTTAGTACCAAGAAGCAGCATGATTGATAACTGTTCACACGAGCAAAAGAAAGCAGGTGAATACCGAATGAGAGTATGATCAGGTGCACGGTGTGAGTAAGGAACAGCTGATTTGATGCCCGCGAGCGCTTAAAAGCTCCCATTTCCTTACGCAAAACAACTGTGCTTGGAAAACGCAAGTGGTACAATCGTTTGAAATGGATTGGAAAAAAGCGGTGCTCGTGCACCCACAGTCCTGCTGCTTTCAAGAGATCTCCAGATTTTTTGTTTGCTGCAGCAGTTGTTGCCGCTTTCGCTTTTACTTTTTTTTGAACAGATTATCACGGGCCTAAATGTTAACCACGTGCACGTGATCATCCTTTCACTATCGCACATAGAATGTTTTTCACCTGCTTTCTTTTGCTTGTAGTTATTTTTGTTAATATGGTTTAATTATCATCCTTTACAATATCATTGTTTAATAGGAGATTAACTTACTATTGATCTATATTTATCTGATGATCTGGGACCTTTAGTCTGGACAAACTACTGTGTACAGTTTTAGATAAATGAGAATATTTTGCCCAAATGTCAGTTGTTTTTGTAAGAACATTTTAGTTGAATAAAAAGTGTATGTTCACAGCTTAGCTTATTTGACACATTTTTTTTTTTTGTGGCAAGAAAATAAAAAAGCTAAATCCTCAGTGTTGAGCCCTAAAAAGTTGTGAAAAAAAAGTTATGTGGACATAGCACATAATTTAAATCAAGTAATTTTACCATATCAACATCGAATTATCCAAATATATTTTCCCAATAGCAAAATTGTGGCTTGTGTAAATGGCGAGTGGCTAGGAACATCGGAAAACTACTACCCAGTGGCTGGTAATCAAAAAAGTTAATGTCAAGCCCAGAATATATTGTACTAGAGCTCTATTGTAAATGTCTACAACTATTATTAAAGATAGTTCACCCAAAATTTAAAATTGACTGTTTACTCAGTCAAGTGGATTCAAACGTTTAGGAGTTTCCTCTGTTGAACACAAAAGCAGATATTTTGAAGAAAGCTGAAAACCATCAACTTCCAGAATCAAAAAGAAGTCAATGATTTTCTACAATTGTAAACTCAAAATGTTTGTTCAAACTTCTTATTTAAAATGAGCTGAAACAACACAATTCTTGAGTATTTTTGGGGGTTGGGGCAACTTAATTGTTGTATGTTCAATCCGCTTAAATGAGTAAAAACTTTATAAGTTAACTTAATTCCTTCATGTTGTCCCAACACAAATCTACTGTGTGGAACCCAGCTGTTTTAAAGTGTACGAAAAAAACTATTTATGGAAGTCAGTGGTTACAGGTTTCCAGAATTCTTCAAATTACTTTCTTTTATATAACTCAACGGGTTGAAACAAGGGTGAGTAAATGATTTTTCATTTTTGTGTGAACTATCCCTTTAAGTGAAATGTGGTTGATGATTAGGTTTAGATTAGGAGATGTGGTTTAAAACGGGTGTAAAAGCTAAGGTTAAAATGTTCATCATTTGAAAGTGTTAAGTACACATAACCTACCCAAATGCACTGATTTGTTTCTTTGCGTTCCTCTGTTTCCCTCTTTCTGGATCTGTGAGGCGCTCGGCGCGTTTTAAATTAGCTGTCAAGCACGCGCATCAATAACGCGAAAAAGGCGCGAGCTCTGCGCCTCGTCATCGCAACTTCATGAATTCTCCGCGATAAAGACATCTCCAGTAAATTCATTACAGCATTGAACATGACAGGAAACATTTATAATTTGCATGCCAACTCTGCATAACCAGTGATAAATTTATGCTTGACGCCGGTAAAGAGCTTTAGTAAGGCTCTCAACTGAGGTAACAAAACCAAACGTTAACTGAGTTTCTTCTATTGAAAAGCTCTCTGTAGGTTCATGATTAAAAGCGAATGTAAGGTAGTTGGCTATTATATTATATTATATTATATTATATTAAGGAATTAGTATCGTTGAGTTTTGGTGTTCCCATGGACCATTTCACCAAGAACAGAAGACATTTTAAGGTTTACCGCTTAAAATGATCGAGCTGTTTGTCTGCTGGATTCTGATTGGCTATAAGGATTTTCCCTCATTTATCTGTAAAATAATGTCTGAAAGTGGCTCCAGTTAGCTAATCTATACCTAATTCTGTTCATTACACTTTATTATGCACTTTGTTATCTCTCTTTGAGTTTTTAAGTAGGCCTAATTAACGTAATTCAAGCAATATTTTACAAACACAACAGCTGTAATAGTTTATTAAGAAGCCAGATTATCAAACTTTGCATAGGCTGTTATAAAGATAACCAAATACCACACTGCAACAACAGGAATCAGCTTTTTAACACCTCCTCCCTCAGCATTGTTTTAAATACAAGGTAAGTGGTAGTGTTCACTGGAAAGGAATTAATCCTCTTTATTTGGTCTGACTGTAGATAATATAGCATCTTCCATTGAACCCGAGGAAAGCCAGCAGCTGTGATCTGTTGAGAGGTGAGAAAGTGAAAAACAGTGGTAAAATTGATTCTTGGTGTCTATATTTCATGTTGGAAATTGGCTCGTAAATCCCGCCGTATGATCTATGGTGGCCATCCTTGGTGGAAAAAAAAAATCAGTAAGTGTGTAATTTCTCCCTTGACAGAACACAGCCGAAAGACTATCCTTCTTTCCCCCTCTCTCCCTTCCTCTATGTTTCTTTTCATGACTTTGTGATGGCTCCATCTCATTACAGCAAATCCATTAATCAAACCTGTTACAAAGCAAATTCACAAATTTTGCATGGCCATTTGTGTCACCAGATGAAGGACGTATAAGCAGTTGCATGTCTTTCCTCATGCTTTTCTTGTTTATTTCTGTTCAATTCAGGATGACGTTCACCTTAATGTGTCTTTGGAGCTTAAACAGGGTCATTGCAATGCTACACATGTGAAAATGCAAATCGCTGAGCATTTCTCCTCAGTGGGACACCAGATGTAAAGCGGCGGAGAGGTAAAAAGCATTGGGCCGAACCCTGGCGGAGTGGTTTATTATCCCGACGAAGAAGTGATGGTGTGAAACGAGAGCTCTTTATCAGAGGCACTGGAGTGGAGGAGAGCTTTTTAATCATGGCCTAAGAGGGGTGAAGGGTTTTTATCATAATTGAAGTCTTTCCAGGGCTAATTGTGCCTATACGTCATTGTCTGAGAGCACGCCTAGAAGCAGATGCAGTATGGATGTGATGGAGAAGAGTTAGTCAAGAAAAAGATGACTTGAGGTCTGTCATTGACAGCGAGTCTTCGTGCAGTTTTCATCACTCTATCAAAATGCAAAGATCTCCATCGCTGTCAGATGACGATAATGAGCTTTCATTGAACTCCAGAGTACATCTTCTGAGAGTGAAACTCATTTAAATAACCATTGTTTGATCTTGATTTCATTCTTTGTTTTTTAAAATATCAACATAGGTCAATTCATCTCCAGGAGAGACAATCAAACGCTTTATTTCACGATTCAGTCGGATACGGTGGACTTTAAATTTGAGAAGTTATATGTCTACAGGGAAAGGTCAGTGTAGCTTATTTCAGCTTCCTATTTACCTCTCAGATGACGTTTATGTCCCAGTCAAGTGTTAGTAGTCGTGCTCACGGCCAGTTTTAACCACCTCAGTTTGCGTTGGACAATGTTTCCATATCCATGCCCCTAAGACACTTTGAAAAGAAGGTGATTAAATGGGGACGTTTTTGACTCTCTTGAGAAAAGTCAGTAGGACACCTTGGTATGAGGGGGAAGCATAACTGGGGGCAGAAATAACACACTTATATGGAATATCAAGTAGAAATGTTTACAACATAGGCTCATTTTGAAAACGTAGCCCTATATACATTTTTGCAGATCACAAATTATGCAGTGAGAGATACGTATGGCTGCATTTCTTCTTTAAAACGAATGCCACTGGGCGGTATGATGAACTGATTAAATTATTTTTTATTTTTTAGACAATCTTGTTTAAATGTTTTGGTTTGTATTCTGTTTTTTTAAAGAAATGAATACTTTTAAAATAGCAATTTTTTAAATTGCTATTTAAATTTTTTTTTAAATAAATTTATCATAATACACTGTAAAGACATTTACAATGTTATGAATGATTTTTAAACAACCTGTTATTTGCAAAGAATTCTGGGAAAAAAATACTCTTTCTCAAAATATTAGGCAGTATGGCTATTTTCAATATTGATGGTAATACATTTTTTTTCTCTGAGCACTTAAAAAAATTGTAATCGTATATATATATTTGTAATTGTTTCAAATGTAATAATGTTAAATTTTTAATTTTAAGAAATATTTAGATTATTGAAGGGGATATAAATGTTTGCTATCATATATATGTAATATTTGATATAGATCATTTGCATCCATAATGTACATTATTAATATTACAGATATTTGGCTTTTATATATTATGGATGCATATACAGATGAAGTCAGAATTATTAGCCCCCCTTTAC